TCTGTCAACGAGATTCTTAGAGAATTCTGATGAGCCAGATCGGCTGGTTCCAATCAGTGGCGCTTGTCCGGGGTGTGGAGAGACGGTTCAATGGTCGCTCATGATGCAGGAGCTGACGCTGCGTAACTGCGGAGCGAACAAGCCGCGAGCGAAAAGGAAGAAGACTAAAGCGGACGCGACTCAGCGTGGCTCCAGGGTCACTTCAGAGCAAGGACGTGTCGGCGTCAACGAGACCAGCAATGAGCGTACACCAGTTGACCTCCGAGAAGCCGATCTCCCTGACGACGTCAGTCTAGATGAGAACTGGACTGAGTCGTTGGATGCGGACCTTGAGTCGGAAAACTTGATGAAGTCACGATCCCTGCCTACATCGACCAGAACCGAGATCGTTATAGAAGACAGCGACTGTGAGGAGATATATACGCTAGAATGAGCAACGATGCTACCGCTAGCCGCTGCTCGCTATTATGGGTAGAATAAGAGGTCAATGAGCGATCGATTCAAATTTCCTCAAAGGACCGATTGCATCCAGGCCCGCAATGCAGTCAATGACGCTTGTCTCAACGTCCTGCGCCACTTCCTCGAATGTCCTGCCCGCATCGATGGTGCGGATATTACCGCTCCGCTGCACGCGGAAGATCGTCTGGAACAATTCGCGCACGCGGTTTTGCATGGCCGCATTCTCATAACGTTCGACTCCAAATCCTCCACGCTGAGCTGCTGCTTCAGGGGAGATACTCAGGAACAGACACAGGTCAGGCTGAGGCAGTCCGATCTCTGGCGTCCATGCCCATTCCAGGGACAGCGTGGGATTCATCTTGGCGGCCGAATACACAGCACCGGAGTACGAATACCGATCCACAATGACGGTGACTCCGTTGGCAATATCTTGCTCGATGCTTTGGGCAAGCTCCCAGCGGTTTGCGGAGAAGAGAAGATGGATGGAATGGTCGTCCAAGTGCGACTGACCCCGCAGATAGCCATCGATCATCTTCCCGATGGCTGTGGTTCGGTCTTGACAGGGGTTAGATATAGTTTGTCATGCTTGTGTTATGAGAGTTTTGAGAAATACCTGGAAACCGAACATATTTCACCGCACGGCCTTCTTGTTGGAGCTTTTTGTGTAGAGACTCGCACTGGCTGGATTTGCCTGCCCGGTCCAAGCCCTCGACAACGACAAGAGCGCCACGTTGAGCCGGTGTGTCCATTTTGTGACAAGATCACAGTATGATTGGTAGTGAGCAAAAGAGGATTCGTTGTGAAAGATGATCGGCGTGGGGAGGTTCAGAAGGCGGCTTTAGTTATCGGGGGTGGATTTGGTTATCAGCCAGAGACAATAGTAGACTTAGCCTGATCGGGACAGACCGCGGGGATCCCAGCAACTTCCCGCAATTCCACATGAATCTTCTTTCTAATAGCACTCCCAACTCACCTTTTCCCTTACCCAGCGTCTCTCAGTCGCATACAGACCTCGCACAGGCCGTCATGGACCCCGAGCCATCCCCTCAGTCACCGCAGGATATGCTCAATTTCACCACCACAGCCTCGATTCTGACCCCTCGGCTGGGAAGACTGGCCGTTGCGGGCAGGAAACCCATCTCCACGCCGCACTATATCCCCTTAACATCTCGAGGAGTCGTCCCGCATATCACACATGATATCATGCGCGATCAAACTGCCATTGGCAGTCTGTTTATTGGCCTTGAAGATTGTACGAGCTTTCCTCGGCCCCTTGCACTCAGTCGACCGCCCAAGAGCAATATCAATCTCCAACGAAGGGAAAAAAAAAAAAGAAAGAAAACCGCTAACATCAATGCCCGTCGGGGGCGCAGATCAGTCATAGAAAGACAAACCCCCAAGCATCCCTTCCCCCCTGCATATACGATCCCGACGGCCGCCAACGAGTCGGCGCTGCGCAACTTCATCTGCCAACCCGATGACCAGCTGTTGATCATGGGCCCGCGTCGCGAGCCGCCGATCAAATGCCCGCCCTCGAACACGCCCAACTCGGTCGCCATCCTAACCTCGGTGGGCTACCGACAACTCGAGGCGACGCATTACCTGGATGCCATCCGCCATCTGCGGCCGGACATCATCGTCGGCCTCGCCGACTTGGTGCGCGGCCACAACCCGGGTCTGAAGCGGCGCGGGAAGATGGTCGACCGGACGCACGCCTACACGACGCACGCGACGGAGCAGCTATATAACCACAAAGACACAACGCAGCGATCGAACGCGGTCTACTTCGCCCCGGTTCTGCCGCTCGAGAACGTGGAGCAGTCCATCTATCTGGAGGATCTGGAGAATGATCTCCGCCCGTACATCTCGGGCCTGGCGCTGTACGAGTCGGCCTCGCTCTCTGCCGTGTCGGAGGCGCTGGGCGACCTTCCCCGGTTGCTGTTCGGTGCACCGGCCACCCCCCACGATATCCTCCGCGATGTCTCGCTGGGCGCGGACCTGCATACGATTCCTTTCGTGGGTGTATGTTCCGACGCCGGCATTGCCCTGGACTTCACCTTTCAGCCGCAGCAGCAGAAGGAACCGCAATCATCTGGTGCCACTACCCCATTAGCCTACGACCTCTGGTCCCCCGACCACAAAACTGATACCCGGCGCCTCTCGGAATCCTGCGAATGCTACACCTGCCGCCACCACCACCGCGCCTACCTGCACCACCTCCTCTCCGCCAAGGAGATGCTCGCGTGGTCCCTCCTGCAGATCCACAATCACCACACCATGGACGTGTTATTTGCTCAGATCCGCGAGAGTATCGAACGGGGCACTTTCGATGTTGACGCCCGGATCTTCTCGCGGACATATACCTCGGAGCTCCCCGAGCCCCAGGGTCAAGGACCACGGTGCGTGCCCTTCCTAGAACAGATCCGCATATACATGCAAACATATCCAAATATACCCCAAGTTGAACGTCACACCATGCTAAATCAATACCAATGAACAGACTAAGAGGTTACCAACTCCCCGCCTCGGGTCCCAACCAACCGCGCCGGCACGCCCGCGTGTACGGCCGCCTCGACGACGCGGCAGAGAAATTCGCCGAATCGCAGTCCTCCGTGGCCACGCCTGACACGGGCGCCGAGGGGCTAGAGGAGCACGGGTTCGCGGAGAGGGCTTAGTGGGCTATGACTAGAGCATTATAGTTGCGAGATCGATACACGATAGAATTTCAGAGGCATTGCGGGTAAAGCAGCTTAGCTGAGCTTGGTATAGCATAGCATAGTATAGCATCTCACGATCTGCATAATGCAACAGCATACCATATCATACAGAACATACATAACAGGGATAGGGGACATTACGCAGCATGGCCAACAGACAAGACACCGCCTACTGTTCGACAGGCCCCTCCAGTATCATCCTTTCAAGCTGCGCATACAGCTCCATCACCGAGAAAATAGATCGAGCTACAAAACTTTCGACGAATTGAGGAATTGACCATTTTCTTAACGCTTCTTCTGGGAATGCCCATCCATTGAATATATGGATCCCTCTATCGCAGCCCAAAACCACAATCGAGAGAGAGAGGGATCAACAGCGGGTGCAAAGTACACAGTACAGCAGTACAATATCCAGAACAGTTACCCCTTAGCCTACAACCTCGATAACAAAAACACATCCTACCATCGATTCGATTCTATTTTATCTTCTGGAGCGTCAGTTGCAGAAGATAAAGAAAAGAGCAGGCGACAAGTCACAGAACAAAAAAGAGACGCGTTAATGCTTCCGCGCAGCATACAACCCCAGGTGCGGAACTCCGTACAGTACATACCAGGGTAGAAGCGCATACCCGGCCCTAAAATGAGCACGATCACTCATTCGATCCCAGCGTTCATTGACCAACTATCAACAGCACAGCATAAGCTGACTGCAGGACTTCATATCCACATACCCACTCTATAACTCAATTCCCAATGCGAACCCAAACCCCAGATAGAGCTCAGACACCAACCGACCGAAGTCATGCCGTCACCACCAACATCAAAGTTTCCAGGACTATCCGGGCGGGATCCGTCCTTTTATCCGCAGTCAGAAGAGACGAGACGAGAAGAGACTACGAGAAGAAGAAGAAAAAAAAAAAAGAAACTCATGATGAGTCGATTACGTCGAAGACTAGAGCTGGGGTCAGGTTGCATCCGGAGCCTAACCCGCTAAACCCCATCGGTAAAGCGTCGGAAGTGTCCATGACACTACCTACTCTTGTATACAGTGGGTTAGGGAGTAGTAAGTCAACACCTCATTTCCTCACCCCTCCACCTCTCACCTCTCCGCCTCATACCTCTTCAACCACTCATACCAGCTCTCCCACAAAGCTTGGCGGAAAAGGGGCTCCACCCTCTGGCCGCTCAGCTGTCATGGCATCGACCATAGAAAAAGATCTACAGTGACTGTCCTCATCACTCCGCGCCGCCTTACCTGGTCGACACTCCCTGCGATCCGTGGGTATCTCCCAAGTCAATTCCCCTCGTGCATCGAATGAACAATCTCCCATCGTCCGCTCGGCCCGGCACTGCACTGTCCAGACGGACACCCATCGCAAGCCCCATGTCTCATACGTCAAGACCTCTCCGAGTGGTCGAATCAACGAGTCATACCCCTAGCACCAGCCAGGTCATTCGCCAGGAGCATGGCGGTCGGTCAAACCACTGTTACACCCTGGGGGCATGGGGTACAGGTACCCGGGCATGGCATCGTACACACAGAACTCTTCTCCGCAGCAACCCGGGAGCTTTTGTAGACCAGAAAATCTACTACGTCAGCATGATTGTCTGCACACGAGGAGTGATTCTCCGCTGCTCCCTGCACTTCCGCTGCTCACTGCTGGTCAAGCCTTTTCCTCTCCTGTCATCTTCTCACTTTGTGTTGTAGCGAGAAATCAAAAAGGCCTATGGTGGAATTGAATTTTCCAGCCTTTCGTTTGCTTATTCGCTCCTCATTCTTTCTCTTTCTAGCTCTCTCGCTTTCGCCGTCTTCCCCTCCTAGCCCGTAAAACAGCGGAGAAGCGGAAGCAGGGAGAGACAGAGTGAACCCCCCTGCTGCATAAGGCAAAGTGATTCAAACCGACGAAATGGCTGAGCAAGGCGTGCCAACCACCACGGGCAACACGCTCGACGTCGAACGCGGCGGCGGTAGCGGCGCACCACCGCAGCCCTCGAGCTCGGAGCAGCGTCGCGACTCGCGGCGGGTGTCCCGCGTCTCCTACAAGGAGGACTACGCCAACCTCGACGAGTACGGCAAGCTGGTCAAGTATGCCTCGACCTACCGCGAGGGTGGCCGAGGCGACGAAGGGCAGGGCGAGGAGGAGATGAAGCGCGTGTGGTACGCCCCCTGGAAGAAGCGCAAGGTCTTCGTCAAGCACGTCGACCAGCAGCAGGGCTTCCCGGAGGAATGGCTCCTTACGGACATCCGTCGGGGCCTGTCCAGCGGCGAAGTGCCGGACCGCCGGCGTCGCTCGGGCTGGAATGAATTGACCTCCGAGAAGGAGAACCCCATCGCCAAGATCCTGTCCTACTTTCGAGGTCCCATTCTTTATGGTATGTTGCTGTGCTACCTTCTCCAAGAAACCGAGCTGACCCGGCGATGTAGTCATGGAACTGGCCGTGCTTCTTGCCGCGGGTCTGGATGATTGGATCGACTTCGGTGTCATCATCGGTATCCTCTGCTTGAACGCGGCGGTGGGTTGGTACCAGGAAAAGCAAGCCGCGGACGTGGTCGCCAGCTTGAAGGGCGATATCGCCATGAGAGCCACGGTCGTTCGTGATGGCCAGCAGCAGGAGATTCTCGCTCGGGAGCTTGTCCCGGGTGACGTGGTGAGTTCTCTGACCTCTCAGCATCGCAGTCCACAACTAACCCGCGGGGAAGATTATCGTTTCCGAGGGCCATGTCATTCCCGGCGATGCCAAGGTGATCTGCGACTATAACGACCCCGATGGATTCGAGGAGTACAAGAGAATGCTGGAGCAAGGTGATCTCAGCAGTACCTCCGAGTCCGATCTCGAGGACAACGAGCCCGAGAAGCTGGGCAAGCAAGCCGAGGTCGGCGGCGGGGAGGACCCCGAGAAGAGCCAGCCGCCGTCCAAGCCCAAGCGCGGATACCCCATCCTGGCGTGTGATCACTCGGCGATCACCGGTGAGTCCCTGGCCGTGGACCGCTACATGGGCGGGATGATCTACTACACCACCGGCTGCAAGCGCGGCAAGGCCTACGCCGTGGTGCAGACCGGGGCGAGAAACTCGTTTGTCGGCAAGACGGCCAGCATGGTGCTGTCCGCCAAGGGGGCGGGCCACTTCGAAATCGTCATGGACAACATCGGCACGTCGCTGTTGATCCTGGTGATGGCGTGGATCCTGGCAGCGTGGATCGGCGGCTTCTTCCGCCACATCCCCATCGCCTCGCCGGGCCAGCAGACGCTGCTGCACTACACCCTGGCTCTGCTGATCATCGGTGTCCCCGTCGGCCTGCCGGTGGTCACGACGACAACCATGGCCGTGGGCGCCGCGTACCTGGCGAAGAAGAAGGCCATCGTGCAGAAACTCACAGCCATCGAATCCCTAGCAGTACGTGCCCCCCCCCCCGGCTCTCTCCCCCACGACAACACCGACAAAACATGGAGCGACAACTAACAAAACCCAGGGCGTTGACATCCTCTGTTCGGACAAAACCGGCACCCTGACAGCCAACAAGCTCAGCATCCGGGAGCCCTACGTGGCGGAAGGCGTGGACGTGGACTGGATGTTCGCGGTGGCGGTGCTGGCCTCGTCGCACAACATCGAATCTCTCGACCCGATCGACAAGGTGACCATCCTCACACTCCGTCAATACCCGAAGGCGCGCGAGATCCTGCGCCGCGGCTGGAAGACGGAGAAGTTCACGCCGTTCGACCCGGTGTCGAAGCGCATCGTGACGATTGCCAGCTGCGACGGCACGCGGTACACGTGCACCAAGGGCGCGCCCAAGGCGGTGCTGCAGCTGACCAACTGCTCCAAGGAGACGGCGGACCACTACAAGACCAAGGCGCAGGAATTCGCGCACCGCGGGTTCCGCTCGCTGGGCGTGGCCGTGCAGAAGGAAGGCGAGGACTGGACGCTTTTGGGGATGCTGCCGATGTTCGACCCGCCCCGCGAGGACACGGCGCAGACGATCACGGAAGCGCAGAACCTGGGTATCAGCGTCAAGATGCTGACGGGCGACGCGATCGCGATCGCCAAGGAGACGTGCAAGATGCTCGCCCTCGGCACCAAGGTGTACAACTCGGACAAGCTGATCCACGGCGGGCTGAGCGGGGCGATGGCGGGCGACCTGGTTGAGAAAGCCGACGGGTTCGCGGAGGTCTTCCCCGAGCACAAATACCAAGTCGTGCAGATGCTGCAGGACAGGGGCCACCTAACCGCGATGACCGGCGACGGGGTCAACGACGCGCCCTCCCTGAAAAAGGCCGACTGCGGCATCGCGGTCGAAGGCGCGTCCGAGGCGGCGCAATCCGCGTCGGACATCGTCTTCCTCGAGCCAGGCCTCTCCACGATCATCGACTCCATCAAAGTCGCGCGCCAGATCTTCCACCGCATGAAGGCCTACATCCAGTACCGCATTGCACTGTGCCTGCACTTGGAAATCTACCTAGTCACAAGCATGATCATCCTCAACGAGAGCATCCGCGTCGAACTGATCGTCTTCCTGGCCCTCTTCGCCGACCTCGCCACGGTAGCCGTCGCCTACGACAACGCCTCCTTCGACCTGCGGCCGGTGGAATGGCAACTCCCGAAAATCTGGTTCATCTCCGTGCTGCTGGGCCTGCTCCTCGCCCTGGGCACATGGGTCGTGCGCGGCACCATGTTCCTACCGTCCGGCGGGATCATCCAGAACTGGGGCTCCATCCAAGAAGTCCTGTTCCTCGAGGTCGCCCTCACCGAGAACTGGCTCATCTTCGTGACCCGCGGCATGGACACCTGGCCGTCCATCCATCTCGTGACTGCCATATTGGGCGTCGACGTCCTCGCCACCATCTTCTGTCTGTTCGGCTGGTTCAGCAACGAGGATATGCCGACCATCCCGAAAGACCAGTTCGTGGAAACCACCAACGGCTGGACGGATATCGTGACCGTCGTGCGGGTGTGGGGCTACTCGCTGGGTGTCGAGATCGTGATCGCCCTCGTGTATGTCATGCTGAATAAGTTCCAGTGGCTGAATAATCTGGGCCGCGCCAAGCGCGATAAGGGTGACCTCAAGATTGAGAATCTGTTGGGCCATTTGGCCCGGCTGACGGTGGAGTACGAGGAGCCTGGGAAGCCGAAGGGCCGTTTCTCGTTGGCGGCCTCGAAGGAGGAGGAGGAATTGGAGTGATTCTCGGTGGAGATCTACTAGGTATGTGGTGGAGCGGGAGGGAGGGTGTTGGAGGACTAATTGTGGTGAAGAGAGGTAGAAGGGGGGGGGAGTAGGGGTTGGTTTGGGTTAGGGTTAGGATGAGGGATATAAGATACGGTTACGGTTACGGTTACGCGAGATTTGTTTGCTGCTGCTGCTGGTAATTGTTTACTTAATTAATATATAGGGCTGTCCGACAAGTCAGTCATCTGGGAATTGATTTTGAGTTTCTTTCGACGAAGAAGCAGTCCGAGCTGGAATACGAACTGACTTGCCACCGATAAGGGATGTTGCAAGCCCAGCAGGACATGATACAGTACATCTCACCAAGCTATACTCCGTAGCTTTCTTTGACCTGGACAGACTGACTGGAGATGATGACTTGCTACGAGGCGTTCTTCCTCGACTCCAGCACCCGCTTCCACAGCCGCTCCATCTCATCGCCGACCATCCGCGCCGTCTCCTTCTCCATCTCCCGTCTCGACAAGCCAGCAGCAGCCTCCCGCTTCCCAATGGCAGCCGCAGACTCCTCGCGCGCCATTTCCACTAGGACACCGTTAGCACCCACGATCACCACTCATCATCCGCAGCGAAACCCCCAAACAGAGCAAAAAACATACCATGGAGAAAAACACCAGCCCGCTTCCCCGAGAACATCGCATGCGGCACATTGGTACTCCCATCATTATTCGCATCGCCGACGGCAAACACGCCTGGCAAACTCGTGCGCATGCCGGAGTAGTCCGCGGTATCGATCTTGCCGTCGTCCATCTTCAGCCCGAGCTGGGCGGGGATCTCACTGCGCTGGGCGGTGGGGTAGTTAGTGATGAGGGCGTTGCGCACGACGCTGTCGCCGTCCGCGAACCACACCCGGAACACATCTTGCATGCTCCCATCCTGGCCGCGGACCTCCTCCCCGTCCTGCAGGCGCTCGATGGACGCGATGCTGCGGTTGTCCACCGCGACATCCCACGCGGCGAGCTGCGCGCGCCAGTCCGGGTACTTGGCGGCCAGGGCGGCCTCGTAGGCCGGGGTGTCGGTGCCGTTGACGAGCGCGATCACGTCCGTGTTGAGCGTGTGCGTCTCCAGCACGCTGCCCACCACGTCCGGCAGCGCCCCCAGGATCCCCAAGGCTTGGTCGCGGTGCTCGTACCCGTCGCACCACGGGCACCAGTACACCCCCTTGCCCCAGGCTTCCTGCAGTCCCGGTACGGCCGGGAGGACGTCGATGAGCCCCGTGCCCAGCACGACTTTGCGGGCCGTGTACGCGTTGCCGTCCACGTCTTGCGCCCGGAAGTAGGTTGTGTTGGTGGCCGGGTCGCTCTCCGGCGTGACGGTTGTGATGGTCGTGTTCACGATGGTCGCGGTGTCGTACTTCAGGATCTGTTCGCGCGCGAGACCCCGGAATTCTGCGGGTGGGGTGCCTTTGGGGGATTGTTAGTGCTGGGCCCTGCCTGCTTCGATGGGATGGGGATGGGATGAATGAGTGGGGGACATACCGTCGTTGCCGATCACATCGTGCATCTCGCGGGTCGGCGCATTGCGGTACTCGCCCGAATCGAACAGGATGGTTCGCCGCCGGACGCGAGACAGACTGCTGATCGCGCTGAGGCCGCTGGGGCCGCCGCCGATGACGATAACCTCATAGTCAGTCTCGGGGATGGAGGCCGCCAGGCTTAGGGTCAGGGTGGAGAGGAGGGTGAGGAAGAAGGATTTGGGAGCCATGGTTGCCGTTGCCTGCCGACTGAGCTTCGGCCCCGAGATGATCGCTGGGTGTCTGGCGGACGAGAGACCCGCGGTGCAGGCGTCGCCTTTATATGCTTGGGGAGCATGGATGGCTGGAGCATTATGCTGCACAGACACCAAACGCAAGGCAGGGATCTTCATGGCTGGCTGAGCTGGACTCGCGCGTGCAGCTGAGCTCGAATGTAACTGCAGCTGCAGCCAAGCCCAATAAACATGCTCGCGCCATGAGAGGAATGTACAGTAGGTTACTCCCGTGGGGTCGGGGGAGTTGATTTGACGGGAAAAAAGGCAGGACGTGTGCCAATGGTCTAGTTGCCAGTCACCTGAGTCAGTGGTAGGGACTGGGAGTCAGGGTCGGGGAATTTGGGAGAGCGAATGGGGAAGAAATGAGGTCGATCGGGCAGGGCTGAGCGGACTATGGAAATAGTTCATGCACCGCGCTGATCAATGATCTCACAAGTGTGACCATCGTGCAGTGTCCGTGGGTGAAACACGAAATTGGGTCCGGAGACGGAGTGGTGAACCCAGTACTCGGTAGAAGCAAGATTAAGTGCCTGCGTCAGACAGACGTGAGGAGGGGAGAAAGAGAGAGGGTGAAGAAGTGATTTCGACAGGGAACGAGAGAAGGGAGGGAAGTAGAAGTGCGGAGGCGGTCGACCAACTACTAGACCAGAACTTCTTCCCAACACACACCACACTGTATGTTTCCTGACAAAAAGATGGATCATATTTTAGGATCAGTATCAACGCCAAGCTAAGTACCCAGCAGGTACGTGGACATATATACAGCCTCCACGAGGATGTATATGAACTGTATATCAAAAAAGAACCCCCCAACTACTCGGGGGGAGTCATCACCACCACCACCACCACCACCACCACCACCACCAGTGGCAACCCTACAATCCACGCACCGGAAACCGAAACTTATGATAAATCCGCGACGTACTCTGCGTCAACGCGGAGCGGATCCCACTCAAGTACCCGGGATTGCCATACGCCTGGGTGACATCCCACAGCATGACGCCGCCAAACGACTTGAAAGTCCTGGCGTACTGGATGACCTGCTGCAGTTGCGAGATGGAGACATACCCCGACCCCGCAGCCCCAGTATTGGCGGGCGCACCGACAAGGACCTTGACGTTCTGGTTCTGCGAGACGGTCTTGGCCCAGGTGTCCCACTGGGCGAAGTTGAACGAGGGCTGGGTGGTCTGGCCCGGCTGGAACGAGGTCAGGCCGCAGGGGTTGTTGTAGAACTGCACCCAGACAGCATCGATGGAGACGGGGCCGTTGAGGATCTCCTGGTCGGCGAGGTCGGGGTAGGGGCACTGCGGGGCCGCGGTCAGGAAGTACTGTTTGCTGGGGTCGGTGTTGGCGAGGGCGCGCAGGCGGTTGGCGAAGGGGGCCATCTTGTTGACGGTGGCTTCGAAGTCGAAGTCGAAGCCGTCGACGGAGGCGTTGCCGAAGGGACGAAGAGGAGGTTTGGTTGAAGTGGAAGAGGAGGAGGAGGAGGAGTTGGAAGGCGGCGGACCGAAGGTCTGCCAGACCAGGTCGGCGCCCGCCTGCGCCGCCGCGTCCGATGCGAAGCCGCCTTCGCTGTACGTCGCCCCGCCGATGGACAGAATCACCGTCTTGCCTTTCGTCTGGCACGTGGTGATGTCGTTCCTGTCCATTGTTAGTGTCAACTTCATCTATCCGACGGGACGGCACATACCCGATCTGCGGGCAATTGGGCAAATTGGTCCCATTGAACAAGGGGCAAGCCTTGCTGGTGTCGGCGAAGTCATACTCGGGCACGCCGCCTGCCCCGTTCACCTGCATCACAAACGCAAGGATAAGGACATCGATGTTGGGATCGTCGCAATAATAGGACAGATTCTGCTGCGCCAAGTTCCCCGACCCCCGATACGAATTCTGGCCTAGCCCTAAGTCAGTCCGGACACCCATCTTCAGCACAATGGCATCATCCACGCAAACCCACCCCAGTATACAGCCACATTGTTCGGGGACGAAAGATCGAGTTTCGCGTACGCTCCGCCCAGCGACGCCAACGCCGCCGTCCAGGCGAGGAGGGATTGGAAGAACATCGTGCTGTGTGGTGTTGCTCTTCGATCAACAACCGAACGAGTGGAAGGTGGTGTGCTGGAGGTATACAACACAGGGAAAAGAGTGAACAGATATCTCTGAGCACAGCAACGAAGAAGAGAGAGGGTATAGATGATACTTTCCAGGTAGTGCTTGGTGGTGGTGGTGGTGGTGGTGGTGGTGACGATGATTCCCCTCAAGTCAGTACGTCTGTATCGCTTGTCGAAAGATCGTCGAGTCTCGTTCCGAATACCCTCACCTTCCATCCAGCGCTCTGAGACAGAACCCTCGACTTTATATCCCCATATCCCCAAACCCCCCTCTAAACGGTCAGCCTTAACGACGTAAACGTAAACGTCAACAACCCTAAACCGGTCACCCATCTGATATTAGTCGAACTCTCCCTGGCTGTCATAGTCATGCGTTCTGATCGCATGGCACGGCCCTGATTGAGGATATGGTTCTTTCCGGGATCGTCAGGCCCAGGACCATCCACACATTCTTGACACTTCCAGACACACGCGCAGCCGGACAGAAGAGGAGCCAGTAGGACGGGGTGAGGGGAGAGCATCCCCCTGACGGCCGGAACTGTCATATCGATACGTAGCCGTGCCTGTGATCGGGGTAGTTGTGGGAGTGTAGCGGAGTGGAGTGGAGAGTGGAGAGAGGGGTGACTGGTTTGGGCGTGAGGAGTTGGGGCAGGGCAGGGCTGAGTTCACATTCCTCATCCTTGACCTGGGCAACTGGCCTCAAGGAAGAATGTCGAGTCTCATAGAAGACAACTCATTTCTGGGGATATGGGCACAGATGAGAGAGAGAGGAAAGCCCTGGTGGAAGTAGTAGATAGCGTGTAGTTTGTAGTTGATCCATAGGAGGCAGAGTAAGAGCCCAACCGCTTTAGCCCTAATGCTTTAGCCATGATCCCCATTCCCGTCACCATCACCATCACCATCACCACCTCACAAACCAGTACAGTACTCTCAACCACCCACCGTCTTCAGCCTACAACCCCACCCGCCTCCAATTCAGGGCTCAACACAATTTCCCTTCCCGGCGAAACCCCAGAGTTCTGGACATTCAATCGCTATGCCAAAACCCCCACCATCCCCAACGAGTGACGCAAAGGTGACCATCCACTTCAACTTCCTGTTCCTGTTTTCTCTCTTCCAACGTCTGCAGAAGCCACCCGCCCCTCATTCCGGGGACAAGCGAACCATCGATTGATTCGACCGGGGTAAGTAAGAGGGAAAACCGCTTCCATCCCGCGTCGGGTCCAGGCTCTGAAGCGGTGGTCAAATCACCCGCCCTCATGGCTCCCCCAACCTCACACCTCTCACTAATGATAATCACCCTCAGTGGGTAGAAGGGCAGAGGCATGGGATCGCGCACTTGACAAGACCATCCCAATGCTGAAATGATATGGTAGGATGATCGCAGTATACTTTCTGCTACAGTGCATACAACAACCACCAACCAACCTAGAAGGCAAGTAAACATCGCGTCGCACAGCACCACAAACACAAATTCCAGCAACAGAACAAGAACAAGAACAAGAACAAGAACAAGCACAGGGATGGACCTGGAAACGGCAAACGGGCAACCGGCTCTCGGCCCCGTCTGTCCCCGGGGACGGACTAATCCCGCGCACGGACAAGACAGACCAGACCCAGATCCTGTGCGTGGGTAGCTGCGTACCTGCGTGTGACGGCAGTGCGAAAGGGTTGTTTCTCGCCAACCTAAATTCTATCTGCGATGACGGTTGCGGATAGGATCCAGAAACTTATGGCGGGTAGGAATGCGCGGATGGGGACGGGGACGGGGAGGGTTGGCCGGGGGATATATGGTATGCTGTATCTCTGGGGTCCAGGTCTATGCGGAGCAGGGCTGTCTCCCCGGGTTTGGTACCGGATATATGGAGTGATCGGATTGAATTCAATTGTAGACTGGAGGCTGCAGCTACAGCGACAGCGACAGGATAGTGAGGTCATTGGGGCCACCTGTGCTACCCAGTGATGGGGTGGTCGAACAGCAGGACATGTTTGTGGAACCACACCCGACGCGAGTAGCATTGACCCTCGTCTCGCAAGATCTGAAATCATGCGCCGAGATAAACCTATACAAACTTTCCCGTGGAGCTACTGCGCAATCCCCACCATCCGCTCGAAAGCCGCCTCATTCTCCAACTCCCCATCAACAACCCCGGCAACCTTCAACACATCCACCACCCCATCCACCACCGCCCGCTTGACCCCCCTCGTCCCCTGCGTAAACCTCACATCCTTCATCCACTCGCGCGCATCCTCCTCGCCATACGTGCACCCGAGCTCCCCGGTCCCCAGCAGCTTGACCACCCGCTCGCGATCCGCCTCAAACTCCGCGATCCCCTGGTCAAACACCTCAAACAGCCGCGCCAGTCTCTCATCCCCGGCCAAATCGCCCGGGAACGTCGCCGTCGACGCCACGATCATCCACGACGGCCAGGGCGTATAGATCTCGCCGATCTTCTTCAGCGGCGGGTGGGGGTTCTCAGCCGTGGGCCGGAAGTACGGCTTCGTGGTGAATTCCTCCCACATGAAGAAGTCCGCTGTCGGGGCGGTGGTCGACGACGATGCAGGGGCAGAGCCGGTGACCCCGTCGCGCAGGGACCCGAACGGCCCCAGGATGGTCGGGGTGAGGGTGTCCTTCTCGGACCAGTGGTGGGTCTGCGAGAGGACGAAGGACATGATGTGCGAGCCGCTTCACCACCAGACATCAAGCACCAAGCACTGTCAGTCGTGGCATCCTCGGTAGGTTTATCATAGGACAATAGCACTGCAGGAGGAGGAGGAGGAGGAGGTGGAAACTCACCTTCCCAACCGACTAACACCGACCCTCCCGCCCTTCAGATCCTCCACGCCTTGAATCTCCGCCCGCTCGCGCCCGGTGACGATCGCCCACCGCAACGGCGTGTCCACCCAGTGGCCCACGATCTTATAGCCGTCCGTCGCAGAGTCCTTGGGCGCCTGCTGCTTGCCCACCAGCCCGGCCACCCAGCCTTCCGTCAGGCCGATGGCGAGGTCGATCTCCTGGTCGCGGAGCGAGGTGATCATGTGGCCCGTGCCGGAGGGGAAGGGGACCAGGCGGACTTCGAACGGGAGGTGGGCGGCGGAGGAGCGGAGGGCCAGGTGCAGGGGGCCGAGATAGTGCTCTATTTCTTGTGAGTATTCGGCATCCTTGTAGAAAGTATGGGAGATATGGGAGGTGGGAGGGTTGGTGGGAGGGTTTGATTGCTCTCGCGGGAGAATGGCTTTGGATGTATGAGGGGTGATGATGGTGGTCTTGCTGGAATATTGACTTAGGGGAAGACGCACCTGGCACATAGCCAATTCGGATTGTTTCGGTGTTTGAAGCCATGATGGGAGCTTTGGATGCTGTGTGGCACTGCACCAGGAAACAAGTAACGGAACTAACACTTGTAAACGAAGGGTCGAGGGATGGTGGGGGAATGGATGACCCCGCGGACAGAGCGGCATGTCATCTGCCGCCCGCCGGCGATCGATCGGACGGAGAGGGGTCTCGTTTCCACTCGTTCCAAGGCTCACTGCAAGTACAATAGCAATTGAAAATATCTATAACTCTAGAGACAAATCTGTGGAGTCTGAGATCCAATTGCTGAATCTAGCCCTACAGCAAACTGCCATATCTATATACACATCATGGAGCCATCAGGTCATCCGAATATCCTTCTCCTCAACCTCCCATCCCTCACTCGCCCCCCGAGAAGGACTGCCCGCAGCCCCAAACGAGGGTCCACTATACATCCAGAACTGCAGTCCCAAATACAAATCACAGATACACTGGAACATCGCGCACAGCCGGAACGACCAGGGAATCACCTCCGCGCTGCAGAAGAAGTAGCTCAGCTTCGTGATATCACCCAGAATCCACGCCGCAACCACCGACAGCCGGAACCCCACGCACGACCGCGATTGATGGTTCTTGATCACCTGCGGCAGCGGCAGCGTCGCCTCCACCGCGAGGCCGACGTATCCCAGCAGGCCGATATAGGACTGCGAGTAGGCGAGCGGCGGAAGGAAGACTTGAACGACGGCGAGGGCAACGGTGAAATACGCGAGGAACATCCAGTAACTGCACATCAGTCGGGTCAGTAGCCAGATCGCGTGGTTCTGAGAGAAAACAAGGAAACATACGGCTTCGCGCTCCGCCACTGCCAAAAGTCATACGGTCTCGTGAACCCCGGCCCGCTGTCCACGCTGCTGAAGGGGACGTGCTCCACTCCATTCTTCAATCCAGGGGCCGGCCGGTTGTCGAGTGCTACCTTCAACAGGATGATCTGCACACCGATCGTGAGGACGGCCTGGATGAGGAGCGAAAGAGAATACTTGGCGCCGAACCAGTAGAAGACCCTAGGTATTATGTGTCAGTCCCGGTCGCTTCCCTGCCCCAAGACACGTCTTACTTCAGAATCGACGCAAGAAGCATGATCAATGGAATGTCCATCGCGAAGCCAGCCGAGCTTCTGCTGCGGTGGATGCTGAGGATTTGGTCCGCATATGAGGTGACCGGCGAGGTCATGATACTGTTCGAAATGATTGATCAGTGAACTGTTCATGCCAGCAGCAGAAATCGAAGCGTACAATAGAGGAGCTCCATATTCAAGGGCTTGCGATAAGAGATTCATGGTGCGTGCACTAGCCCGTCGAAGCGTATGAGGACAAGGTGTTTCTGTCACAGTTGAGTCCTGGTGTTGAGAGCGGAGATTGCGGTGGACCGGAGGGATGACCTATAACTGTCGGCCAAAAGAGGAGTCGCGCGCCAAACACACCGATATCCAGAACCACGCTGGAAGAAACGAAGAGAATGAAAGGCTTGATTGCAACGGCCGTGTCAGATCGCCAACCCCTCGAGAGTCGAGCCACCACCGGATGCGTCTTTCCTCCCCTTTACTTTTTCCCCTGGCGCCCGCTGACTCAGCCCCACTGATCGGCGCCAAAAATCGAGTCTCATCCCAATCGGGTAACAATACAGTGCTTATTCACCACTTCACCACTTGGCTCGACATTACGAGGTGCCACTATCCTACTCGAGCTTGTTGACACGGTAGCCTTGGCCAGAATGGGCCTGGAGTTTAATATACTATTGTAATCCACTCGTCTATCGCTCCCAAAATCAAAATTCAATCCGCCACGAGTTGCCAATGGCCACGTTAGGGTTTTTGACCACCGCATACGAAGCCTTACCGTCCTGCTGGCTGTGATAATCAATCGAGGCGGTGGTGGCAGCTTTGGCATTCTCCTCAATCACCGTCACGCTGGCCTTGTCCTGCCAGTCCTTGGGTGGGTCAACAACAATGATTCGCTCCACGCGAACCCCAGCCATTTTCTTCACATATTCGTTCGTCTTGGGACCCTTCACACCCAGATCTTCGGACGACAGAGCAGAATCACGGAAGGCGAATCGGCGGTGGATGTAAGCGCCACGCTCGTAATCAAACGTCTCGCCATCATCAACGTAGAGGGTACCGTCAGCGTGGCCGTTCTTGTCCAAAGCGATAACAAGAGTGTAGGGATCCCATCTCATCAGTCCGCTGCTGCGGCGTGGGCGATCCTTACGAGGAATGACATGGCCGCCCTGCATCAGCAAAGGTATCTTCTCCATAGGAGCGGGCACGGTATGCCGCTGGCCTGCTCCTTGGTAGACGGTATAGTCGAAGTAATCATAGTACTTCTCGTCGTCAGCAAGATAGATGTCAACACTGGTAGCATCCTCTGCCACCACCGGCTTGGCAAGAAGACCCGTGTTGCCGAGATAGAGCTGATCGTCAATAGCAAAGCCTGCTTCGTCGGTAGGATGAACATAGTATTGGGGCCGCACAATCGGCATCCCATTCACCGAAGCCTCGTGGAAGGCGGTATACCAGGCAGGCAAGAGCTGGTATCTCAGGCGGATGGCCTGCGCAATGATGGATCGGAAAGGCTCAGCAATTAAGTACGGCTCACGTCGGCGAGTGTCAATGTGAGCGTGGGCGCGGAAGAACGGATACCAGATACCGGTCTGGTACCATCTGGTCAAGAGTTCCTTGCTCGGGTTCTGGAAGAAGCCACCGACATCAGCACCGGCAAACGGGAAACCCGCGATACCATTGTTCAACACCATTGGCAGCGAGGCAGCCAAGTGATCCCAGGTCGCCTGATTGTCACCCGTCCACATGGCTGACATCCGTTGAGCACCGGCATAGTAAGAGCGGGTCAAGATGAAGGGTCGGCGGACTTCGCCCTTCTTGCGCTCCAACAATGCATTGTAGGTGGCATTGACCAAAGTGACACCATGCACATTGTGAATATCGCGATGCTCCCAGTTCTCATGGTGCAGGTTGTCCTTGGGCATAGTGGTTTCGGGGCCGTTGAAAACGGATGGCTCGTTCATGTCATTCCAGATGAAGACATTTGACAGGGTGCCCTTGAACTTATCATATTTGAACAAGCCCATCCACCACTTGATGGCTGCCGGGTTGAAAGTATCAATCCAGTTCGACGAGCCAGGCCAACACCAGCCATCATAGATCTCGCCATCCTTGTTCCTAGTGGCCAAGTTCTTGCTCTTCAGTTCTTCCGAGATAGTGTACCCATCCTTGTTCTTGATATGAGGATCGATCAAGACCACGAGCTTACGCTCAGACTCATCGAGCTGCTTCTCCATGCTGATAGGATCAGGGAAGGTAAGCGGATCCCAGGTGAAGTACTTCCTGTCATCAGTGTACTCGAGGTCCAGCCAGATGATGTCGTAGGGGATCTGGTACTTGTCAAAGTTGCGATCGACCTCCTTGACATCCTCATCGGTGATGTAATTCCAGCGACACTGGTGGTACGCGATGGCAAAATGTTGAGGCAACTGAGTGAACCCGGTGAGTTCACCATATGACTTGCTGATGTCTTGCGGTGTCGGGCCCAGGAAAACGAAAACATCGATCTGGCCAGACTCAGAGAACCAGTGACTCTGGGTGTCTGTCTTGGCGCCCACACCAAGGGAAAGAGGGTTGGGAGACGAGGTGGCCTTGACAATGTCTACCCAGGTCTCTGCGGCGTTCAGCCAGAAGACGCCGACGGTAGAGTCCTTACGGTGCGCCTGCATGAATGGAATGGAGCCATAGAGGGTCATCGGGCTGTTGAGCTCATACTCAAACACATCCGAGTTGTACATGCGGTAAGGTTCGTTGTGGTTGCCATCACCACCGCTGAGATTCGGTTAGCGCCTTCATGATATAGATAGCGGGTCCGCTTACCGAGTCTGCTTCAAAGACATGGAGTCGGCGTGCTCGGGAATACCGAAAACATGGCTGTAGCCAGGGAAGGTAATGTCCAATCCGACACTTTCGGGGCCCTTGGGCTTCGAGTCCGTGTTACCTCCGAAGCTCTCTTCCCACCAGGTGCTCTCGTCTTCCGAAGGCTCTTGATCGCTGCCCTCCGGAGCCTCGACCTTAGGCCGCCAATGCTCCATGTTCAAGTATCCCTGATGGTTCAATTGGACGTGGGTTTGTCCGTCCCGCTTAAATTCCGCCCTGAAGGGGTTGTGGTGAATGATCGCTTCGAACTTGTTGTCTGGACCGTACAGGACCCGGGTAACTCCAGCTTCGGTTTCTGGCTCCAAGGTCGCGGTCTTGCTCAAGTCCAAGCCACCAACCAAAGCCCATTTCTCGACCTCATTGTATCGTTCCTTGCGTGCCGGGCTGTTGTGTCGAAGCTCGATTTCGCCCTTCAAGCGCTTCTCCTCATCGACGGTGACCCGTGCAACGCCTGACTCTAGAAAAGAGATCCCGAGGGGCAGCCGGACCTTTTCGTCCGCGGATAAAGATTTGAGAACGGTTCCGTGGAGTTGTCCATCCTTGAATTGGATGGAGGAGGATTCGAGCTCGTAAGGGGAGGACCAAGTTGAGCCCTTCGCGGTGACATCGTCGGCGAACGCTCGGTTCCGCTTACAGAACCCCGACTGTGAGCATGTCTTGAAACTCTCGTGTTTCACGGAGACTATACGTTGCGGTTAGGTCTGTGCACAGTAGCAAAGGCTCTTGAGGGGAACTTACATCCTGGGATGATGAGACATCCAAGGACAATCACCAACGACAATAAGAGGGTCCAACGGGTGGACGATGGCCGGGAGCCGGCCATGTTGCGAGCTTAATAGATAGGATGCAATCAGAGACACTCAATCTCTGAAAACAATAACTTTCACCAATCACCAGGGGTGAGGACCTGCATCTACCAGAGGTGAAGGTCAAATGCAGAAGCGGCAGGCTCTGGGACGTTTGAATAAGAGTGCAGTGACATGTGAATAGTTCCAGCCTGGCCAGATTGGCGATGACCGTGACGGAAGCTCCCTGGATTGGGTTTAGGGTGGCTCTAAACTGGATCGGGCGGCTGGGGTTTCGACACCTGAGGCGGTGAGGCGGCCAGGCCCTCAGGCCATTGAGCTGGCAGCTCCAGGCCACAAGGCCCTCACTTTCCATTATTGCCCCTCCTTTTGCGTCCCTTTCCGTCGAGCCCCACACAGCGTTTGCGGTCCCTCCTTATATTTTTCGCCCATCTCACGCCGGCTCTGCTTCCTTTCCCTTTCCCTCCTCTCATTCGAATCTCCGTGAATCGTTATCATCCACATCCTTCAAAATGTCCAACGAGCAGACGTAAGTTGATGCTCCTCATCCCTCATTCTCATCTGCTCTGTCAACCATGTGTCGACTACCCACCTACCTTGACAACACTTGACCTCAACGCTCATCTGCCTTGACCTCGAAGCTAACAACCGGACACAGCTTCATTGCCATCAAGCCCGATGGTGTCCAGCGCGGACTCATTGGCCCCATCCTCTCTCGCTTCGAGAACCGTGGGTAGGTGTCCCTCAATGCTGATTGTTGTCATCTCCAGCCATACTAATTGTCCTGCAGCTTCAAGCTCGTTGCCATGAAGCTGTGCTCTCCTTCCCAGCAGCACCTCGAGCAGCACTACGCTGACCTCAGCGACAAGCCCTTCTTCAAGGGACTCGTCTCTTGTGAGTAGCTCGACTAGCTGATATTACAAACACATGCTAATTTCGTGAAACAGACATGCTGAGCGGTCCCATCTGCGCCATGGTCTGGGAGGGCCGTGATGCCGTCAAGACCGGCCGCAGTAAGACTTCTCTCCCGGAATATGCTACTACAGCGATACTAACAATGTCGACCAGCCATCCTCGGTGCCACCAACCCCCTTGCCTCCGCCCCCGGCACCATCCGTGGTGACTACGCCATCGTAAGAGCCCTGTACCCTTGACTTCAACCCCAGAGCACCGCTGACAATTGCTTAGGATGTCGGCCGCAACGTCTGCCACGGTTCCGACTCCGTCGAGAACGCCAAGAAGGAGATTGCCCTCTGGTTCAAGCCCGAGGAGCTCCAGAGCTGGAAGCAGAGCCAGTTCGACTGGATCTACGAGAAGGCTTAAATTTCTCATCTCCGCTTTACCATTTCGGAGCCTACCGACCCTCCAGTTTGAGGGATGTAGCGCTACTTCGATGATACTGTCCATAAACAAAAAAGCCCCCATGAGAAATACAAGTCATTTCCAGATCTAACTCTATTTACCTCCATCCGTACTGTACAATCCTCCCGCCCCGTAGAGCACGGCCTCAGCGTCATAGCAACCGCAGGCTACTTCTTCCCGAGAAGACCCCTAACCCCCTTCCCCAGGGGCCCAAGCACCACCCTCGCAAACCACGGCGTCGCCCAGACACTCGCCGCAATCCGCACCGGCAGGAGAAACTTGGTCACCGTATACGCCGTCGCAAACTCCAGCACGAGACGCACCCCTTCCGTTTGGGCTCTGCTGCTGCTACGGTCCACGGCCACACGTTCCGAAAGAGTCAACCTCCCCCCCTCTGCACCGCCCTCGAGGGCGGCCAGATCCACCTGCGTATCCGCATCCACCCAGCCTTTCTTGCGCAGCCACCGCTGGAACCGCTGCGTGCCCTGCTGGAAGGACTCGCTGGCGGTCAGGTCGGGCAACCAGTTGCCGTAGTGGAAGGCGCCCGCCAGCCCGAATAAGGGGACAATGGCGGTGAGCTCGTGGAGGATGAGGAACGAGGTGACGTGCGTTGCGGGCGCGCCTAGGAGCGGGGTGGTGTAGGTGCGTAGGAACCGGGGAAGGCGGTCGTTGAATCGCTGCAGGCGCGCGCGGAGGTCTTTCGGGGCGGGTGGAGATGGGGAGGTCGAGGTGTACCGCCGGGATGGGGGCTTGAGGTGGGAAGTGAAGGAGGAGTAGGAGGAGAATTGGGTGAGTCGGGAGATTGAGCGTTGAGAGGAGGCCATTTTCTTGTTCTCGGGGTTATTGCAATGTCATTCCCGTCGGCGGCCGGTTGGGGGAGGAGACACCGGGAGATGGGATTCGATGGGGCTGGGTTTCGTCTCGGGAGTCCTGATCGGTTGGCTGGAAGTTGGGGAATAGATTAAGGTTGGCACATTGACGGGTTGACAGGACAGGATGCAGGAAGGGAGTATGTAGGTCTGAGTTGGACTGCATCTGTCGTTGAGTAACTTGTCGTTCGTTGCGATACACTCGTGGTGGTCGTGGTCGATGTTTGCCCTGTTTGCATAAGTGATGGTCGATTAATTGATCTAATCTCTATAGTTGTGTTCGAGCACTGTTCAATATCCTATCCATTGTTGTCATGATCCACTTGTCTGCCTTCTTGTGCCTCACCCAAGTTTCTCGCACGCCCGATTGCCTCGTGGAGCCTCCAGCAGCCTCCAGCAGCCACCAGCAGCCACCAGCAGCCAAGCCCAGAGTCAACCAGGCAGTCAATGCATAACTAATGCATGCAGTCGCTCAAGATAGAGAAAGCATGCATGACGAATTTGTGCCACACCAAACAGTCAGGATGAGTGATTGCATGTACCAAATAGTGAAGATACTGCTGCACTTAGTCACATCACCAAGTCCAGTGACTGGGTAGAGGATGAGATGGGGTCGCCAAACCAGATCGGCAGTTCGTCATTTTGCCTCTTCCGGAGGGCCCCTCAGAGTCCGCGCCAGAAGCAGATCTTCTTCTTCCCCACCGCCGCCCTTCTTCTCTTGCGCCTCCTTCTCCTCAGTCACTTCTCCCTCTTTCTCTCGCTATCGTCTCCTACTAGCTACCGCAGACGAGCCTGGCTTCACCATGGAGAAAATTACCGATAAGATCGCGGCTTTGCCGCCCGATGCGAATTACTTCTCGCTGGAGTTTTTCCCTCCCAAGACCAAGATGGTGGGGCATTTATTTCCCTCTCCCCGCACCGCAGAATGACTCCAACCCAAGCCATATATACTGATTGATCATGGATTCACCATTAGGGTTTCGCCAACCTCCAAGCCCGTCTGGAGCGTATGGCCCAGGCCCTTCGTCCCTTGTTCGTCACCGTCACCTGGGGTGCTGGAGGAAGTACCGCGCAAAGGTCCCTGGAGCTGGCCGAGATCTGTCAGCGCCAATTGCAGTTGACCACATGCTTACACTTGACGTGCACGAACATGAGCCGCGCCCTAGTGGATCAGGCGCTGGAGGAAGCCAAGGTCCTGGGCATCAGGAACATCCTCGCCCTCCGTGGTGACCCGCCCCGCAGCGAGGAATACAACATGCACGGCGAGGACGACAGCAACAAGGACTTTACCTTTGCGGTGGACTTAGTGCGCTACATCCGCAAGCATCACGGCGACTACTTCTGTATCGGTGTGGCTGCCTACCCCGAGGGTCACCCGGCAGACAACTTCCAGGACGGCCAGGACCCGGCCAGGGACGTGCCATACCTGGTCGAGAAGACCCAGGCGGGCGCCGACTTCATCATGACTCAGTTGACCTACGACATTGACGCCTACACCAAGTTCGAGAACATGCTCCGAAACCACGAATCCGGCGCCTTCAAGACCATCCCCATCATCCCCGGCTTGATGCCCCTTCACAGCTACAAGATCCTGACGCGCGTGACGAAGCTGAGCCATGTCAAAATCCCCCCGCACATCCTGTCCAAGTTGGAAGTGATCAAGCACGACGACGACGCCGTCAAGCGCGCCGGTGTCGACATCGTCTGCGATTTGGTGGACGGCATCCGCAGCATTCCCACCCCCGGCCTGCGTGGTTTCCACTTTTACACGCTCAACCTCGAGAAGACGGTGTCGTTCCTGCTCGAGCGCTGCGACCTCATTGGTCCGTACACGGAATATGACGAACCCATCGAAGACTCCGCAGCATACTCGGCCGCCCGCCTCGAGACCCCCGCGCTCGCGCTCGCCAGCCGCCGCTCCTCGGTCAGCTCCATGCCCCACAACCGCGTCATTGTCGACAAGTTACAGCCGTCGGACGTATCCTCGCGAGAATCCGTCAGCCACGAAGCCACCGCGCTCAGCGCCGGTTTGCCCGCCATGCCCCCGGACCGCAGCACGACGTTGCAGATCTCGGAGGGTCTCGGCGCCCTCGGACGAGAAGCGACCTGGGACGACTTCCCCAACGGACGATGGGGTGATGCGCGCTCGCCCGCCTTCGGCGAGATCGACGGCTACGGGCCCTCCCTGCACATCCTGCCGGCCGTGGCCCACAAAGTCTGGGGCTACCCGGTGACCCACGACGACATCAGCGCGCTCTTCCGGCGCCACGTGTCCGGCGAGCTGTACATCGTACCGTGGAGCGAAGGCGGCGCCGAGGAGGGCTCCGGCACGCTCAACGCCGAGACGGAGATCATCCGGCCGGAACTCCTGCAGCTCATCGACAAGCGCGGCTGGTGGACCCTGGCCTCGCAGCCGGCCATCAACGGCGTGCGCAGCGACGACCCGATCTTCGGCTGGGGCCCGCCCGGGGAAGGGTTCGTGTTCCAGAAGCCGTTCGTCGAGTTCTTCTGCCCCAGCGCGGACTACCAGACAGTCCTCAAGCCGCTGTTCGAGCGCCATGGTCACGAGAAGCTGGCCTGGTTCGCCACCAACGCCCGCGGCGACTTCGAGTCCTCCCTGCCCAGCTCCAACGCCGAGGACCCCGACCCCATCGACATCAACCCCGCCAACGTCAACGCCGTCACCTGGGGCGTGTTTCGGGGCAAGGAGATCGTCACCCCCACCATCATCGAGGAGGTCAGCTTCCGCGCCTGGGGCGACGAGGCCTACCGCATCTGGGACGAGTGGCGCCGCATCTACCCCAAGAACTCGGCCACCGAGCGCTTCCTCGACTCCACGAAGAACGACGTCTGGTTGGTCTGCGTGGTGGGCCAGGAGTTCGGCGCCGGGACGGAGGTCGGCTCGAAGGAGGAAGAGGAGGAGACCAAGTGGATGTGGAGGGAGCTGGCGGGCTGCTAGTTGAAGCTGTCGGCTGTCGGCTGTCGGTTGTCGGCTGCTTCCGTCGTCATGACCTGCCTAGGGGGGTTGGATGGGGCGAGGGAGGGGGCTATCTTGCTTGAACACTGGACATAGGGGTTCTTCTCTCCCCGTCCTTTCGGAGTCATGTATTGAGATCATGGCATATGTGTGTGAGTTATAAAGAAAAGAGGTCTTGTTCTATTAGCCTTTCTATTCCATTTGGCTCTCTCCCACAATCTCTTCCTTTCTCTCTTCCTTTCTTCCCCTTCAATCAGAGTCAAACAAGCTGGTTTCAAGATAAGGCTGCGTCTAGCCCTTCAATGCCCTCTATTCGTAGTACATACCAACCTATCTTCACATAACCATTCAGTAACCAGCAGCTTGATGATAGAGTGGTGCAGTAGCCCGTCACGGTACCTAGAAAAAAAAAAAAAAAACTATCATTTCCACTGGCAACCTTGGAAGGTTATCCACCGAGTCCGCATCTCCTTGGCTTATCAGATCTACTAACCCCATCCTTCAATTGGTTCATTTTCGTCTTCGGGTCCTGCCAGTCCAAGAGGCTCAGGCCCAACATTCATTAAGAGGTTACTTGTACTCTGGGATCATGGATCAGGTTCAAGTTCTTACCGATACCTTGATTTCTGGAGGAGCTGGGCTGGGCTCGCCCAACACGGTTGGCCTAATACGACTAACCCGTGATCGTCTACAGATGGAAAGCTAGAATGAGATAGCAACAGGGAAGCAATAACCTTGATCGGGTTCTTCTGCTTCTGATTGTGCAAAACCTATATTCTTCGTATCTTCATAGTCTGTCTACATGTCCTTTACATAGGAGAAGCGGATCTATTTACCAGCCTTGCCGGTGGGGATGTTGAACAGCACGGCGGGCTGGCCGGGGGCGTAGGGGCGGTCGAGGCGGTAGTAGCCCTTGCGCTCGAACTGGATGATGTCGCCCTCCTTGAGGTCGGCGACGTTGGCGTCGGCGAGGGCCTCATCGCGGAACTCGGTGTGGGGGTTGAGGACGGCCTCGAGGGTGTCCTCCTCGGTCATGGTGTCCTTGTTGAGCAGGAAGTCGAAGTCGACCAGCTCGACGGGGACGAGCTGCTGGTCGGCCGAGAGCCAGGTGACCTTCTTCTCGGTCTTCTTGAAGTCGCCAGCGAGGTGGAGGTCGAGCTCCAGCGCGGTGACGGCGCCGGTGGCGGCGTCGGTCTCGATCTTGCGCACGATGGCGTTGCCCCACGCCATCAGGGTGATCTCCTCGTCCTGCTTGAAGGTCTTGGCGTCCTCCTGGTCGAGCAGGATCGAGTCGCTGAAGGTCACCTTCTTGGTGCCGATGGCCGGGTTCTTCGCGTGCTTGGGCTTGTCCTCGGTGTACGCGGCGGGCGCGCCGTTCAGCTTGGCCTTGACCAGCTGCTTCTTGAACAGGGCGGTGTGGCGCGGAGCAACGGGGTCAATGTACTTCTTGTTGGTGGCCCAGAAGAGGGTCCAGTCGAGGTTCACGATGTTCTTGCTGGGACCCTGCTTCAGGATGAACTCCCGCAGAGCCGGGATCGTCATGCCGCGACGGCGGATACCCCGGATGGTGGGGAAGCGCGGGTCGTCCCAGCCCCAGACGGCGCCGGACTCGACCAGCTTGGTGAGCTTTCTCTTGGACAGAAGGGTCCGCACGAAGTTCATGCGAGCAAAGTCCCAGATCTGGACATGGCGGAGCTTGAGGGTGTCCAGGAACCACTGGTACTGGGCATTGCGGTCACGGTACTCGATGGTTCTCAGAGCGTGGGTGACACCCTCCTTGGCGTCAACAATCGGGCATGCGAAGTCGTAGGTGGGATAGATCTTCCACTTGGTACCAGTGCGGTGGTGCTCCGCGACGTTGCATCGGTAGATGACGGGGTCACGAAGCGTCTTGTTGGGGGCGTCGTAGGAGATCTTGGCCCGAATGCACCACCGCAGTCCCTCGGGAGTTCCCTGCTTCATCTCCTCGAAACGAGCAAGACTCTCTTCAACAGATTGATCACGGCGCTTGCTGGGCTCGCCGACCATTCTTTGTTCAGCCATGGTCTCCTTGTCGGTATCATCGGCATAGGCATGTCCCTCCTTGATGATGCGGATAGCATACTCGTAGAGCTCGTCAAAGTAGTCACTGGTGTAGCTCAGTCTGTCCGGCTTGATTCCCATGAGGGCCAGATCCTCGATGATGGCGTCCTGGAATTCCAGCTTCTCGTTCGACGGGTTGGTGTCATCGAAACGGACCAGCAGGGTTCCAGCATACTTCTCGTGGGCGAAGTAGTCGTTCAGGAGAGCCGCCTTGGCGTGTCCAATGTGGAGGTATCCAGAGGGCTCAGGGGGGAAGCGAGTCACCACACCCTTATCAGTGTTGAGGAGGTTGATGTCGTAGCTGGCTCCCTCCTTGGCCTTGGCGGTCTTCTTCTCCTTGGCGACGGCGTTCATGGACTCGAGGGCAGTGGCGGCCCAGGGGCAGAGCTCATCAATGAAGTTGAACCACCGAGTCAGGCTGATCAGAGCACCCTTGCGCACAGGAGAGATGGCCACCTTGTTGGCCCGGAGAGCACCCCAAATAGCGAGGTCGGCAGTCGAGAGCGAGTAACCAGCGACGAAAGAGCGCAGGAGGAGGTGGGTGTTCAGACGCTGGAGCTGAGGTTCGAGGGTCTTGAAGTCGAGAGTGGTGAAAGTCTCAAGCTGAGAGAGCCATTCGGTCTCCTATAATGCAGTGGTTAGTAGACGTAGAACCACGTGCGATTGGACGGTCTTCATGCCCACGTACCAGCTTCTCATCCTTGGCGTTCAGGAAAGGAAAAGCAGCACGCAGTTCCTTGATCGCATTGTCGGAGCCATAGACAGGCGAGCCGTTGGCACCGGTGAGTTCGACCGTGGCCTTGTCCCCAGTGCTCAAGACAGCGCTATCTTCGTAGTTGATAGCAATCACCTCCTGCTCCTGGTTGAGGGAAGTGGCAACCAGAAGGACAGGCAGCAAAGCGGCCGGGTTGGCGCGAGTGGCCAAGGTCAGCTGGAACTGCGACATCTCTCTTCACTTCTGCGTGAGAATTGAATTGGATGATGGGAAGAAGGGAAGAAACAAAAGGCGGGCGGGGAAGAGACGGAGGAGGGGCAACTTTTTGGTCAATCGGGATTCCGCCGGCGGTATTGTTTCTCCGCCTTTCCAGGCCGCCCGGACTCGGAACTTGCTCGATTTCCCGTCGGCGGCCAAAAAACATTGGCTTTCCATTTGGCGTTCGTTCATTGATTCATTCAGAATCCGGGGTCAACACGCCTGCCGCCATGTCGTCGTTAAACTCACTGCTGCCCACTGCGGCACGGGGGTTGGTCTCTTCGTGTCGATCTGCCCTGCGACCTGGCCCCTTGGCCTCGGTCGTTTCCACTTTTCAGCAGACGCGATGGGCCAGCAAGGCGAGCTCTAAGAGAGTCCAGAGCCAAGGCTACAAAAGCAATAAGGACAAGTCCAAGGTTAAGGGCAAAAAAGGTAACAAGGAATTCAAGCAGCATAACCTGAAGGATATGGAGCAATTTGCGCTGTGCGATGCGATGCGGTATGTGTACCTGCCAATGGCATTGTCTTTCAACCAGACTAGTAGCTGATCACGCACCTTTGGGGACTGCAGATATATCCGCGCCTTCGAAGTCGGCCGCCAGCCCACGGTCTCCAAGTATGAACTGCACATCCGCCTGAAGACCAAGCGAGACGGTCCCGTCATCCGCAACATGCTCCGATTGCCCCATTCGATTTCGACGGAATCGCGAATCGCCGTTATCTGTCCCCCCGGTTCCAAACAGGAGAAGGAAGCCCGCGATGCGGGTGCTGTTCTGGTCGGAGAGCAAGAGGTTTTCGATGCGGTAAAGGGCGGCAACATCCCCTTCGATCGCTGCATTGCCCATCCGGACAGTATGGAGGCCTTGAGCAAAGCCGGCCTGGGCAGGTTCCTGGGTCCTCGCGGTCTGATGCCCAGCGCAAAGATGGGTACGGTGGTTGAAGATGTGGCTTCCCGCGTCGAGATGCTACGTGGTGGTACGACCTACAGAGAGCGTGCTGCCGTCATTCGTCTTCCCATCGGCCAGCTGGGTTTCTCCCCGGAGCAATTGCGCGACAACATGCGGATCGCCCTGGAGCAGATCAAGAAGGATGCCGCCGCCATGAACGATCGCATAGTCAAAGAGATCTACGAGGTGGTAAGTCGGCGACCATCCCCTTCGCCCTCCGATTGCCGCTAACCCACTACTCCAGGTGTTGAGCTCCACGAATGGCCCCGGCTTCAGCTTGAACGGCGAGTTCAAGTCCGATAACACCCCCGACACCACCGGCATGCATGGCCCATAAATATAGTTTCTTGAATATTCCGAGTGTACAGAATATGTTTCATTAGGCAGGACACGGTGTATAATGGTATTGTTTGACACATATATTCAAAGCATAGGATTTTCCCCAAAACGCCGACGCTATGCACGAGTGGCTTTCACTCTTGTTATGAGGAGAAAGGATCTAGGATTTCATGTTCTTCAGTGCAGATACCGCTGTGGCGTCCTCACCCATGATCTTGTAGAGGCGTAAGATCGCCATCGTTCTCTTGTCCCGCTTGTCACCCGCACGGCTGGCCTGGTCCAGGGCCGTTTTCAGATCCAGGAGCAGCGCCGATCGGATCTTCGAGACCCGAGTCCGCTGCCCTTGGATGAAGGGATGTTCCTCGCCAATGCGGGCCGCCAGCCTCGTCAGGTAGAGATATTTCTGGATATGGTGCTCGAGCGTTTTCAGCGACACGAGCGGTGTTGCCGAAGCCCCGTTTGCCAGTTCCTCCTCGTCCTCCTCGCTATCCTCGCTGGCGCTGTCCAGCAGGTCCGAGTCCGACTCACCCTCGAGAGCGGAGGACTCGGGGCGCGGTTGGCGAGCGGCGTCTCCGATCATGAGTTTCCTCTCCAGCTCCTCGATGCGATCCACGTAGTCCAGCAACGCGCGTCCCACATTGACCTCGCCCTTTAACCGCTTCTTCTCTTTCAGCAGCCCTTCGACCTCCTCCTGCCGGGCCTCCACCTTATCGCGGATCGCCCGCACATCGCGCTGGAAGGCCAGGAGCCCGACGCGCACCTGTTCGACCTTCTCCTCGCCACCTTGCAGTGCGATCCCCAGCGACAAGAAATCCTGGTAGTTCTCGTTGACCAGGTCGAGCAGCTCCCGGCTGAGCAACTGGTCGAGGTCTCGTAGTTCTTGTCGCAAGTCTTCCAGACTCTGGTGGCGGTTGGTCAATGAGGAGAGGTAGGCGGCGGGGTCGAAATCCGGCGCGAGAAAGGAGGCGCGGGACAGAGGTTCAGGGAATGGCAGGCCGGAGGTATCGTCGTCGAGGTCGGAGGCCGACTCGTCGGAGTCGCCAAACTACCGCGGAGATTGGATTGTCAGCCGGGTGAGGGGAGGTGGGTGGAAATGGATGGATGGATGGGTGCATACACGAAACTTGTTCATTCTGGGGGTCAGATAGGATATGAACCAGGCGAATTGACGGCGCACAGGTGGTAGACAAACAACAATGTTTTGGGAGAAGCCGGGGAGGGAGTGAGAGAGTGGAGAGGGGATGGAGAAGTGGAGAGGTACGGAAGTTACTTACGGAGACTGGTAGTGGTAGAGGTGGTGGCACGTTTTGACCAGTTGGTCCCGCCGCCCGCGGGAAGTACTCAGTATACGGAGTACCGAACAACCTTATACTTACAGTACATCTACAGACAGTACACAGTGCATACACCATCCTCATTTCTACGTTTGTCTTGCAGCTAGCCGGGTCGCATTGATCAGCGTGTCATCCGACGCTCGAGAGCCATGGCGATCATGGTCTCAGACAGCCACACCACACCACACCCTTACCCTTACCCTTACCCTCACCCGGTTACGCGGAGCTCATGCGTGGTTGTGTTCCCAGTGCCAGTGATTGATGCGCTGGAACGACCTACGTGTCTCGTGCCGTTGGTCTGTCCTCCCCGCTGCTGCTGTTGCCGCTGCCACCGTCTCAGCTGCGCGTTGACCGGAAGGTGGGGTTGATCATCACCTTGGGGAGGGTGGTGTAGCCGGTGATGGTGTTGTCGTCCTCGCTTTTCGTTGTCGTCCGTATCCTCCACCCCCCCCCCCTCCCCCCCCTTCGGTCTACGTTCTAGTCTAGCCTTGCATCCACACTGGCTGGGATCTTTGTTTGTCATCGGCTGGCCGGAACAATGGATCTTCAATCAGACAGGTTTTTCACTCACACGGATGCTTCTGTGGCCCCGTCATCCTCGTCTTCTTCCTACCCGCGCCGCCGATGGTCGCAGCTCAGCCCTCTGCATATTCACCCCCATACCCACACCCACACCCATACCTCCTCGCCTGTGGTGGTCGAGACTGTCCGACCCTCTCCATCCACGCATCATCCCTATCGCAATGATGACCTGTCTCTGACTGCTGAGTCCTCCCGAGCACATCGTGCCACTGCACTCCGTCAGTTGAATGGTTATGCCAGGCCCTTATCAGCGAAGGGCCGGCCCGCAACCACTCGGCCATCCACCACCACCACCACCTTGGGGTCTCAGCCCGTGCTGGTGAGAGCATATTCCGGAGGAAGCCCTAATGAGACTTCCACTGCGGCCACGATGCCTTCGCGGCGCTCATTCCTCCTCTTCTCTTCGCGCTCGACCAGCCGCCCTCGTGCGCCAGCACTCCCCTCCGAAGAGGATTTCAGTATCGATGGCATCTTGCGCGCCATCGAGCCCGATATCCGGCACACGCTCGACGCCATCGGCGAGATCTGCGGTCGAAGTAAGCTGAGCCTGGCCAACGAGTACGGGAGCCATATCGCTCCCCTGGGCGAGATTCGCGCTCCGCCCGGCGGCCTGTTGACCGTGGATGAGGCGAGCTCCGACCACGAGCGACAGGCCGACAACGACGTGGTCATCTATGACGATGATAACAGCGTTGCCGAGGGGCGGGATTTCCATTCCGCGCCGCCCTTTCGGTCCTGGGGCCAAGTCCGCCAGGCGACGACGGCGTCTCACTCGAGAATGTCCTTACCTGCCGACAGCGCTGCGCTGCAGGCTCAGCCCACGACCCCACGATACCCGGCAGCCTTACCGTCCGCGCCGGGCGAGACTGGTTTTGACTTGCTGTTGACCACCAGGGAGATCGCATCCAAGTCGAGCGCGAGTGGTCGAGGTCTCCTGGGGAAGAAGGTGAAGAACGACGCCCGACGCCGGACCTACGAGATGATCACGCCGGCACTGGTGTCGGAGACATTGCTGGAGGCTCAGGCCGAGAGCAGCTATCCACGCTCAAGCACCTCTGCTCCCGAGACTTCCCGTCGCAGTCGGCCACTCAGTACGAGCAATCTAGGAACCGCGCAAGCTGGCGAAGATTATCTTTCGGGAACACCCCGGCCGTCCTCGATGGTCGATATGCGGAGTCTCTTCGGTTGGCTCGGGTATATCATGAGCGATGCCGAGTATGGACGTAGTCCGGTGACAGCCCAAATGAGGCTGCGGGCGATGTTGGAGCGACCAGCCCATGGCCATGATGACTGAATGATATTTTGTGCTTATTGATGATTAACGATGTACGACTGTATGGTATTCCACGAATTTCAATCTTCCGTCCAATTAGCAAGTTCATAGTTTTGGGTATTAAGCTCAGATGCACATGCGCATGCACACAATCATCAAATCGCAACCCGAATCTCCCAGACAGTCTTCTCAGAAACCATGGTATCGTTATCACCGTACATACACGCAAGGAAATGTTATATGAACATGAACAAGATAGATACATCCAACCTTTCTACTCATCTCATACCTCTATGAAATTCTAGTCCCCCACCCCAAAATCGCCCCAAAACTCACCCCTCAATCTCCGCAATCAACGTCTTCGCAAACCCCTCAAACCGAGCATAAGACCACCCCTCCCGATACTTCTCCACCAACGGCCGATCATCAACCTTTTCCTCTTCCTCATCCTCATCCTCATCACTATCCTCCGCCTCCCCCTCACCCGCCTCCCCAATCCCCCTCCCCTCCACCAATGCCCCAAACCCAACATCCACCGGCACACTCCCCAAGAACCTAACCCCCATCTCCCGCGCCATGACCTCCCCGCCCCCACTCGAGAACAAATTCGTCACCTCCCCGCAGCACGGACACGTATACCCGGACATATTCTCGATAACGCCCAGCGTGGGGATGTTCGTCTTGACGCAGAAGTTGACTTCCTTGCGCACGTCGGAGGTGGCGATTGCTTGCGGGGTGGTGACGAGGACGGCGCCGGCGAGGCGGGGCATTTTCTGGCCTGGTGTCTGGGAGGTGGCGGGGGCGATGCTGCACAGCGTGAGGAGCTGCTCGGCCAGCGCGATGTGCTCGTCGCTCGTGCCGGGCGGGGTATCTACCAGTAAGTAGTCGGTCTCCCCCCAGAGCACGTCCGAGAGGAATTGCCGGATCATGGCGGTTTTCTTGGGGCCGCGCCAGATTACGGCGTCGGAGCGGGAGCGCAGGAGGAAGCCGAGGGACATGCAGTTTAATGGGCCGCGGGGGGTGGACTTTGAGTTTGGGGGGGTAATGGGTGAGGGGTCTTGTTGCTGTTGCTGTTGCTGTTGCTGTTGCTGTTGGGCGGGTGGGGGATTGGTGCTTGTTGCTGCTGCTGTTGGAGGGCTGTTGGGGGAAGGTGATGATGCATCTACACCGGTATGCACAGGCACAGGCAGCCAGCCGCCGGGCGCTTGGGTGATCTTCGCATCTTCCAGGCCGACTAGCCGCGGGATCGAGGGCCCCGTGAGGTCGATGTCGAGGATGCCCACGGATTTGCCTTGCAGGGAGAGCGCCAGGGCCAGTTGCAGGGTCACGGAGGATTTGCCGACGCCGCCTTTGCCGGAGAGGACCTGTTTTCGATACGGTGTGTTAGTCGCAGACAGAAAAAAGAGCTGGGCTTGCTGGAAACGGGGGTTCTGAGGCAAGCAAAGGTGCACTCCAGGCTCGCAGGGGAGTGTGCTGGAGTGTGCTTGGTATGCCCTCCACTGCGCGTTATCGATAAGAGGAGGAGGAGGGGCAAATGTTCTGGCAGAGCTTAGGGATTGAGGGTTCTCTTACCAGCACCACGTTCTTGACTCCGTCCAGAGGCATCTTCTTGGTTTCCTGCTGAATTGACGAAGAATCAATGGAGGAGCAAGCAATCTGTTAATTAGCGGGTCGGGGGAATGAATGAATGGGATCGATGGCGATAGCCGATTGCGGGCGCGGTTTTTTTCTGCGTCATTCCGCGGAGGTTTGCTTATCAATCGGGCTTGGCGAGAGGAACGCCGCTGAGATACTCGGGTTACAGTATGTACTTTTACTAACTTTGGAATATGTCTTACTCGGATTTATACTAGCTGAATCATTGAATCATTCTGATTGTTCATGAATCATCTCATCTCATTTCTTAAGTTTTAGTCCTCCAGAAATAGCCCTCCAGAGACTATCTACGCATCTGGCTCATTGCAGAACTTCTAGTCCACAGCCTCATTGAAGGCTCATTGCCACTTCTGCACCACAACACCGCCCCTCTTGAAGTCGGCCATCTCCCCCAGGACAGCACTCTTGTCCGTAAGGTCCTTGCTGGGAAAGGTGGTCATCAGTACCCACGGGCGGGACTGGCTAGCGGGGCTGGACGCAGACACGAATTCGTAGACATCCCCAATCGTGTGCGTAGTGTTGAAGCGAGACGTGAGTCGTGTGCCATCACCAAGGCGAATTTGCAGAGTAATTGTGGGCTGAGATTCATCGACCGTGGGCTTAGGTGGCTCTGAGGCCTGACTTGCTGGGGCTGGAGCTGGGGCTGGAGCTGGAGCCGCAGCAGAGGTCGACACGCCAGGCGTAGGGCTTCCCAGTCGCTGCCCTTGGCCAGAAAAGGGCTTGTACTTGGGCTTAGGCTTGACGTATTTCTCCTCGTGCTGGTTGATTTCCACGTCCACCTCCTGGCCAGACTGTACGTTCATGATCGAGAGGGGAGCACGACCCTGTCGGATCCCCTCCAGGATCTCGGCGTTCCGGGGATCATCGGAGCGGTACAGCTCGCCATCGTCGACGGAGAATCCGTCGGCCCAGAAATGAAGCGTTCTCTGAACCCGTTGCGGCACTTGCGTAGCCGGCGCGCTCGGGGCTTCGATTACCCTGCTCGGAGCGTCATCGCCACCAAGGGTACGTGCTGTGCCCGTGAAGTGCGACTGTCTGCTTGGTTCATCCGAGGAGGGCAGCTGAGTTCTACTACAGTATTAGCCTCCTTCTGAGTATGCTACCAATGGCCGGTTTCACCTCTTAGCCTTCTCGATAATCTTCTTCTTGATGTCGTCGGGATTCTGCACGGCGAGGCCAGACTTCTCTCCTCCCGCGAAGAAGTCCTGATTCACGGAATCCTCCTCTTCCGAGGACTCACCCGCCCCGGAGGTAAAATCGCCCAACGTCGCGAATCTCTTCTTCGGTCCGGTCCTGCGCGATGAGGACGGCTGCGGGGTAGTGGACGGAGACTGGGATGAACTCCCACCGAGTGTGTGACCGGCGACCGGTCCCGTTTCGGCTCCTAGGCTCTGCCCCGAGCCTGTGTCTGCGCCCTGCAAAGCTTCGTCCTGCTCGGCAAAGAATTCGGTCACTGCGGCTTCGAGGTCCCATTCGCTGGCTGCCAGGTATTCTTGAGCCTGTGAGAAGTAGACGTTAGTGTGAAGAGCATTTCCCGAAAGTTCAGGGGCAAACATACTACTGAGGCATCAGTGCCAGACATGGCACAGAACTGGGATACCAACTCATCGTGAGCTGCTTGATGTTCCATGTTGATGATATAACCGGGACTGCAAAAGTCGCTGACGCCGGAGAAAATTGGTTCACAAGGATTGATTCACTCGGTCACTTGAAGCACAGTACTGTCCAGAGATATCCACGAGAATGCAAACAAGATGGTAGTTGGCGAGAGGCGCCTTATGTGAACGAGGAAGAAGATCTGGTGGATACAACTAGAAGTAGCTTTACTATAGTTGAAGCTGGAAACAACAATGTGGACAAGCTGACAAGCTGAGGTACGTCACTGCTGCCTGATTGGTCATCCGGAAGAGGGGATCTTCCGTCTATTCATCTATTCTACATCGACGCCTCAGGCAGAAACAGTCAGCAGTCCTGATAGCTTTAAGAGTAGGGTACTCCGCAGCAAACTCGGTCCTGTTGAAGTAGTACTGCACCTCATAAGCTTGACTGGTCAACAGCTTACCAGACTTCACTTCCAAAGCATACTATAAGCCCTTTGCAGTTTCCCACGCGTCGGTGCTGGGCATTGCGTAACTAACCTAGGTAACGAGCGAGCAGCCCTGCGGCTTACATAACCACCGCGCAGGTCAGGTGTATTGGAGCATTCATTCCATCCACTCGTTGACCAACCTCAACAAGATACCTTACAAACAGCTACCCCCGTCCACTTCGGTCGTTGCTTTGTCGGCCTTTATCTCCACCGAGAACCACTGATTCAACTTTCTGCGAGCAGATCATTGTCTTGGACATACCTCCGCCCTGCCATCTTCCCTTCTCCTAAGACACGCCCGTTGGATATACCTTCCTCCCTCCCCGCATCATGGCCGCCGACCTCTCCAACTCCGGGGAGCTCTACGAATCTGGACTGACCGTCCACTCGGACTCCGAGGTTTATTCCGCCAACCACGATGACTCTTCGCATTCTTCTTCCACTTCGAGCTCCCCTCTGATCCTCTACAAGCCCCCGACGTTCTGGAGCATTCTGCGCGGCGCCGCGATCAACCTGGTGCTTCCTTTCGTGAACGGCTTGATGTTGGGATTTGGCGAGTTGTTTGCACATGAGGCTGCCTACAGGCTAGGCTGGTCCGGCACGAAGGTAGGAAAGCATGGATCCCTGTCGTCGGGAGGCCGGGACGGACTTGCTCCTCTCCACAAGGCTGGCCGGAAGATGTGCTAACCCCACGATCACTGCAGGTATTCCCCATGCATCGACGATCTAGGCCAGCTGGACCTGGCATTGAAGTGCGCGAGCTCCCGCAGCGACGGAGCACTAGAGCCGCTGGTCTGCAAGACACCACGTCCTTGGAGTAGACGATGATTGGGGTGGGCAGCAGCATTATAGATCCTTAAAACCAGTGAAGCGGTCATCAGGGTAGGCTAGGGAACAGTCTTCCGAACGCACTTCATCTGTCAAAACAAGCAGCGCAGGATGCGTGCGTTTGTGGAGAAGTTCTAGTGTACATAGATCTAAGCATCAGTTGATAGGCTTGACCTAACGGCGTCCGGCGAAGCTCATACATTTGACAAATTTGTAGCATATTATTCACAAAGAGAATGGACTAAACAATACGAGATCTGTGGGACTCAACTCCTAACCCCTAAGCACCAAGTATAGCTACATAATACAGAACAGTGAGTCAACGTTGCTCCGATCCAGATCGGAAGTCCGCCAACGATGCTGGGTCACTTGGCCCTCTGGTCTCCTCCGGCCGCCCGGCAGAAAAACACGGCTTGGCAACAAAAAAGCGCTCCGTCGCCGGAGCCCCGATTTTCCCATTCAGGTCCCCCCCCGAGATCCGATTGTTTCCTCTCCAGTCCCCAACTCGGCATTTCAATTCAACCACCATGTTGGGAGGAACTGGTCTTGCTGGCCGCGGCGCGATGCCCGCCATCGCCCGCCAGCGATCGCTTGCTTTCTCGCGCTCTAGTCGATCGGTGAGTTTATTTACGCCTTTGCTTTGGTTTCCCCGAGTCACCCAGTCTAACTAACTCGGTCCTACAGATGTCCTCATTCCGACCGCAAGCCTCCAGAACCGCTCTTCGCTATGGAGCATCCAGCCGGCCCATGGCTAAGACTGCCTCGCTGCGGTCTGCATCCGCCATCCCTGCTCTCTCCGCTGCTCGTTTCAACTCGACCGCGGCCGCCCCCGCCGACGCTCCTACCGTCGCTCCTACTCCCGAGGTTGTTGAGACCGTGCCAGACTTGGCGGAGATTGACATCACGACGATTCCGGAGAAGATTGGCTACCTGAAAGAATTGGGGTTGGACTACGGCTGGGGTTTCTCCTCCACGATCGAATGGATCATCGAGCATGTTCACATCTACTCTGGACTCCCGTGGTGGGCGAGTATTGTCGGCACTGGTTTGCTGGTCCGTCTGGCCATGGTGAAGCCCACGCTCGAGGCTGCCAATGCCACGACCAAGCTCAACAACATCAAGCACCTCACGACCCCGATTCGGGCGAAGCAGATGGCCGCCTCGCGTGAAAGCAACATGCTCGAGATGAACAAGGCCCGGGCTGACATGCAGGAGCTGCACGCTAAGCACGGCATTCAGCCTTGGAAGTCCATGATTCCCCTCATTCAGATTCCCCTCGGGTTTGGATGCTATCGGGTCATCAAAGGCATGACCGCCTTGCCGGTGCCGGCTTTGACCTCGGAGCATGTTGGTTGGCTCCAGGACCTTACCATTGCCGACCCCCTCTACATCCTGCCCGCCATCAGCTCCTTCTTCCTGTACTTCTCCTTCAAGGTATGTGCTGCCACCTTTCTATCATTCTTCCTTGTCTCCCATTCGGCTCCTGGACCGAGGCACGCCTGCTAACCGCGGCCTTGCGCAATAGAAAGGAGGAGAGTCTGGAAACAACGCCATGCAGAACACCGAGATCGGAAAGGCGGTGCTCTACGGTCTTCCCGCCATTTCCTTCATGTTCATGGCATTTTTCCCGGCGGCTCTGCAGTTGTACTTCACGAGCACCGGTGTCGTTGGTATGACCCAGGCGTACCTGCTTTCCAAGCCTGCTTTCCGCCAATGGGCCGGGATCGCCCAGGTGGAGAAGGTTGAATTGGCTCCCGGCCAAGAGCAGAAGAACCCCATTCGCATGCTCCGTGAGATGTTGGACGCCGAACAGGCTAAACAGCGGGAAGCCGCCGCCGCTGCCGCCGCCGCTCGTGCTCCCGCGCAGGAGGTGAGCTATATCGACCGTGCGATTCAAAACTTCAAGCAGTCCAAGGACAAGATCAAGCAGGAGGCAAGCAGCAAGATCGACGAGATGCGTGGCACAGGACCCAAGCTGAACGAGGACGGATCGGTGGCGGAGCCCCCGCGGTTGAGCGAGAAGGATCGCAAGACGGCGGAGGACTACGAGAAGCGGAGAAAGGAAGAGGAGGAGTGGAAGCGCGAAGAGCGCAACCGCGCCCGCCGCGAGGCGCACATGAGGCTGTTGGAGCAGCAGCGCGAGCAGGCCCGCTCAACGATGAAGCGATGAATTCCACCTACTAGAAACTGCATCGGAAAGGATGTGGACTGGACATGATCAGCTAGCTGGAGTGGACTTTTGGGAGTTGTATTTCTCTGTATATTATGGGTGCCTTGTTCAACTTTGATTCTCATTTCCGATTTCATTTTCATCATTGCATGTTCTCTGCATGTGCTTTCAACCTCTTTTTATCAAGAATGCATTGGGATTCCGGATCTGCAATGATCTTGTCCATATTTTCCTCCCATGGTTGCAGCTCAATCTGGGCTTTGTCAGCACTAGCGATTTAGTTGAAGCCAGTCACCGACAACCCACCTTCCTCAATCTCCTTCTTTTCTCTTGCACCATCCCCCTTCATCGCAAATACAAACAGATACAGCCATACTTCCAATACAACCAGAAGTTCCAAGCGAACCAGATCAACAGGCAATGAAGAAGATTGTTAGCCATCGCACCCTACACATCTCTCTCTCTCGCTTGCTCAACCCTAACCCTTCCCCCTGGGCATCAATTCTCGGCCTCAATCATGGCATCGAGGTATCTCCCTGCCTGATGAATAAGGACCTGCTACCCAAGGGATCAGCACCACGTCTCTGGGTCTGGGATGAGAAGCTTACTTGGACGCAGCGACGGAGGCTGGGATACCAATACATGGAAGGCATCTCCCCCGTGTCGAACTAGAACGATTGCATCATCATCGTCATCATCATCCGTCGTCCAATCTTCTTCCCCAACACTCGACGACTGCACCTACCATCCGTGTTGACTCCGTGAGGCCCTCATGCGTCTCGGCGAGGTAGACCCTATCGGCATCCAGGAAGGGCTGCGAATTCCTGAAGAACTTCTGGCGGGCGCGGTCGTACTGTGCAGGGGAGATCCGGGGCCCATTCAGCATCGAGCGCCGACACGACCAGCGGGAGAAGCGGATCTTCGCGTCCGCGTGGAGCAGCAGGGTGTGTTGGAAGTTGAAGCACTATACACAACCAACAACCCGGGGTTAGCACCGTTCCGTTTCAACGCCCAACCCCAACCCATCAAGTCTGGGGTGGTGGTGGTGGTGGTGGTGGTGGTGCCAGTCAGCATTGCTAACTACCTACGCGATCTAAGAAGTCATGCGCCTCTGGCATCATGATGAGACCGTCGATGACGAACTCGTACACCTCCGCGGCCATCTGCCCCGCGATCTCCTGCTTGATGAGGTTGAAGAGCACGGCGTTCGGGACGACCTTGTGTTCGCCATCGCCGTCGGGGACCGGCTTCGAGAGGCTGAACCCCAGCCGGCGCTCCTCCTGCTCGATGAGGGAATCCATCTCCAGGTAACCGAGCTCTTCGTCCTGCGCCAGGTCTTCGGCGACAGTGGTCTTGCCGGCGCCGGGAGCTCCTGCAGATGCAGCATATCAGCATTGACATTCGAGCCCTAGGTCGAACGTCTCCGGACTTACCTGTGACAACGAACACGACGGCGCGGGACAGGTCGGGCGTGGGCTCTTCCGGGGGTGGTGGATGGTGTCTCATGGCCAGAATCCCGACGCTGGGGAGGGATCGATCTTGGATGTGGAGGGTCCTGTCGTGGCGGCTCTCGGGGTGAAGCAAGATTCCGGCGCTCGCGAGATGGCTATGGTTTTGGCGGGTTAGAGCCACGCTTCGAGTGCGTGCGGGCTTCAGGCGGATGGGCAGCTGGATCTGCTGGTTCATTCGGGGGGGGCTCATGTTCTGGCTGGTGGTATGTAGTTGACGTATGTATCTCGTTGAGTGAAAACAGGTCTTGCAGGTAGAACAAGTATCCTCTGGGTCAGTTCTGGATCAAAAAAGAGGCCGACATATCAAGTGAGACGGCGAGAAAGGAAGCATGCTTTTGATTCCATTCAATCCAGGCCAGTGAAGTCCCGTCTGATACAGCTTAGTGTCGCTTAGTCGGCGACGATGCGATGCGATGCAGCACTGGAAACAAGCGTTGCCTAGAAGCGGACCCCTATGATGTCGGTGTTGTTGTTATTGTGAGCTGGTGCTGTTCGTGTTGCTCTTTTTTTTTTTCTTTCATCATCGCCTGTAGCTATCTCTTTCTTGTGAATCTCCGTTCACCGCTATCCTTTGGTGGTTCACAAAAATGTTCTACACTTCATCGAGACCTATCCTCTAGATCTATCGAGCCAAAACTCTCAAGTTAGTACTGCAATCCGTCTAAGCAACCGCTTTGGAGACGGGTATAGTATATACAGGTGCAAAAAGACATGCTGTCTGGCTGTTCCGTGACTGACATCCCCTGTCTATATACCACTGACTGCTCAACCCACCAAGCTAATCCTTCAGATACAGCAGCAGAGATCCGGGATCCGCTGTCCGTTGGTCAACCGCGATATCAAGCTCCTTCTCCCATCCTTCGGGATAGGCGAGAACGGGTTAAAATGCCCTGAGTACGTCCTCTCCAATCATCATCTTTCGCCTCCTCTGTCTATCTACTTCCCGTCTCTGTGTATACATCCCACCAACCCCAATATCAACCTCGCAGCTAACATTTTTGTGATCCGAGCAACCCTCGCTGCAGAGGAGAAGACTCCCTCCCTGCCTCAGGCTAGAGCCTGGCGGGACCAAGGCTGGGAAAGATCCCCAAAATTCCAAACCTCCCAACCCTCCCAGCCTTGGTCCAGCCGCACCACGGAAGGTCGGCCGTCAGAATCAGCATCGCCAAGTGATTTCCCAACTTAACCAGTGGTTAAACCCCGCTCTGTATATAGATATAAAAATATATACATCTATACATACAAGGTTCGTGAGGTCGCTCCCGCTTCATCACGTTGCAGGAAGTTTCAACTAATTCCCATATTCAGACCGGCATCCGGCTCCGTCACCGCAATACCTTCCCCTCTTGCCCTGGGGAGAAGGATAGCCCGCGGGATTGGGGGGGGAGGTATGGAACGATCTTGGAAAGGAAAGGGGACGTGTTCATATGGGGATGTGAATCATCGCTTCGATACTCATGTATATAATTTATATACACATATCCACATAGATGTGTGTGTGTGTGTGTGTGTGTGTGTGTGTTCCCATAGATATATATCAATCCATCCTGGATATAGTCCAAGCTTTGCGAGCTGGTCCGTGAGGGGATCACAAAACTAGCACAGGGGACCACGCAATCCCCTGGAGACTACAGCCAAGAAGGAAGAAAGATGACGCAGAAGGGATCTCGTTGGCAATGTGTGGTTCGTGTGTCACTGCTCAAGTGTCAATCCTGTATCAGAGTGGACCGGTCATATTTGTATATCCGTCAGCCCCTCGCACAATCAGTGGACTACTTGAATCAAGCCATAAACCTCACATCCCTTGGATACAGCAAATAAACGAGACGGGAGTGCATTCGCTACACCAAAGTTTATGAGTACATGTGTGCCTGAGGATGCGAAGTATATGCCAGGTATCCCATCCATCTCCAATCCCACACCATCCACCTACCCATCCATCCATCCATCCCAACCCTGCCGGACCCAAGAATAAAAAAAGAAGCGAAAATACATATTTATATATATCAAAAGATGGCTATGGACAAAACACCCCAAGGACCTGGACCAGCCAGAAAGTAAGTCCTCTCTTCACATGCTGCTCTTCGAAACAAGGAAACTCCCCGGACCCCGCCTCAACGTGGTAGGTCTCTTTTAAGTTGTCGGCATCGGCCGCAACTGCATCGGCAGCTCGGAGGCCTTCTCTTCTTGTTCGTCAAAGACCTTCTTCTCGATCCACGCCGTGAGGCGGGCGCAGAGAGGGTCAACGTAGGCCGTCCACAGGGAGGCGCAAATGTAAACCAGCCCGATCCAGAGCGGAATGCAGAGGGCGACGACCCAGGGAGGGCGGATGGGCAACCACGGCGGGAGAACAGTCTGGCCGTTCTCGTCGACAGTCTCCTCCCAAGGTTGCCCGGTGATGCCGTAGAGCATCCAGCACAGAACAGTGCGCAGGAGAGTGCCGTGGACGAGATAGACGGCGAAACTCTGCTTGCCGAGCCAGAGAAGGAGGCGGTTCGCCAGGAAGGATTGCGTCCCCGGGGAGATGAAGATGGCGAAGATGATCATGTCCACGCCGATGGCACTGTACCGCTTGCCAATGTTGACCTCGGGAGGGAAGATGTAGTGGGACAGCTTGAACATGTAGTCGGACCAGGTAGCCCATTCGGGATGCTCGCCGGGATAGGAGCAAATCAAGAGACCGGCGATAGTGATCAGGATGGCGAGGATACGGCGCGGCCAGCGGTGGGCTTCGACGAGGGAGCGGAAGGTGGTGTCGTAGGACAAATCACTGAGAAGCATGCCATAGACCGCTTGGAGTTGGAAGGTTTCTACCAAGGGGGTGGCGGGTTAGTGGGCGGATGAGCAGAAGGTTGGAAACCGGGGGGCATAGCTTACCTGTGTCCTTGGCGGCGTCCTGGTGGAAGTACAGCATCATGCCGATGTAGATGGCTATGCGGAACCGGAACTGGACGTACATGGTGGCGCAGAGCAGGACGTAGACAAGCATGGATGCCTTCAACAACGGCAGTAACGCCCATTGGTGGTCATCATAGGCCATGTAACCGGTGGTCCAGGTGGTGAGGAAGTTCCCTCCCAGGCGAATGACCTCCTTGAAGAAGGAATCTTCCAAATCCGGGGCGGCATATCGGCACCACCAGCAGTCGGAGCGGTTGGCGACAATAAAAGCACCGAACTGGGCCATGACCCAGGAAATAAACAGGGCGATGGTGGCTGGGAAAATTAAGCGCGGAGGGCGGCGGAAGGCGCTCTTGGCAATGGTCGAAAACGCACTGAGGTGATTGCCTGCCCGCGACAACTTCAACGGCTTCAAGGCACACACATAGCCGGTGAGGAAGGCGAAGATGGTGACTCCGAGTCGCCCCTGCCACGGGATGCGGAGGATGGGCCACTGGAGGATCCGGGGAGGCACTCCCTCCTTGTCTCTTGGCGCGAAGAGATCATAGTCCCAGGCGCGGGCCAGGTGAGTGAGAACAACGAGGAAAGAAGCAATCCCGCGAAGACCCTAGCCAGTTCCGGTCAGTCTGTCAGTATGTTCTGTTGCCCACGAGGGGTGACACCGGAGGCCGACGAGCACGAGGAAGGACATACATCGATCCACTTGACACTTTTGCGAGGGTCTCCGGGGGGAGCGTTGGGGTTCCATAAAGTATCGCGTAGGCGAGTGTAGAGGCCGGACTTCTGTAATGACTGCATGCTGGAAATGAAGGAGGATCGAGGTCTAATGTATATTCACAGAGCAAAGAAAGACAGGCTGGAGATGGCACGCAAGCGAGCCATTCATAGATACAACCACCACAGCCGAGGTACGAAGAAGAATGCAGCGGTAGTAGAGGCAGAGGAAGAGATGGAAGGAATGACAAGAGAAGGAGGAGAAGGAGGAGAAGGAGAGGAAGAGGAAGAGGAAGAGGAAGAGGAAGAGGAAGGGAAGGAAGGAGGAAGGGAAGGAAGGGGAAAGAAGGAAGGAAGGAAGGAGGGAAGGGACAAAAACAGCAGGAGAGGCGGCGGTAGCGGCAGCGACAGCGGCAGCAGGCGTAGTGAGTAAGTACAGGAAGTACAGTAAGTTAGTGGTGTGTGTAAGTGTCAGTGTAAGTGTAAGTGTAAAGACTGTCAGTGAGTACTGCGTACTCGTACTGGAGGTGCATAGTAGTAGAAAATAGGGCGGGTCGTTCCTCTGCCCGATTTATCAGTTGTCCCAGTATGCCCAGTCAGTGGAATTGGAGGCCCCCCGAAAAGGGAGCTTGCCAAGCCCTCCAGCCGAAACCCGTAAGGCTCAGGGACTTTAGGGACTTTTTCACGGTTCCCAGAGGACCTCCAGGGGACCTCCAGGGGTGGACAACAAGAGATTGGCCAGTCTTGGCTGGCTAAATTGCGCCATGCCGAGCCCTATGATGCCATTAATGCACTTGCGTGGCCGTCTTATTCGCCCTTTTGCATGCACAATGCAAAAAAGCAAAATCAATAATAAAAAACCAACTAATTATAGACCGATAAGCCACAAGTGTCTTCTCCCCCCCTCTTTTTCTTTTGCCGTTGCGTTGCGTTGCGTTGATCCATGACTATCAAGCCTCCATTGAAACCCATCTCACTATAATGGAGACAAGTGCGTTTTATTAGTCTAAAACATCGCCATCGCCGACCTGTCACCATCCTTCGCTTCTTCGGCAGATGGCAGATGGCCAACGAAGCCTGGAGCCTAGAGAATAAAGAAGAAAAGAAAAGAAGAAGCAAAGAAAAAAAAAATAAACGGGGAAGAGTACCGTACACTCACTCACTCACACTCACTCACTTGACACTGGCAGACCCCCAGGGTTACCCACGGTAGGGATGATGGATGGGTCTCTTTTTTCTTGGCACTTTGTACCCTCGCCCTCTCTCATTCCCTCTTTCTCTCCCCCCCCCACCCGACCAAAACCCATTCCTCTTCATGATTCAGTCCCTAAAAGTCTTGGACTCTTGGCCGGCTCATCAGCGAAAGATGCGCCGTCCTCCGACGCTACCTGCAGCCCAAGTCACCGACCCCCGAACCCCCAGATTGCCCATACTCAATCCGGAGAATCCAACGCCACCTCCTTCCCCATCTCGCTTATACCGCCGAAGCGCTTCCCTCAAATGGGCCGGGAGGAGCTGGCCCCGGTGCGGATTGGGAGGCAATTTGGCCTTTATTTCGTTTTTGGCCGAAGTCGTCGTCAGCAGTGGTCCGCCTCTATCTATCATGCCCTGTGGCTTGACCACTCCGGGATAATGGTTCGTCGCGGTCGAACTGGACGCCGCCACAGCAGCAGCAGCTAAGGCCGCCTGGTCATGAGCTTCGGCCCATTCCGCCTGCACCGTTCGAGCCTTTTCGATAATCTCACCCGCAAACACCTTGGTAAATCCGTTAATCGTCGTCACCACACTAGCCGGCACCGATTGCGAGAGCGCATGATTGACAATTCTCCGTAGCGTCTCCTTTCGTAGCTTCGCCCGCTTGAACAGATCGTATCGCTCCGACTGCAGCGGATTAAACGCGTCCACGAGTAATCTGTTCGATCCAGCCGCCCACAACACACTGGTTAGCCCGGGATTCTTTTTCTTCCTGTAGTGTTTCACCCATCCTCTCGTGCTTTGTTCCTGTCCTCTCTCTCACTCCGACCATCACCACAAACCACCCCCCCCCGCCCCAAAACACCCAGGAACCGGGTAGAGGAGCCGAAAAAGAAAAACCGCCCAACCCAAACTGCGCAAGAGACCAAAACCACCAGCTGCAAGGTAGGGGAGGAAAAGGGTATAAACATACGCAAGATTCTTCTTCTCCGCCTCCGTATCCGTCGTCGTCCCCTCCTCCCTACCCAATAATTCCCCCTCATCATCAAAATCATCCTCCTCATCGGCATCATCCCCTCCTGCACCACCACCTCCCCCTGCCACCCCTCCGCCACCACCGGCCCTCACCGACGCGCCCTCCGCATCCACAGACCCCATCCGATCCATCATCATTCCCGCCCGTAGACTCCCCTCCTCGGCACGCAGCTCGCGCTCCTTCTCGGCCTTGCTCTTGCGCCCGCGCTTTTTGCCCTTGGCCGTGAGGAACACCCCGTCCGCGCTGGTGCCGCCCAGGCTGCCCGTGAAGCTGCCCGTGACGCTGCCGGCGTCGCTGTAGGCCCGCGACGACGCCACCGCGTCCGGGTCCATCGTGCTCGGGAACGAGGTCTGCCGGAGCGGGTGCATGCGCGCCCGCTTGGGGTTGAAGCCCGCCGCCGGCTGCGAGGCCGACGAGGAGATCGAGGGCCGCTTCAGTGGGTTCGTGGGCGGTGGAGAGGACATGATTTGGTTTAGTTTGGTTTGGTTTGTGCGTGGTGAGTAGGTAGGTGCGTGGTTTGGTGTTGGTTGCTGCTTCTGTGGCTGTTGCGGTTGCTGCTGTGTTCGCGGGAAAAGAAAAAGGTTTCGTTATGTGCAAAGTCTCAGTTGGCGACGGTCGCAGAGTCTGGTCCAGTCGCTGGAATTAGAGCCGCAGAATCGGATGGGTGTGTTTCATGGATGGATTTCATTAGTTATTCATGTGATAAAAAAAAAAAAAAAAGAAAAGAAAACTTCGTGCACGGATTGAGGGAGTAGGTGAGTGAGTGACATGCAGGTTGAGTGAAGGTCGAAGTGTTGCGACAGAAAGAAGTGACGGAAAGCCGACCTGCCCTTATCGGAGGGTCCCGCCCCCATTCGGCAACTCTGCCGACCCACGATGCGTACGCAATCCTCTTTTAGGGCCACTGCTTATTTCTACCTCACCTTTTCCTTACTTCTGACGTCGCAGACTACGATCGGTACATCATCTACTCATGAATCAAAGTATAGATAGTCATCATGTTCAAATTGGCGAGGGGAAACTCAAGGCCTAACGCACAGGTGGCACACCACCGCGCTCAACAGATATAGAGAACCCGATGGATTTGATGCTGGGAACACAACGAAACTCAAATCGCTAGAAGCACAGGCAAGCACAGATTACCGACACAAAATCAACTCACGGTAAGTCGGAATACACGTCAAAGCAAGAACACAATCTCCCGGTTCCACCACCAATTGCATCCCTCTTGACCTACACGGACACCTGGGTTCGCTATCAGACGCGCTCTTCTCCGAGCCTGGGGGCCCCCCCTTTCCAGTCAAGACGTTCGTAGTAGCGGAACACCAGGTCGTATCCGTCCAGGTCATGCACAATCCGGTCCACCCGCCGGTATCCCTCCACATGCTCCATCTTGGAGGTTCGGCGCAGCAGCTGTCGCTCAAAGTACTTGGCCTCTTTGATGCTGTCCCACTCGCCCTCAACCACGGGCAACTCGGGCTTGGCCTCGAACAGGGTCACGGTAAACCGGCCCGGCTTGAAGATGTTCACCACCTGTTGGATGATCCCCGCAGTGGTCTGGCCATTCTGCGAGTGAGGCACATTGGTCTCAAACGACGCATACGAGCACTGCGGCTCAGGCGTGACGTGCACCGTGAAGTAGTGAGTGCCAGTGGTCTGGTCGGGCGATGGGATCACACCGTTGGCCGAGAATCCGCAGGGAGTGAACAAGTAGGCGTCAATGCGGGACTCCGGGAATGTGGACTTCGGGTAAACATCAGACAGGCCGCACGACTCCGACACCACAGTACCCAAGGCGTGACCCTCGGTGGTCAGCTCCGGTGGCAGGATGCGGCTCCCGTCGGAGGAGGACACATCGTCCATGTCGGAGTTGTTGCTGAAGACATCCACTGGGTCATCATTGTCGGTTTCAAAGTTGCGGTACCGCTTCTCTGCCACTGCAGTAGCATGGTCCAGGTAGAACTGCTTCGCGTTCTCCTCCTCCAGGTCAGTCATCAGCACCTCCAAAGTCTCATCCATAGCCTCAGCTCCCGGGATGACAGCATGGCTGGGCACACTGAGAATCTTGGTCTCAGTCATCTCCTCGTCATCCGCCTTGGGACTCGCAGGAGGGGTGAGCATGGTGTTAGGCTCAGTCAGGTACAAGTACCAGTGCTCGCCGTTCATCTTGCCGATCATGTAGGCACTACCGTTCAGGAATAGTCGGTCCATGGTCCGAACCTCGTCTCTCCAGCTACGGTGAGGACCGCGCTGGCGATCCGGGAACAGGAAGTTCTTGCGACTGTAGAAAACGCGGTAGGGCGCCGCAGCAACGGAAATGCCACGCGAGGGCGCCGCAGCGCGCGGGAAGCCGCCAAACAGAGTGGCGATCTCGAGAATGCGGGGCAAGCCAGACAACAAGGTAGTGGTGCCACAAGTCTTGAGAATCAACTTGTGAGGCCAGACAAACATGCTGGACTCGGACAAGAGGTAAGCGTCCACATCCTCGGACGACACAATGGAGAGCACTTGGCAGTTGACGAGATCCAGCATATCCTTCCAGATTTCCTCGGGCACGGCCTTCAGGCCGGCGGGACCAGCAGATCCCAGCTCTTGGGCGGAAGGCGCAAACCAGACCTCAAGGAGCTTCTCGGGTCCTATGAACACATCAGCACCCCACTCCGCACGTGAAACCAGGAGTGACACCAGAAGAAGCCGGCTTACCTTCGAAAGCATTGGTGGAGTCAAGATCCTGGGTCGCTTCATGGTTGATCGTCAGCGACGGCGTCCCCATGAAAGAGGACGGCGACTGAGTGTAGTTCTTGGGGATCCCGATGTAAACCATCTTGGCGGAATCTGAATGCGACAGGAATAGAAGAGACGGCGGCGGAGCAAGTGATGGAGCAAGCGCGTGACTGGAAGTGTGGACCGTAGACAAAAGAGCCTAGGAAGCACTATCTGCTGCCCAGACGAACAGGGGGGCTATGTCCGTCTGAGAGAGTAGGCCCTGAATCGCAAGGGCGGAATTGGCGCTCAGCCGGAGAGGGGAAGGTTCCAAAAGAGCCTCGAGGGCTACTAGGGAGGGCGGAAGGAGAGGGAAAGGAGGAAAAAGCCTCTGGCGAAGGGAATGGTGACTATCAGGTGTCGACTCCCGTTCTGGAAGATTCCGATACCGTTCAAAGTATCGGGTCTAGCAGACGAGAGTATCTGCTTTTAGGATTTAAAGAGGGGGGAAGAAAACAGGTTGCGCAGGTGAAACGAGGTCGAGTGTTAATCGTGCTATCGAGGTCTGAAGAATCACAAGTCAGTCATGAGCAATCGGTTACACGGCGGTCTCTTCTGACGCAGAGGAAAGAACCGTGGAGGAAGGAGAGAAATGGACCACCTACTTTGCGGGCTTGGACAGATATCGCAGTAGATCCTTCGGGTTCATGGAAGGCGAAGCAAGAATTGAGCTTAAAACAGCACGGTGTCGCGAGAAGCCAGAATATCGGACATCTGCGAGACGACTTTTTGTTGCAATGCGATAGAACAGGCGAGGGGGGGGGGATGGAATAAGAGAAGATTGAGCAACCGGAATTGACTTTCAATGAGCAGTCAACGGTTGACAAGATATGTGATTTCACCAAACAAAACAGACCTCAACAAGGTGAGGAATGGGGAAGGAGGGGGGAGAAGAATTTAAACAGAGGGAAAAAGACGCGGACGTGAGGGGGGGCAAGAGAAGTTGATGCTTTTGAGTGATTATTATTCTGTGGGCCCGAAAAAAAGTTTCGTGGGGCGCGGAAGACCAATCTGGGTTGGGCTTTTGGCTACAGCGCAGAACCTGGCAAAAAAAAGGACCGGTCAGAGAAAGGAAACAAGTCGAACCGGGAATTGCAGGATAGAGGGAGAGAAAGAGGGGCAGGGGGGGGCATACGTAATTGGAGGGAGATGCAGGAACGGGCTTGAGAAGTCTAGATAAGGTATATTGTTGTAGGCTGGCAGACTCCTCAACAGCTGATTTGATCTGGTAGAAGGAGAAGAATGAGCAGGTGAGTGAGTGAGTGGTTTTTTGACGCCTGACCGTCAATCTAAGAAAAGTTCCAGGCGGGAGAGAACAGGGCCACAGGGCCAGAGCACTGCTGGCAGAAGGAAGAGTTACTGGATTCAGTAGGCGGTCAGTCCCCGCTCATTTCCCCCTCATGCTTATCTCAGCTGATCCTCCCTCTCTCAAGCAGTGACGTCGTGAAATTCAATCAATTCAATCGACTCAATCGGAAATGGCAGAAAGTCACATGGCAGGAATGACACCGTGGAACTCAGACTTAGTTGTAAGGTTAGGAATTTGGTCTAGACTATTCTTAGATTCTTACTTAGTATTATTCTGAGTTGTCACTCAGCCCCTCCCCCATCTTACTTACTTCCTTTCACCTGCCGCCTGGCACTTCATCCCTTTTTACTCTCTCCCTCACTTCTTCCCCATCTTCTTTTCACTCCTCAATTGAAGGTCATGCATGCGTTATTTCTTATCATTATCGACACCGCTAGAATGCCAGTACTAACTATGTATGTATGACTCCGTCCAGTCTGTGACAAAAAAAAAAGGGGGGTGGGGGGTAGAAAGGAAAACAAGAAAGAACAAGAACACCTATTTCCTTTTCCAAAACGCCATATCTTGCTGCAACAGAAGCAAACGAGAAGAAATACCGAATCATCCCATTCGGAGCGACAAAAGAGGGGTGACTGTATCCTAGAGCCCTAGTACCACCTTAGGTACTGTAGGGTTCAACCAGCCAACCCCTTCAAGCGTCGAGAATGGCCCGGGCGGTTTCCACCTCCCCCACGTCCTTGATCTTCGCCGCCAGAAAGTCACCCACTTTCCCACTCAGTCGCTCCCGCAGGTCTTCCGTGACTACGCCCCCGTGCCCATTGGTGAGGGCCGTGCGTCCTTCCCGCAACGTTGCCAGAACCCCCATCAAAACCATAAGAACTCTCTCGGCCTCCGGTCGCCGTGGGCTGTCCTCCGCCATTCCGTCCTTCAACAGGTTCCCGTAGGTCGGCAGGTTAGGCAGAATCAGAACCCGCACCGCCTCTGCACCGCCAACCGCATGAAGGCCAATGATGGCGCCGTAATGCGCCCCAAATGGCTTGGATGGATCCAAAAACGTCTTAAGGCATGAGCGAGCAAGTCGCGGCTTGAGCGTATGAGAGGAATGCGAGTACTTCTTGGCAATGAGACCCAGGAGCGATGCGGAGAGATCACGGAGGGCAAACTGCTCGGTCAGCTCAGCGCTGCCGCCCAGTTGTCGGGCGATCAGGCAGGTGAGAATGGGCGGGACAAGCGATGGGATCTGCCGATAGCTCATTAGCAACCTGGCGAAAGTAGTCCGTGGTGGTGTACTCACATAGGGGTCAACATATAGTGATTTGTTCTGCACGAGGGCCTCCGCCATGTGCATGACCTGCGTAAGGACAAAGATATCCTTCAGACCATGGGTCACCTTCTCGGAAATAAACTGAACAAAGTATGGGACCAGCTGGTGCAGTCCCGGGTCCTCTCGTAGGCTGGCATAGCCTGATGTGCGATATTCTTCGCTAGAATCGTCCAGGAAGGCGTTGCAGACTTTTTCGAAGTAGAGCTGGAGTTCCTTGGACAAGACATGCTTGACCAGCGGTTTGACGGCCACGTTGCCCCCTCCACTCATAGCCGCGAGCGTCGAGCTAGCATTCGGACCTTTAGACATCAATTCGAGGTTTCTCGAGTCGGCCGCGGTAGGGTTCTGAGGGATGGACGGTTGTACTCCTTCAACGGCGAGCCAGTGCGCTATGCTGCGTCAACAACGGTGGACCAAGCAGAAGACCGGGGATCCTTACCTGTAAACGAGATCTCTCGGGGCACTCTGGGTAACGGCGCGTTGATCAACTTTTCGAAGTCCACCTCCTCGTCCTCCACGTAGAACAGCGGTTGTCCAGGTCCCAACGACGCCTCCCCGAACCGTAAGGGTCGCGTGGATTCATATCCGTAGAGTGGCTCGACATCGAGCACGCGCAAGGCTTGCGCGATATCCTGTGTTGAGAGCAACGTCCGTCGACTGTGGCGCATGAATTTGAGGGCTTCTTCCAGGACCTGCGCGATGCGGTATTCGACGTCACGGGCAAGGTTCTCGGTCACATCGTTGTTGAGGTTGACGATCCCCACCGACTCGGCAACATCGCGGATGTTATCGGGGTTCCAGACCGACATGGCGATGGCGAAGGCGAAGGCGATGGTTGGACTGAGATGAAGCGGAGCGGAGGACGGTGCGGTAGAGGTCGTAGCAAAGGCGAAGGGCGTGTCGGAGGTTGGTGACGAAGGAGGTATTATTACAAGATGAGCAAACACAAGAAAGAGAACTCAATCCTCGATTGAAGGAATCATGAAAGTGAAAGGCGGTGTCAACACTCGTGTTGATCGAGCGCCCGGAGAATAGTTTGGACTGATGGAGGAGGGGGAGGAGGAGGACCGGAGATGCGACGCGGAAAGCCGAGCTGTTACTGTGAGCGGAGGAAGAGGAAGAGGAAAGCGGCAGGAAATTATTGTCCCGCCCTCACCCCGGGGATGCCTACTGCAGTGTTGCTATGCTATTATCCTCATTCAGGGCATGATGAACCACAATGAATCAATAGAACCAGTGATAGACCTCACTGCTGCATACTTCTTGTATTGTTTACAGGGCAGACCACAGCTCTTCTGCATCATGAATGGACACACTTGAAATCCTCCTATCTATATATCTATTTGTGCCTGAAGCTTCAGGCTGCACGTACAGTTTACTATTACACCGTGATACTCTGCAACCTCTACATAACTAAAAGCTTCCTGAAACCGTCCTGTTCACATCAGAAGAGCAGTCAATCAAAGTGATTGTAAAGTGTGTAAAGTGATTCGAATTGCTGTGATCTAGGCAGCGTACAATACTCTCCACTAGATTCCAGCCCAACTACTATAAAGTACACCATCTATACACATATACTACACCTCAAAGACCAACCTGACCACGCTGAATGTCACCACCAACCTTGAACCACAGTCCCAAAGGCCCAACCATCATGTCATCCATTCCACAAACCGAGCAACCCCTCAATACAGCCCCCCCCTCCCCCACCGAAGAACACAATCGTTCTCGTGTGAAAGACTACATCACCAACACCTTATCCAACCTCCTCACCGAACTCTGCTCCCCCGACGGCCACCCATCTATCACGATCAAGCCCCGGTCTACGAAAGTCTCCACACAGTTCATAAACCCGCAGACCGGGGCCCTGGAGACCCGTGCCTCTCAGGTATGCACCACATACACCTGGCCGGGGAAAGACTGCTACGAGGCTTGGAGGTTTAGTATGTTTCTTCCCCCCCTCCCTCCTTTCTCTACCGAATTCGATTGCTCTCCACGGAGTATAGGCTGTTAATGCAGGGTCTGCCCTTCAACCCAGCTGTCGCAATGCGAGTTCTAAGCGGGATCGCTGACGCGGTGGAAAAGGGAGTGGTGGTCTCGAAGCGGTATAGTCCCTTTACACCAGAGAACAAGTAGCCATCGAACAACAAGCTGACCACCGAGTCTCTATACTTCATCCCGAGAGCAGAGATATATATTACAACGACCCGGCGATATTTGGATCCCAGCGCATCGTCGACAGACTGGTCGATGACTTCGCGCATACGGTTGGTGTGGATAGAATCGCACTGAACGTGGTTTGTACTGTTTTCTATGATGCCACTGATATAGAAGAAGCTGCGTAGGAGAAATACACGAGCTGACCACAGCAACGGCTGAATGTCTAGGGCGCAGCAGCCAAGGGACTCGTCGTGGGATGTTTCCAATGGAGGATCCAAGACCAAGCGATGATTGACGATGTCCATTCCTTTAATCCGGTTGGCGCACACGATGAACGTTCGACCTGGGGACTTTGGCAGCTGACTTTCAGGCCGCCGTGCAGGACACCCTTGTCCCGAGACCGCAGGATATCCAGAGTCTGGAGGTTTCCGATATCGAGTGGGTGCTCATTCTGGAGAAAGAGGTAAAGTGTAGTCCGCCACTTTGACAAATATGTGGACTTTGGTATTGATCGCGAACACACAAACAGGCAGTGTACCGGCGCCTCGCGGGGATGAACTACCATGTCCGATCTACGGCGGGTCTGGGTATTCTGGTCACCGTGAGATCCCAGCCCTATCGCTGTTCTTCAGTTCCAAAAGGTTAACCTGCAACAGGGCAAAGGCTACCCTGACCTCAACACACGAGCCTTCGTTCGCCGGCTTTACGACGAAAGCAGGCACCGGCAAGCGAGCAAACGAATACGATTCTATGCACTCGTGGACGGCGATCCCGATGGGATGGCAATCATGTCGACGTACAAGTACGGGTCCCTGGCATATGCGCACGAGAACAGCGCCCTGAACTGCCCGGAGATTCAATGGCTTGGTCTCCGGACCTCGGACATCGTGGCAGGTGTGGACCCCTCGGGGAACGATGCCCTCCTCAGCTTAACCGAGAGAGACAGGAAGACGATCCTGGCTATGCTGTCCAATAATCCCGTGTGGGCGGTGGATGGTCCTGAGCAAGATGCACGCGCTGAGTTGCTGCAGATGCTGATGCTGAACGTCAAGGCGGAGATGCAGATCCTCTATGAAGGCGACGGGGGGCTCGTCCGATGGCTAGACCGCAGGATGACGCACTTCCCGTGAAGGAACATGTGTCACAGCTGTTTTGGGATGGTGGTACAAAAAGAACACAAACTTATCTGCACCCCCCACAAGGACATATATGCATTGATAAAGATATCAAGTCGGACCCTATAATCTGCATGTGAAGAAAGAAACTGGAACAAGAAAAAAAAGGAAGATCAAGAAAAGAAAAATTAACGAATGAGCGCACCACGAAACGCCAGCACCGGCACCAATGCACCCAAACAGGCTATGACACGCACTTCTCCCCGACAACCAGAACAAAAGAATGGTTTTATGCACATGTGCGACGAAGGGCGACCAGCCTTCTTATGTACTTTAGCCAGCCCGTGCTTGCTTGTTTTTCTCTTGTCTTGTGAAGTTTATAGCCCAAATAAGCATGGCCTCCCCCTAAGGCAGGCAGGCAAGATGATCACAACCCTAAGCCTTTCCGGACCTCATCACGGACCTTACGCTCGTACTCACTGCGTCGCTCACGCCACATCTTGGCCGCCTCGACATTCGCGGGGCTTTCGTCATTGGGCTCGGCGAGCATGCTCATCACGGAAATGAGGATCTTCTCCACGCTCTGGATGGGGGACCAGCGCTCCGAGGCGTGTTCGTAGTGGTTCGGGTCGTCACCGGGGGGGTGGAGGATGGAAATGCAGACGGTGCCGTTAGGGTACACTGTAACAATCACAGCCCACGTCAGTTTTTTTTAGCTCGCACATGTATGAAAACGTAGGGGCTTAGAGCGATAGAAACTAGAAATTGAGGTCAACAAAGTACTGACCATTGGGATGCCACACCCCACCGCCAACGAACTTCATAGTCGGCGGGCTCAGCGGATAATCCTTGGGAAACTTCAACTCGGCCGCGAACACGCCGCCCTCGAACGGGGTGCCCTCCGGACCTTGGATCAGGGCTTCCCAGTGGAACATGTCATCTTCCGTGACAGGGCCAGCGGTGATGCCATCCGGAGGGTTGGTGGACAGGTTCTTGTACTCGTGGAAGAGGCGCTTCTGTGCGACGGATGACATGATGGGCGGGACTGTGCGAGAGAAAAAGTGGCCCGACGAGAGATCTTTGAAGAGAATGTGGGTTAATTCTTGCTGTGCAGTACCAAGCAGGAATTTGGAGACAAAGTGGAATGTGCCCGTGGGACGATAAGAGCGAGGGTTTTGAGGGGGGGAAATGCGGAAGATGAGCTCCGGGTGCGGAGAGAATGGCCGGGAGTTGGTACCAGAGGGGGGCTTAATGTACCTTTTGGCAAAGAGGGGGGGGGAGGGGCAAAAGGGGCGGGACTGGAAGATTGGATACTGGAAAGGTGGGAAAGATGGGCAATTGGAGAAATGTGATTCAATTTCTTGGGATTTGCCACTATGATTAGGTATTGTCCATTCAAAGAAGATTCCAAGAATCCGATGAACGCATCCATTGATTGATGAGGGGGAGTGGAAAGTGGCTGCCTCAGGCTACAGATTCCGTCCTTATCGCCCCGGCCCTATTGAAACTGCTTATCGGCAATCATAGTCGAAATTCTCAGTAGAAAGACATGGTAGAAATTATACTCGATAGCCAGGGACAGAATCTGACTATATAGAGTGGTGACGCCTTCATTTTGCATCTGCATGTAAGCCACTAGCCTAGCGTTCCAAATCTCGTCAACACCCTTGTACGAGGAGAGCGTGGATAACTTGGAGTACTCAACTATACCAAGTGCTCGAGCGGTTCAGGAGAGCGGTTGAATCCAATGCTCTTTAATATGCTAATCGGTCCTAGTCGTCATCCAGATGACAGTCATTCTTGACCATCGGTTGTCAATGACTGACTAGCCTCTACACTGTGAACACCTTGACAACTTTCACTTCCAGGTGGTCGGTCTTCTCATAGCATGTTCTTTGGTTTGTCGAAGCTGTACCGGCTTAGCATGCCTTGTGACACGTTTGTAAGCCGCGAATCGGGACTCCATAATGCTGCTCAGAAGAAGTCCCAACTATCACCGTCACCCCCGTCGCCTCCATCATCTTCCTCATCCGCCCACGGGTCCTCTCTATGATCCGCGGGTTTCTCCTGTTGTTCATCTGCCCAGACGTCACCATATGGTCCCGTCTGACCTTGTGCCGGAGGTTGCTGACCCCCAGATGCAGCTTGAGAGTCGGGAGGGGAAGCTGGTGAAGTTCCTCCCATGCCCCGTGACATAGCGTCGTATCCCGCCATGGCACCGGCACCTGCTGCGCCTGCCATTGCACCATCAGCTAAGCCGCCGGCGGCCCCAGCCCCAGCCCTACCGACAGTACCTGCAGCAGCTTCTCCCACTGCCCCAGCAGCTCCAGCGGCCCCTGCCTCGCCAGCAACAGCCCCTCCTGCGGCGGCACCTCCCGCGGCAGCTCCCCCGGCGGCGGCCTCTCCGCCGAAACCAGGAAACCAGAGGGGCATGAAGCCAAAGCCGCCGGCGCCGCTATGGCGACTGAAGTAGTCAAAGTCGATGCTGACTGCAGTGGCCAGCATAACAGCACGCTGGTCTAGACTCATTGCAGTCACTGCGCGGGACTGTTCGGGAGTCTGCTCGCTAGGAGAGGCAGAGTCCATCCGCAAGGCATAAACACCAGTGTCCGTGAAAAACTCGCGGGCAAACCCGGCAAAGTTCCGGTTAACAGAGCCAATCAGCCGGCTGTCAGCAGAACGAAGAGCAAAGTCCCACGACAGGAAAGGCTCATCGACATACGCGAACTGATTATAGGCACCCGTTGCCTGACCACCCTGCGAAGACTGAACCAGCTGCATTTGCTGGGAGCTTGACAAGTCGGACTGTTCGAGTGGTAGTGTCTTCGTCCCCATGTCCAAGGCGGAATTGGGCGAATGGTGATATGTGAACAGGTTGTACTTGCGACGTAACGGAGCCCATTGTTGCTGGGCTTCTCCGATAACTCGCATGTCCTCGAAACCGAGGGACGAAAGGCGGGCATTCGAATCACCGGAGGCTTGAGCTAGTGAGTTCGCGGGATTGGTCTGCAGTGCCGTGGACGTAGAATGGGCACTCTTGGCCACCTCGAGAGGGTCGTAGACACGGATACGGGAGTTGATCCATGAGAATGGGCGGTGGAACTAGATTGCTGTATTAGCACTCGAGCTGAATAGCTTCCATCATGTTAGACTCACCCGCAACACCTCGTTCTCATGTTTGTCAAAGACGTGCGTGACGAAGCTTCGGTGTGTATTGAACCACTGTCGTGCCATCATGTTTCCCATGCCTTTCTCTTGCTCTGCCATGAAACCGATATGGTTTCCATTGGCATCCATAACAACATATTTGTTGGCTTGTTCAAACCCGCTGCGAACAAGAGAGCAAACGTTAGCCTCTATCGACTCGTACAGCGGGAGAAGACACTCACATCAAGACATTCATCAACTCTAGCTGGCGCTGGACAACCAGGCCCGAATTCGCCAGGATGGAAGTTGCCGGGTGGCTCTCTTTGATCACTCCATGAGGATCCTCGGGGATGTGAACGGGGGCAAGTAGAGTGTTTTGAGAGGGGTCGTAGTGGGGATTTGGTGAGTCGGAAGGAGGTTGTTGTTGTTGTTGTTGTTGTGGATCTGTGGATTGTGATGATGGCACATCTCGTCTGAGGGGTTCTGGTCTGCGAATTGAATTGCGAGGGCCACGAGGATTAACTCGTCCGCGATTGAGTGAACTGGCGAATGCCCGGCCGGGCGTTCGGAAGCATCGCGCATGCGATGGTCGGAGTATGGCACTCCACATCTTGCAATAAGTAAGACCAGTGCTCCTAGAGTAGGTAGAGGACCAATATATGTTTATGGAAGAATATCGTGTGAAGCGGCGCGTAGAGTTGAGTGATAGTTAGATTGTGGAAAGAGAAATTCATGGATGGCGGCGTTGATGACGGAGGTGTTGGCCTCAGGCCCGTATCGGCGGCTATAGATCGTTATCAGTTCGCCGCGTTTCTACAGAGTACTGTAACATGAAAGCTTGATTCTACATTTACATGAGTAGCATAGATAGCACTTTTAGGAAATTAACCTGGTTGCAAGTGATTAAATCCAAGGCATTCTCGTTGTGTTGGAACAATGCACTTGCGCCTGAGTCCTCAAAATACGCATTTTACCCACTTGTCAATCCTCGCTAGATTGTCTCGCAAACGATGTACATTATGCGCCAGCAGCAACCCCAAGAGCCTATATTATTTCTGAGTCAAAACAGTTGGATACGCCATCATAGTGAACTATCCTGAGCACCTATTTTCCTGTACTGACATAGAGCTGGGGAGACATATATATTGCATTAATGCCATAGAGCATTTGAGGCAGAGTTGTTGAAGGGGTATCGATGGCCATATCGCGCAGTGATTAGACGTTCGCTCTCATCCAGCCAAAATGCTCCCTGGAAGTCAAACAAAGCAGACTACGAGAACCTATTCTCAATCTGCAAAAGGTCCCAGTACATACTCCGTAGCCGTCGCGTAGCCTAACAGAATGCAGTAATCCACCAATATCCCGCATAAAATCACAAAAGACCCTTGCGCGCCAGTTCGACCTTGCGCGCAGCTTCGCCGGCTTTAAACCCTCCCTTAGAGACGCAGACAGCACTCCCTTCTCCTAGCTCAATCTTCTCTTCGACATCGGGATGCGGGCATGGACAGTGGTGGGGAAAGTGAACGCATGCTAGGGTTCCGGGGCACAGGTAGCGATCGCAGTGAGCTGAAGTTGGAGAACAAGTCACGTTAGCTCTAATCTGCAAAAAGACAGTCGGCATCCGCAAGCTCACCTGACTCCCACTGATTCTGATACCGAGAGCTATCGCTAGGGACATTTTGCGGAGCCTGATGTTGATGGCCGCCGCCGCCGCCAAACATATGCTCGAAGAATTGGAATTGGGCGTGGGCGACAGACGCCAGGAGGAGAAGGAGCCCCAAAGATTTGATCCAGCCGAGCATTTTGAACGGATGTATTTCCTTCGTCAAGTTGCAAGGCAATGAAAGTCCGCTAGAAATCGTGCAAGCGGGATGTCATTAACACCGTATAGATCCAGACGGCCAGTTGGCCCCTTCGATGACAGCACGTGACCACTCAACCATGCCAAGCCTTTTCTCATCCCGCAAAAAAAAGGAAGCCGCCGGTCTGGATAGCTTCATTTTCCCCTTCACTACGCCAGAGGAAAAACCAGGCTGCGGTCGTCTCTCTTCCCGCTACTACACGCAATGTTTCAACCTCGTGGAGTTCTGGCGCCCTTCCGGGCTCTAGAACGAGCCATTGCGCCCTCCACCCTTCGCGTCGCCTCGTACTCGACCTCGATCTTCTCCTCCCGACCCATCCTCAACTCCGCCCTCACAAACCCCTCCTCCTTATCGTCCACGACATTACCAAGAAGCAACAACACCACCCGCCTCCTCCCGCCCACCACGTCCTCCCTCCTCACTCTCCTCAGCCAGCAACAAATTCGTCACGCCTCGCACGCCTCCCAGGGAACCGCGAATAGACACTCGCGCGATCCGGCCGGCAAGCGTCTGGGCGCGAAGCGCTCCGCGGGCGAGTACGTGGTGCCGGGATGCATCATCTTCAAGCAGCGGGGCACGAAGTGGTACCCTGGCGAGAACTGCGGCATGGGGCGGGACCACACGATCTACAGCATGCAGTCCGGCTACGTGAGGTACTACCTGGACCCGGAGCGGCACCCGGACCGCAAGTTCATCGGCGTGGTCTTCGAGAAGGACGGCAAGCTGCCCACGCCGCGCAACGCGCCCACCCGCCGCCGCCTCGGCCGCGTCGCCGTGCGCTTCGATCCCGCCGACCTGCCCACCAACAACCAGAAGCAGTCCGACCTGGTGGCCGAGGTCACCGCGGAGGGGACGACGGTCGGGGACGTGCCCGCCGTCGATGCCGAGGCCGGCCTGCGCTTCCGCCCCGGCTACATGTACCGTGAGGCGAACTGGCAGATCGGTCGGGCCGCGGAGAAGGCCGGCATCATGGCCCTGCCCCATCGTCGCAAGAACCGCTGGCTGGCGTGGCGCAAGAGGACGGCCAAGGCTGAGCGCGTGGCCCAGATGAAGAGCTTGAAGGGCTCCAAAAAGTCCGCTAAGAAGGCGAAGAAATAGACGGAATTTGGGGAATCCCAGGCCGTTGGGTCTTCTTCTTTCTTTTTTGGGAGAGCCGGCTTTTGGACTCGATCTTGTAATTGATAGGGTCTTATAGTCTACTCTCGCCTTTCTTGCTCGCTCGGCCGCTTTGCTTGCTCTATGTCCGTGATGTGATTTACTCGGTCCGTGGCATGCAGTGAATTTCTTTTTCTTTCTTCTCGTTCTCGTCTCTGGCATTTGCGTACAGTCATGGGGTTTATTTATATCGGGTGTTTGCTTGTCCATTTCCATTTTCATGTACTATAAGATAAGATGTCTCCAGTATGTCCCTGTTTCCGCCTACATGTGCGAATAGAACACTTCTCCAAGTGGCTCAAGAGCAATTGTCGTGTTTTTATTATCGATATAGTGGATTGCGCAGCTAAATTCTCACAAGAAGGGTATATGCACATAAACACTTCTAACATCCCGCAGAAGAGAAAGTTTTATCACGGGCCCGAACCACAAAAGAACCCCGAAATGCGCCCAAAGCGAAGTGTCCAAACCCCCCTATCCCTGAAAGCCCCGAGAATTAGTAGCCAACGCAATTGGAGATGCCATATCTAGTCATAGTACATGCCACAAGACACCCATCTATCACTCACTGGTCGAACAGTCGACCCAGAATCAAGCTCTGGCAGACGAACTCATTCCCCACAATCCTGACATTCGTGCTCAGTCCAAGATCATCGCCGGTTACCGACTCCATGAGCTTGGTGGTCCGCTTCCGTTTCCGCGAGGTAGAGCAAGAGCCAGACACTCCAGCCGAGCTCAAGGCCATCGCTCTCGCAGACGGCTTGTCATCGTCATCGATGTAGATCCAATCCCAGCTGCGCTTGCGGACGTGCCCCTCCTCCGTCTGTGCGTTCAGGATGGCTCGAGCAGACTTCAGGTCTGAGACACGCTCGATCCGCGACGCCCCGAGAGCATAGGTGAGGAACAGGTAGGCCTTGCGTCGCTCCTCGTCGATGCGACCACTGCGTCCTGTGACTAGAAGAACGGACTGCCCGTTCAGGAGATTTGGTCTTCCTGCGATGATCTCCGAGAGTCGTGCCTCGGTGGCCAGGTACGGCGTAAGGATTCGTGACTTGGTTGCTCCGTTGAGGTATGTTGATTCCCCGGCAGGGAGGAGGTATATCTCCCAGTCGATGACCCGCCCTCGTGCGACGCAGTCTTCAACCCAGCGGTCTGAGAGACATGGGAGGTTGAGTGCTAGAGCTTGCATGTATTTCGATCGTCGAGAATGTCTGTCCGCGATCAAGCAGGCAAAGCCTACGTCTGCGGCGCTGCTGCTGAGCTTGAGGAGGTCATGCTGTGTATTTGATTCAGTGGGTGGCTGCTTGGTGGGAGTGGCGACGGGGGCGTTCAGCGGTAGATCAAAGAGCTCGTTGAATCCATCTTCTAAGATGCGCCCGTCGTTTTCTAGTATCAGTTTTACCACGCGAGCCTTGGCGTCGTTGTTGTCGCCAAAAGAGACCGCGAAGACCATTCCGGCGAACAGACCATTTGAGAAGCGGATGCTGCGTGACAGGCGCGCGCCAGGAGAGGAGATAGGCGTGGAAAGTTTCTCCGATGGTGTTGGAGCGCCGCGCTCGAGAAACACTGGCTCGGAGATATAGGTGAAGGAGCGATCTTTGAGTTGGTTCCACAGAATCGTGTCGAGGTAAATTTTTGAGATTGGCACTTCAATGAGGCTCTCAGCGACGGGCAAACCGGCATTAGGAAGACTCTTGCGCTGCTTTGGGCCTACCATCACAGCTGAATAGCCATAAATATCCGTCATGGGAATCACCCCGTTCGCGGCGCCCTGTTCAATCTCGTCTATGCTCAGCTTGCGGACAAAGCTCCGAATAACATGCGTGACCTTGGGCACGTTCGGCATGTCAACTTTGACGGCATCGCCGGGACGAAGTTCCAATCTCTTGATAGCTCCCATCGGAATGTCCACAGGTGCACTGTCTTCAAATTTTACCCGATACCGAGACTGCGACGTTCCGAATGGCTTGCCAAAACACGTCGCCGGATAGTACGCACGCTTTGTTCCACACCAGGGAGCGAAGACCTGGTTTGCTGCGACTGGGACTTTCTCAGTCAAAGACGGCATGGCCGGTCCGATTGGTGGCATACTACCTGTGGCAGGACTGCCCGTGGGCGACGTCTCTATCGGATTTTGAATCGTGATATCGCTGCGTGGCTCCTCAGGCACAGGGCTGATTGTTTGGCGTTGCTGCGCAATCCCCGACCGCTCCTTGCTGGGTGACCTGCCTCGCTTAGTCTCTACAGGCCTTTGTCGATTCAACGGTCGTGGACGAGGCAGCAATCGTGTCCTGTTTTTGCGCGAAACGAAGGTTCGCGGAGGAGAATCGTCCATATCCCACACACTGTCCGCCCTCCGAGGAGGTCTAGAGCGTCTCTGGTAAGCCTTCGCTGCTTTACTCTGCAAAATTTCCTGCTGTGCGTCCGGCTGCATGCCCATTTGCACCTCAGTCACAGTTCTCGTTGTCGCAGTTTCAACAAGATCATGAGAAACAGATTGGGGAGGTACAACACGACTGGAAAGGTGAGGAGTCCCTGGAAGAATAGGATCAGAAACAATCACACCCTGTCCGTCGTTGCCTCGGCGTTTCTTCCTCGGCGAGTCTTGATGCCTGGCAACTGCAGCACTGAACTCCCAATCATCGGCTGACATAATATCAATGTCTGGGTTGAAAGCTCCATTCCCTCCTTTCGGTGAGGCATCAGCAGCAATCTCCGTAAGTGCCCTCCGTTGCCGCCCACTCGGGCTTGAAAGAAGCTTCGAAATTGAGGTCAGGGATGGCTTCAATGGCGAGGTGCTGTTTAAGACAACCTGATGCGAATGCGATGCCCGTTCATGTGCGACCTGATATACCGGCGGCAGATCATCATCTTCCTGATCCGCTGTCTCATGATTGTTCATGTCGTTGGGCCATCCTTGGTTTCCCAGTCGGTTGGGACTAGTCTCTGGAATGCTGGTCGTTGGCACCGCATCCGCAAAGTCCATAGGGGGAACCGGTGTTTCAGCTACGCGAGAGGGCATCGACGATGATTTACCCCGGAGATCAAAGGTTGAAGGCTTGTCACCTACAACTCTGGGCTGCTGAGACACTGTATTACTCAAATCTAGTAAGCTGCCCTCTGGGGCCTGCGTGGCTTTCGGTGTGGGAGAGCGCTGGGGGCCGCCGGATATCGATCCGCCAACATTCATGCCCTGGACTTCACCCAGCTCGAACGACAGTCCAAGGCGACGCGATTCCGCGGGCGGGGAAGATTGCATGCGGGCTTGCTTCGTGGGCGAGGAAATGATCCTGTCAATGTCCGATGTAGGATCTATCTGAACCTGAGAATCCGGACAATGTGATGTTCTTCGGCTGCGATTCGTCTCGACTTCTGCGTCGGCTTCCCTCTGCCTGGGAGAGCGCTGAGAATCTTTGACAATTGATATCTGTGACGACCTGCCAAGCTCATAGGGCTCATCCAAGTGGGTGATATTGCGAGCTAAATGTGGTTGAAGCTGTTGCTTTTCTGGGCTTCCGTGAGCTGGCGAAGTGCTACCATCAAAGGCGAGGACTTGCGAAAGACGATCATGTGCGCTAGTGGTGGCGGCAACAGGAGTCGCTGCTAGATCAAGACAGTTTTCTTTGTCTTCCTCTGTCAGAGAAATATGCTCCGCGGATGGTGGAATGGACTGACCCCTATGGTCTTCTTGCTCTTGTTCAGTCTCTTCTTCGCTCGAGCCTCCCCGCTGCGGAACAATAGAATCTGAGGCAGCCCTCTGCTCACCATCATTCTCTGCAACAGATTCATCGTTCCAGACTTGCAGACCCAAGTCCCCTTGTGGTGACAACGAACCCTTGCTAGCTTGTCTGCTTCGGGTACCCTCTGACCGGGCAGGTGCCGTAAGACCTGCAAGCTGGGGTGCTATATCCTCGTCTATCGTACGGTGCCGCTTCATGCGTTCGACAAAGCTAGGCTCCTTGCCAAAGTCGTCATCACTTGGGTCACCGGGGACCACATGATCCGCCGAACGAGTCATCCTCTCATACAACAGTTTATCACGATTCGCCTGAGATTCCTGCATAGAAATATAGTTGAGCTTGTGCGCTGAAGAGTCTCGCGGGAAGGTTGCCGCCATACGATCGTATGGGGATGACAGATTTGCAGCGAGAGGGTGTTTCTGAATCGGGATGTTGGGTGAGGGCCGGTCCGATACAAGGTCAGAATGTTGCTGGCGATTGACTAGCGGGGAGGAAGGCGCCTGGGTAGCTCTGAACACTTGGCTCAAAGCCATGATTCCACCACTCGACCCAATATCTGTCGCAAGAGGGTTCCGTGAGACAGTGGGCGAAATGGTAGCAAGGCCGTCTGAATGAGCTCGCTTCACAGCAGTCGCAGGAGTCTTCAGCACGAATCGCTGTGATTCGGGAAACAGATTTGATTGATAGTGCGCGGGCGATGACTCCCCTAGTTTGGAGCTGCTCCGGTCATCGTTATCGTCAATGTTAACCAGTTCTGCATTAACATTGTCGTAACCCGCCAATAGGTCGAGATGACCGCTGTCTCCCTCATGCAGGGTCATAAGTGTAGCTTGATCCCCCATATTACTGTCATGGTTCATAACAGGACCTTCTTCCTGGTTTTTGCGAATGATCTCATCGTACACCCGCTGGGAGATCAACTGTGTATCCGACGGGAGCGTTTCTGCGGAGCCCATCTTACCCAGCTGAGTTGCCGCGCGGCTGCTGGGGCGGTCTTCGAAAGAGGGTAGCTTTGGTGAGCTCACGCTGGCGCCATTTTGTGCTAGACTGGATGACGAAGTCGTTGACACAGGTTCGGAGGGTTTCTGCGCACACTCTTTGTCGTCAGTCGGCAATTGCTGTTGAAGTCCTTGTTGACCGTTGTCTTGATCATTCAATACAGAATTCTCTGCCATTAATTGCGACTGTATGGATTCCTTTCAGATCGCCCAGAATCAATCGAGTTAGTCCAATGCGGAGACTGGATCAGAGACGCCGCCGCCACTGAAGTGGTCACTCACCTGGCCCAACGCGACGCGCTGCAGCCTCGCGATGTCGATGCTATCTTCTTGGGTCTCCATAGTCCCGTACACTCCGTAGAATTTGGGCTTTCTGATGAGTATTATCACATCGTTCCCATTCCCCGGTCCAAAGGTTTAAGGAACGTGGCGCCGAGGCTGCATTGATGAGCTGGACAGTTGAAGTCGATGACATCCAAATCACTGCGCTCCGGAACGACAAAACGCGAGACGCGTAGATCACGTGACATGCTATCAATTTTACCGTTTTAAGTCTAGGCCATGCTGATGCTGGTTGTACGAGTAGTCAAGGCAAAGATCAGATATACATAAACAGAGCATGATTTTCATCACACTGGGCTATTATACATGATTACTTAAGTGGGATAGGAAGTACAACATGAGCCAGAGTGGAGCTAAAGGAGGTATTCATCCAACACCAGGTCACTACCCAGTTATTATGGTGATACAAGACGAAGGAAAGGAAGCACACAGGTCAGTCGCGAGTACGGTTAGGCACCCATCTGCGTATCACCATCTCTCGAACTTGGTAACGAGCAAGCAGTCTCCCAATATCAGTCTCGGATGGCTCGTCCAGATCGTACGGGGCTGGCGGTGGCACTTCCACATAGCAAACCACCAAGCTCTTCTTCACTTGGGCTTGCACACGGTTGACGCAATGCAGCCACCACCAGCTGCGGGACACTTGCTTTTTGCAGTGCTTTCGGCGCTCCTCCGTCTCTGACCAGTAGGAATCAATGTAGGAAGGAATGACCACGACCGCAAACTCAGCATGTGAGAAGACCGGGCCACGATTGTAGAGAAGATAATCGACCCCGAACTTCACACCGGATCGCACGACCCATCCTAGTGACCGGAAATGGTGGTACACGACGTAAGAGATCAGGAAAGTGTCGTCGGGCTTCATTTCCGAGGATGGACCACGGGGTGGGAAGTCGGCATGCTGGCAGAACAGGGGGAGTAAAGTCGAGGTCGTCATGACGGCCTCGCGTGTGTCGTCCAGAATCGTCAGGGCACCAAGTCCATAGGCGAGAAAGAAGGCTTCCTCGTTTGACAGGTGAAGATGCTCTTCGTTCTGCAAGACGGGCTCCTCTTCTGCGCCGCCAGCCTTGTCTTCCTCTGCTATCACCTCTGGAAGCTGCAAGATAGCCGAATCGGAGATGAATTCCTTTGCCTGCACTACCGGGGAAAATCGAACGGTCTTGCCGCTACCATTGGAGAGCTGCTCTCCGGGGGTATTAAGAGGCGGCACTTCGCCGTTCTGTGCGAGTGAACGCTGCGAGTCCAACAGCCTTGCTTCTTTAGCTTTTCTCAGTGAAAACTTCTCTGCCGATGTGTCTGCGGACGGCGATTGAGAGGGCTGCTCGACAGACAAATTGTCGCCTTGCCGGGCGGCTGCTTCAGCCTTCAGTCGTTCTTGAATGGCCAGCTTCTCCATGCGAGCTCGATCCATCTTCAATTCGCGACGTTCTGTCCGGCGCTGCCGGGTGACCTCCTCACTCGTAGTTCCACCGAGCAATCCGCGCCGCTTCTTCTCTCGCTCCAACCAGCTCGGTTCACTCCGACTGAGATTGCCCTTGCCAAAGAAGCCCATCTCCCAGAGAGCTCGGATGGCCTTCGGGTCCGTGACATGGACAGATGATGTCGCAGAGTCAAAATAAGCCGTGTAGACATGCTGTTGGGGTGGTGCAATGAGGTATGTCAAGTAGGACAGCAGCACACTGACAATCGACAATGGATTATGAGGGATCAGAGGCGGCAAAGGATGGACATCAACGGGGAAAGGGAAGCGGTGGATAAGTTTGTAGTTGGGCCGCGGCGGTCGCGAACGACGAGCAGGCGATGCATTTTTCTGGGACTCGGTCTTGATACTAGCAGGGCCAGAGCTAGCACCGGGAGAAGAGTTAGGAACAGGAGAGGATGAAGAAGCCATCTTGTACGTATGAATTAAGATTGATTGATTGATGAGTCTCGATAGATTGATTCTAACTACTGATGAAGAGTCAGCAGGCAACTCTTCGTTTACGAGATTGAACAGCCATGATGCTTGACGGATTCAAGAGTGCCCTGGATGCTATTCATATTCTTCTCAGATACCGTTGTAGTCAAATAAAGCCTTCATCGACAACAGCGAAGAAATCAAAGTTGCCATTGTCTAAGCTTTGAGGTATGTTATCATCACCGAAGAAAATGAATAGAATCCCGAACCACCTCTTGCAAGATCGATCAATCAATCAAAGCTGCTTTGCTAGCTAAAGCTTACCCGAAATCTTCCCTAAGATCTGGGTTGATTTGCCTGCACGAGTGGAATTACACAAACGAAGGAGCTGATAGCATAGATAGGCTCTTCCCAAATCATAATAATATGATATAGCAGATGCGCATCAGCATCAGAACCGAGATCCTACCTCGTCACTGCCAACATCCAAGGATTGTGTTGTGCAGACAAAAAGTCAATAATCGACACTCAGACAAAAACACAAGAGGAAAGGAAAAAAAAAATGACTCGCTTGGCCAGCCTTAAATGGAGTGTGACAGCTGACTCAGCTAGCCTTCCCCAGGCGGTGAACCGAGTCCGTGCGTTTTTCTGCGGCGCCAAAAATTTCCTGCGGACTCGGAGCTGGTGAAGATTGTTCTTGCAATTGAAAGTTAACCCCGCGACGACATTCGTTTCTGCCTTTGTTTCTAAGTCGACAACCGTTTTCGAACACTCATTCAAGTAAGTTGACTTCGCACTGAGATATTCAAATGCAAAGGTTGGTGCTAACCGCTTGACTCTAGGATGCATCTTATGGTATGTTTGCCAAACTCGTCATGTGCACCACAAGGATTTCTGTTCAGCAGGGAAATTGACTGGTGAAATAGTACACTCTCGGCGAGGATGGCAAGCGCATCTACACCTTGAAGAAGGTCCTCGATGGTCGCACCACCAAGTCGGCCCACCCTGCCAGATTCTCTCCCGATGACAAGTACTCCAGGTGCGTTCGGATCACAGAACCCAAGATGATTGTTCATCTTCACCAAATGCATGCAAAAGTGCTGACTCTGCGTCTCTCGTACAGACACCGTGTCACCCTCAAGAAGAGATACGGTCTGCTTCTCACCCAGCAGCCTGGTATGAGCTCTCCCGAGACCGCACATGCCCCGAGCCCAGCTAATCCCACCTTACAGAGAAGGAGGCTGCTCAGTTGTAATAAGCGAGACGATGAGGCAGTAGTCGCTTGATATACACACAGTGCTTTTGAATCATTTATTGGCGAATGGTGTTATCAATGGTCTTTGAATGGATGATGAAACCCTTTTTTCTCTCTTTCCAGTTTGTGCGGTGCCCGATTCTTTCACTGGTGGGAAAAGTGCTATTTTTGCTACCCATTTATTGGTGATTTAGCTCGGTCCTAATCTACCATTTACTATGAAAAAGGCACTTGTTCCATCTATGTCCATTGCGTAGTGCATCTTAAATGTAGCATGTCTATCCAAGTCATTGAAAGTCAATCACCGTCATAATCCCGTAGCCATCCAGACCCCTGAAAGTAGCCAGAGGATCATCAAACTTTTTGCCAGACGCCAGTCCCAAGTGATGCAAGAAGGAAGAAACAAATAAACGAAACCCCGAACAGGCCATTACCGCTTCCTTGAGTTCACGTTCCTACCAGCTCCGACGCGCACACGACCATGTTTATTACGCTCACCACTCAAAATGCTAGGGAGATAATCCTCGTCCATGAGGTCATGCTCTTTTCGCATTCTGCGGTTCTGCTCCGCAGTGGCGCGACTGAACTCCTTTTGATCCTCTGCGAAGATGAGCTCCGTACCCCAGCCACCCTTTCCACCGCCGCCCTTCCACTTGCCGTTCGAGCTGCCATGGACGGGCTTGGGGACGCTGTAGACGTTTCCTCGGTTATTCCACTGCATGGTCTTTTTGAGATGCATCGTGAACTGCCCGTTTGAGTTCGTCGTGCAAGACACCCGAGTGAGCGTATCCTTGCCACAGCGCGGGCAGAATTGCTTGTTCATGTCCTTGGTGGTAGAAAAGCATGCGTGACAGCGCTTGACGAAGGATTTCAGATGTCGAATACGCTGCAGGGTGGTGGTCGAGAGGAGATTCAGGTTCATCTGGAGAAGAACATTTTGGCACTACATGAATGGTCAGTATATGGGCCTGTTGTCTTGTGCGAAGTACGTACGGCGAAATCAGTGGTCATCGTAGCGACTTGCATGACCTTGGGCTCAGGAGCCGCTGACACAGAACTGGCTTCGTCGCGGGCCTGCCGCTTCTTCAAGTTCGAGGGCGTAATCCAGCCATCGTCATCGTCATCATTCTCATCGGAACCTTCCTCCTCGTCCTCTGCCGGGAGCTCGGCAATTTCTGAGATTACAACTTCTGGTTCGGGTTGCTTCTCGGCATCATGCTGGTCTTCCAGCGTTGCGTCCTTTAGTTCCTCAGCGACAGCGTCAACATCCGTACGCTCTGCTTTCACCTCGGTATCCTTGTTCTCGGGGGCCTGCTCGACCTTCTCTTCAGCAGGCTTGTCGGCTTCCTGCTCAGATTTGCCCTCCTGCGCAACAACAGGAGCGGGCGGCTTGCCATTGACCTGCTTTTGACCTGGTACGCTGCGAAGTCGCCAATCGCCACCATTCCGCTCACACTCGATTTCATAGGCAAGAGCGATAACCTCAAGATCGGTTCGACTAAGCACGGCGCGGTCACCTGTCTTGCGGGCGAACTCGCTAATCACAGCGACACTCTTAGGGCTCGGGGTACGTTGCTTCAGGAAAGGCAGGTAGAGGGTTTCAACACGCTGGCGAGCAGCAGGATCCCGAATTTCGCTCACAACGGAGGGGGTGATGAGGAGTTCTTCGCTTTGGGCGAGAAGGGTTGAGAGCGGCGGGGTATTCTTGAGGATTGGGCCGGCATCGAGCACGATCGTGTGGACGGGCTTGGGAGTTGTGGTGGCAGGGGCAGTTGAGTCCGCCATAATTGCGGTCGGATATAGTTGAGAACCTGAAATTATATCCAAGGCAAAAGTCGCCGGTGGTCCGGGTAACAAGTTTGGAGGCTTCACCTGGCTGCTAAATTGAGGGGGAAAAAGTTGTTGATGTCGGGGGATGGAAAATGAATGCGATGGGATTTTCCCGCTGGGTCTGTGCGTGGCTTATCCTTATCTTAGCGTCTTTTCCCCTACTGTAACTACTCAGTAACTTACTCCTTCCTTCAAGGTTCTCATCTCCCCTTCTTTCTCTATTCTACCACATCTTTCAGTCTGCTTCTCAAAACTTGCCTACTGAGGTAAAGTTATACATCTTCTCTATCTAGAATTGAACCTGCATCATTTGGTTCGAAGTATGTTAGCTCAGTGGAATCTGGACGCATCATATCAACACCATTGATGTCTCGCCGGTTCCCGGTTACGCCGCTGCATCGATTCCAAATCACATGGCAATGACAGGTCAACTCGACCAAACCCTCGACTTGTCATTAAGACAGCTCCAGAAAATATCACATGGCATCTTAGTTGCAAAGCAAGAAACTTAACCACATATTCTTTTTCTGCATGGAAATAAGAAGAGCGCGTCTGCCTCAAAGCAAGAACCACACGAGGTTCTCCAGAATCACGACGATTGCATGCATAGCTCTCTTTCGCACGGAGTTCTCCGACTGAGTAAGGGCCTGTCTGTCTCGTATCCCAAAATGCTCGAAGTCAAAGGAGTCGGCATGACTCGACCCGACTAAGTCCGCACGGCGCGCTCGACGCAAAAGTACCTTTGCTACCGTGGTGGCCATGCTGTGGAGCAAAGTGCAGATGGATGTTACAGTGAGTGGCGAGCTGGAAGAACGGAGACGGAGTTCCAGGGACGGAGTCATGATTGTCTTCTGTTTGGCATGATGGGCTAATGCAGGCTTCCATGATAGACTGCAGGGTGACTGACAGCATTGCAGCTGATGCGCTGACGGGTACGAAGATATTGGTATCTGGTCGGCGCTACTCAGGAACTAGAGACATCATGCAAGCCTTCCATATAGTCTCAGGTTCTATGCAGCCTGAGGCAATGCACAATTGGTCTGGAGCCATACAGCCTCATGCAAAACAAGGTGCTGATGCCGCCAGAGGAATCTTCTGGTCCTCATCGCGAGAGGCTGGATTGCTGGGCTGGGCTTGATTGCGATCTTGCGAAAAATGTCGACCAGCACGATCTTGTCGCATGGCGATGGAGTCTTCACGTGTTTGCCTTGGTTTCACCTCACCATGCCTGGTTCACGCCGACTCCTTTTTAAACCCAGGGCGCGACATTGGCACATCCTGGCATGGTCTCACCTCATGGCGATACATTGCCTAGCGCTGCTGCTCGTCAAGTCGGACATGAATCATCGAAGTACGAAGTAGATATGAGCCCTGCCAACGAGAAAAGTAGTTACTTGGTGTAGACATCGAAATGGAGAGCCAGCCAACCCCTAGCCATCATCACTGCCTGTTGAGCACTAAAATGCATTTAGAGCTCATCGTATCGCCTATCCAGGAGCCTTGAGATTCCATTGAATTATACTATCGACGGACAGAGTTCGGATTTTTCAATACCGACAGACGTGGCGTTCGATGTCGGCTAAGATCACCTGTCTGGCCAATCCAGGAGAAGGAGGCACCGATCAGCCAGTTGATGCGGTTTGAAGTGAGACTATGGCTGCAGTCACGGCTGTGATAGTCACTGCATCTGCCAAACAACATGCTTGTTTCCCTTAAACAAGCATCATTGTGGCCAATTGGCCTGTCTCTCCAACAATCAACAAGTTTTGAAGCCCAACAATGCGATAACAAGAGTGAGTCAACCAGAATCATCTAATGGCGACTGGTAGTATTAGCGCTGGTTGGTTCTTTTCCTGTTCGAAGGCTTAGGCGCATTAGCGGATGTGATCTATCACTTCTTTATTTACCTTCGGCGTTTCAGGCCAATGACCATAATTAATCGATTCAATTAATCAAGCAATCGCACTTCCTCGACCTGCATTATTTTTCATGTCAACTCACGGGTCGCACTGTGCTCCGTACTGCACGGCTACACAGAGACCCATTGCTCGGTACTTTGTTCCCCCATTATCCCCTCTCTCCACCCCCCTGCAGGTCCGTTATTTCATGTGGCTCATCTCCGTGCAGACCCAGAGAAGAGGTAAATGACAGATCGCCACGACCAAGAAGGGGAGAGTCAAGGTATTTGGCAATACGTACGGAGTACCTCAGACAGTCTTTTAGAGAATGGGATCATGGGATTGCTCCACTTTCCCCCCTCTCCCTTTCCAACTGAAGTCTCGCGGGTCACTCGTATCCCTTGCTCTCTGGCACTCATGTTGAGCAGATGTCTAGTCCCTGCCTTGTACGACGGAAGCTAGAAGTGCCCTTGCTAGGGTGAAGAGATGGAGATGCCAACCCCAGGGGAAAGTGTTGGACATTGGGAAGGTGACCGGAGATAATCCCTGCTGCAGCCCTCCTGGGCTCTGCGCCGGGGGGAAAGGGGATTGACAGCTCCGCTCCAATGTCAGGAGAGTAAAACACCCATCCAGGATCCACGATCTGCCTGCATCTGCCATCCCTCCAGATTTCTTGGGTACATGGAGGGTACGCCATGTACCAAAGATCTCTCTCCAGACCTGGGGCCACAGGTACTGTACTGGCGAGGGCGAAGGAAAGTACTGTATTTCATACGCTGTGTACGTATGAGATATGCAAGCATCAAACCATATGCATAGTTCAATCCTCATCTGCGCCCAACCAAAGGGAGGCGGAGAGTCTTGGAATAACTCGTCGATCTATCGCGCAGCTCCACTTTTCGTCTTAATTGACTGGCTCGGGGGATTTGGCATCCATAGACTGTGGATACTGTCATCATTGGTGACACCAGAAGGCTGGAACTGGTCGCTTGGTCCTCTGCTGTGCGTCGGCCCTAAGTGCAGTCTGCGTTGCAGCCAAAATGGTCGATATCACACAGAAAGGCAAACAAATATTCCGCTTCCAACACCAAAGGAGAGCCGGATGGGAAATCAAGGGCCTCTCCACCGACAACTATCTATCGAACTAAAAGTTTAGTGTGGCTGTTCTCCATCATTTGCTTGATTGCCCTCTCCCTTGCTTGCTTGCTTTTTCTGCCTTCTCCTTCTCTGCCACTCCCATGATGTCTTAGCGTCTGCCCGCAGATCCGGAGAAGGATGAGACAAGAGCGAAGATCTACACGGGTATGATGGTGCTGGTCTGTGTTGCATCTCGACCTTCAGACCGTTAATGGGGTCTGCAGGACCAGAACTGTTTATAACCCTACCCTCTCCTCCTTTCCCTGTGAGTAATCCCCCCTCTTTGTGAGATGCCACACACTGCTCGGTCGCTAATCGGGGTCACCTAGACCCCAGGGTTTATATGTATGAACCTCCCCGACTAGCATTACGGAGGCCGTTATACCATTGAGCCATCCATCGTCGATCGTGGGAAGACACGGCACTTACACATTGATGGGACACCAGTCCTGCACGCAACAATGACGGAAACCTACCTCTTTCATGTCAGCCGCTCTGAGGATGCAGCGAATGGATCGTACATGTCCTCTCGAGGAGCTCAAGCGCTGTCTGTCAGTGTTGTTTTCACCACGCTGGCAACCATCTTCGTCAGCGCTCGCATTTATACTCGAAAAACCTTGATGAACCGCATGGAACCCAACGATTGGATGATCTTGATCGCCTTGGTACTGACCCTGCTGGAGTCCTTGCCCGAGTCCCAATCTACCCAAACTCAACTGACAGTTATTCAGGTCCTATCATTTGTCTTCATGGGCTTGTTCATTGTGGAGGCTTTAAATGGGATGGGAATGCGTCAAGTAGACATCCCACCTCTCATTCTCGAGAAGCAAATGAAGGTATGGGCAACATGCTCCCTGGCCCAGTCAATCAGTGGCACTGACTCTTCGGCATCATGGATCTTAGGCCTTCTGGCTTACCATCCCCTTCTATAACGCCGCCTTGCTCTGCGCCAAAGCCTCGATTCTGATGCAGTATTTCCGTGTCTTTCCAACAAGACGGATGCGACGCATCTGCTGGCTCATGATTGCCGTATTGGCTACATACGGAACCTGGGCTGTGCTGAGTGCATTCCTCAACTGCGTCCCCGTGGCCAAGTTCTGGGATCCATCCATCCCGGGGTTCTGTTTGAGCTCGGAGGGCCTGTGGTTCTCCAACGCCTCGATGCATATCAGCACCGACTTGGTCATCCTCATCATCCCGATCCCAGCGTTGGTGGCACTCGAGCTGCCGAAGAAACAGAAGATCGCGCTGATTTCAATCTTCGCAATTGGTGGATTGTGAGTTGGCTGTCCCCGGAGACCCTCGCCGTATCCTCAACGCTAACAACCACAATCTTCAGTGTATGTGTCACCAGCATATGCCGCCTCGTCGCGCTAAAGAAGATCGCCGACTCATCTGATCCCACCTGTAAGTCAGATACCTGCACGGTACCCCGTTCCCCACAAAGAATCAATCAGGTCTAACCAAGACCGTGAACAATAGACGACAACGTCGGCGCAGCCTCCTGGTCCGCCATCGAATGCAACACCGGGATCATCTGCGCCTGCCTCCCGACGCTCCGCCCGCTGGTCTCGCGGATCCTGCCGCATCTCCTGTCGACCCTCAGCGGCGGCCGGCAAGCCTACGGCACGACGCCCTTGTCCGGCGCCCAGGCCCCGACCTACTGGAACGGCACCGGCGCCACCGTCACCACCACCATCACCACCCACCTCGATGACCTCGAGTACGCCCACTGCGCCGGCGACGCCGACCGCTACCTCACGCTGGTGCCCGGCAACGACGTCAACGGCCAGGGCAAGCTCATGGTCCGCGAAACCCATCCCACCGGAGCAGGAGACTTGAAGGAAGCGTTCACCCGCGAGGAGCAGCGAGGAGATAGCTCGTCATCCTCGTCGCCGCCTCGAGCCGGGAATCTGCTAGGATAACAGGCGATGAATCGTAACTGTGCTGGTGCTGATGCTGTGGCTAATTGTGAAGGTGAGATTTAGCGAAGGCGAAAAGAAAAAAGAGCAACGGTCCTTTTTTTATTTCATTTCAGTATATATATCCAGGAAACGATATACCCACTTCTCTCTCTTTTTTGAATATCTGTCACCACAGACTCTGGTGACCTTCTTTTTGCCTTGGCTGTGGTGGTCTCGTTCATTTATTTTTCTTTTTTCTTCTCTTCATATATACCTTTTTGTGTGTCTTTGGCATGATTGAGGCAGTAATGGAATGGATATGAATAATTTTGGTCGAATAGGGAATGAAATAATCTTATATAAATCATAATTTGTGAACAAGTCACTGGGAGTGGCTTGGGGTTTAGATGAGGACCTAGTGCACTCCCGAGGATTTGAGATTGTATAGGCATTAACAAATTGACTATCACAACTCTTAAGGATGAGTCTGTATCTCCCTACTCACGTTCGTATGAAAGTGTAGATCGTGGAGTATACTTCTAGCCTTAATATCATAGTCATGTATGCAATGCAACCCAGCTACATCTCCCCCCTCTCTAACTGAAATATATAGTCTAGACAAAAGCGTATCAGATTCTATTCCTACCGGACCAACCTCATACATCCCGACCCGAATGTTTCTTGAGACGTCGGGTCTATCCGATCTAGAAGGCCGCAAACTCCGCGTCCACCTCCTCGAAGTGATCGAAAAAGCCCTTGAACAGCTTGACGCCCAGACCGGGATCCAGACTGCCCGTGGTGGCGCGGATGCTGTGCATGCTGAGCTGGGGGATGCCCATGTCGATGGCGCGCATGCCGATGCGGGCGCTGGTCATGGGGCCGATGGTGCCGCCGCTGCGGGAGTCGTTGCGGATCTGGAAGACCTGGAGGGTGGCGCCGCACTTGTCGGCGACGCGCTTCATGAAGCCGTGGCTGACGCTGTCGGTGGTCATGTGGCCGTTGGAGTCGGCGGAGACGGCGACGCCGACGTTGAGGCGCGGGGCGTGGTTTTCGAGGTAGACGTTCAGGAAGTTGGGGTTGACGGCGTGGATGACGTCCGAGGAGACGAGGAAGCTGTTGGCGACGGTCTGCGAGAGGAGGTTGGGCCCGTAGGCGGTGGCGGCGGCGGGGTCGGCGAAGGCCTCGGCGATGCGCTCGATGATGCTGGACATGAAGTTGGAGCGCGCGCCCTGGCGCAGCAGGCTGCCGATCTCCTCGTCGTCGAACATGCCGACCATCTTGATCGAGGCCGGCGAGGTGGAGTCCGGCGAGGCCAGGAGCGCCTCCTGCGCCGCGTAGCAGCAGAGCTTGTCGTCGATGCGGCCCGCGAAGATCAGGTCCTTCTCCAGGCCGCCCAGTTGAGCCGGCTGGCTGTCGTAAAGTTCCAGCTCCCACGAGACGATCGTGTGGGGGTCGTGGATCTGGAGCTCGCGCGAGATGACCCGGACGAGTTTCTCGGGCTGCGTCGCGGCGAAGCTGCCGGCTTGGAAGGCGGACGGAGTGTCGGCGGACGTGGAGAAGAGGTCCGAGTTGTCGACGCCGATGATGGGCACCATCTGGGTCTCCTTGTTGAAGGGGCCCTGGCTGGGGGCGCCGAAGTGCGGCGCCAGGGTAGGGACGCGGGCAATGGGCCAGTCGAGCTTCACCAGCTTGGACTCGATCTTTCCGCTGCTGGGGTCGCGCACGAGCACGCGCCCGCCGATCGAGAGGTCCCGATCCCACCAGGTCTCATTCAAGGCCCCTGCGTACGGCGCCACGCCGAGCTGCACGAACCCGGCCTTCGTGGGCAGCTTCGACACCGGCTTCAACTTGGCGGTGAGGGCGTCGATGTGTCCGGCCACGATCGCCACGCCATTGCCGCTCTTGTACTCCTTGCCGACGGAGAAGGCGATGAAGGCGCTGGAGTTCCGCGTGCAGTAGTACTTCCCACCACGCACGAGCTTGTTCGTCCAGGATTCGCGCTCGTGCAGGCGCTTGTACCCTTTGCTTTCGAGCTGGGCGGTGAAGGCATCGACGGCGTGGAAGATGGTCGGGTTCGCGGTCATGAAATCACAATACGGCTGGGAGTATGCACTCGGATCGAAGGAGGCGGTGGAAGGAGGTGATACCGTGGTTGCTCGCGTGGGATAGACATGGTCGGGGAGCGGGCTGGTCTGGGAGGCTGGGCGATGGGCCAGAGCGGCTTCTCGAAGCTCAATGAAGCTTTTCTTGGCCATTGTGCAGTGAAGAGGATGGATTCGGGCTGAAAGTGTGTCTTGAGATGTAGAGAATAGGCACAGATATTGGGATGAGAGAATAGAGAAGGGATAATTGCAGATGGGGGTGGGAGAGTTGAGGAGTGAGGTGAGGAGTGAGGAGTGAGGAGAGGCTTGGAGAGCGAGACACGGAGAGAAAGGCGGAGCTCCGGTGGATCAATCAGTCAGCTGGGGAAGTCAGTTGGAGATGACGATCGTGATCGTCCCTCGGCTCTCCTTCTCTCCTCTTGTATCCTGGTATCCTTGTATCCTCCATCATCTTCTCTAATACAGTCATCTTCTCAATGTGACTGCTGTCTGAATCAGACATCATGGCCATCATCCATCTATCGTTCTGAGTGCAATGCACGTATCTTATTGCCTTGTTTACAGTCATTATCCGCTCTAATCAGCTATCTTTCTTATCCGGAAACAGCCTTCACGATAAGCGATCCATGATGTCTAATCGCTGGAACCTACATAACAATTCCAGTTCACATTGCCATCCTGACATTCCTCTGTAATGGCCGGTCCAGTTGCCGATGCCATCACCTGCTCGTCGCGCACAATCATGATCTTCACGGGTCCTGTTTCTCCATCGAAGGGAACCGAGCAGTGATGAACGCCCGCCCCCGAGGCTTGTACGATATTGGGCGTTCCATCCCCAATCTGTATGTGAATTTCGCTCGGGCTCCCCACAATCACGCTGACAAACACCCGATCCTGGGATACCTCGCCCGGGTGCAATTCCTCTTGGCCCACCCCCGGGTTGTTGCCGGTCGTCCCATTGGTACTGCCGGCATGACTAGGGTTCGTACGATACCAGTACACAATCTTATCCGCAAAGGACAAGTGAGGTCGGGGTTGGTTGGGATCAACCACGCCGCCGTTCCGGTAGGCGTCAATGTAGTGGGGCAAAAGTGCCCTCCATGCGTCGTGAGGGTGTCCAAAACAATAGCGACCGGCTCCATCGGGTACCCCGGCCTCGTGGATGGGCCCGATATAGTGTGCTTCGCCGTAGTCGTTCCAGCTAATGATCTGTGATCAATGAGGTTATTTGTTGTCGAAGAAGGAGGGTTTAGAATAGACCCATACCTGAACCCAAGCTGGCTGCAATCTCATCACCTGCTCCCACCGGTAGTGCCAGAGATCATCGCCGCGCCACAGCCAATTCTTGTCCCACTGAGGCAAGTTCGTGTAGAACCAAGGTGAAACGGGCATCATGTACGGCCGACCATCCAAGGACTGGATCCAATGTTCATCGTTGGCGGTGTTCTTCTGTTCGGCGCCTACGGGCCATGCATCCCAGCTGAAAGCACCATCAACAATATCGAGGTAGTTGGTGATGGCGGCAGCGCCGCAGTCGGGCCAGCTAGGGACGAAGAAACAATTCGTGGCGCGCTTGATGTCGACCCAGTCTCCGGCGCTTGAGACTCCGATAAAGGTGGAAACCAGTGGCCTTCCTTGATAGAAATACTGGGGGCTGCGGTGTGCGAAGGTGTTGATGGTGTGAATGACACGGTCCACTGGCCATGGCCCCCCCGACCCATAGTCGAAGGAAAGGAATAGGGTAAAATTCCCGACTCTTTCAGCCGCACTGTACGCATTTTCCAGGACCTGGTCGGTGTAACTATCCTGGGGGGCGATGTTGAGCGCGAAGCCATCAATATGGCACTTTTGGGCCTCGATTATATCCGACTCCCATTGTTCAGGGGTCATGGCAGCCGCGCATCCCACCTAGAGTACCGTTAGCTGAGTACTTACTAGTCGTTATCCACACTGAAGATCTTACGATAAAATGCGCAAACACTGTCTGTGGCCCAGTTCTGGCGACCGCAGGGCTTGCTCCTAGTAGCAACGGAATTGAGTCACTAATCAGCAAGACGGCTTTCCGCAAGCGAGAGGTCGTCCACCCGCCGGAATTAAATAAACCAACCTGGAGGGAAAGTCGGGACGCTCTCTTGTGTCGGCCAATGACCATCTGGCTGGTTCGAAGGAGGACTGTAGGGCTGAGGAGAAGCAGGTGGTGTTCCATACTTCTCTTTGACATGTTGGTGGACGCGATCCAGGAAATCCCCGAATCGTCCCATAGTGGCGGGGGTAGTGTTGGTGTTGATGTATGTTTGTTCTCAAGAGCGAAGCTGACACCCGACCAGCGTGTGCAGTTGCAACTTCATTGATTGTGATAGAGAACAAGATCCCGCGGTCGGCAGTCTCTATCGTCGAGATATTGTGTTTTTTTTTTTTTTTATTTGTGTATGGAAGCCAAGATTCGGGGCCAGTTGATCCGAGGTTGTCTTGACTGTGGGGGGGCAAAGGCTGGTGCCTAAGATGGTGGAAACAATATTGGTGTATGTACTGTATACAGCAAGAGTCCTTTCTACCACCGGTGGATAGTACGTATAGCTTCACAACACAGCAATGATAAACATAACAAGGGTCTGACGTGCGGGGTTCGGTGTTCCTCCCTTGGTTCTGTTCCACCTTTACCAGAAGCCTTGTCATCAGAGGACCCGTACTTGCACCTATCTAAGCACTTATTTAGATCTGTCTAGAAGCCGACTATACGGCTTCATAGGCTACTAAAATGGCTGCTTAAGGGTTTCAACAGCAGTATTCAACGGCCTCTTCATACAGCTCTTCAAGCACCTTGTGAAGCACCTTGTTACGCACCCGATAAGTATCTAATTAGGTATCTAGATCTATTGATCCAGACCCACGTGACCCACGGCCTGAATCGGCAGCTTGGGGGGGGGATTAGTTACCTTTGCTATCTGGTAAATTAAAGTGTGATTCTCGTGACCACAACTTTATATACCTAGTAGCAGTACTCCAGTCCCTTATTCTGGCACAATCATTTAGCCCACCAGCGTTTGTCTCCCTTGCTCAGGCCCCCAGAGATTTCCAAGTTGCAAAGCTAGTAGCGCATTGCAAAACACAGTTCGATTTGTGCAACTGTATTGGATTGGACAATGCCAGATCTGTCATCAATGTCATCAGGGTGACCGAATGCGATGTGCGGGGGAAGTTCGTGATAAAATGACGTCATGACGGCTCTTCCCCAAATAGCTACCCTACGGTGAGTATTGTCATGGATTACTCCTCATGCAAACGGTACGAGAATCCTAGATAGAGCTATCCAAAAGTCTGCAAGGCTAAACCACGAAGAGCTAGGAGAGAGATGTCATGTTATACGCTTTGGAAATAATCCCATGGAACAGGGTTCACGAGAAATTGAAACATGACGACCTCACTGTGATGTCAGCCGCAGGCGGCGAACTCGGCTGGACTGGACCATTTATTTATCTATCTATTGAGCCTTACGACTAAGTCGGACCATGATGTGACTTCATGACTCTCTGCACTACTGACTTGCTGACTACATATTACTGATCATCTGAGCTGGAACATCCATAATCGACTCACAACAATAATGGCAGCGACATCCCAGGCTGCTAATTTAGTCGAGAAGGCGGTTGGGCACAGCGGCAATGCCACTGTTACCACAGATGTGAGCAACTACGCCAAGGGCGGGTATGGCCAGGAGACCGGGGAGAAGATCAAGGCTACCATCTGGCAGGGGAAAAACTCCGTCGAGGTGGTGGAAATGCCCAAGCCAAGAGTTATCGATGAAGGGGACGTGATTGTCAAGGTCACCGGTAGCACGATTTGTGGAAGCGATCTCCACCTGTATCATGGTATGGTCCAGTTCCGAAATTGTTATGCCAAGTAATCAAACTGCGAAGTAGTTCTGACTCGGTGCATCACAGGTGTCATTCCTCAACTCGAAAAAGGCGACGTGCTCGGCCACGAATTCTGCGGTGTGGTGGACAGCGTCGGACCGGGAGCAAAGAATGTCAAGGTCGGAGATAGAGTCGTAGCAGCTTTCCCCATTGCCTGCGGCCAATGCACCAACTGCAAGAAACAACTGACCTCCGCCTGTGAACGGACCAACGAAAACACCCTCACCAATGCCCTGTATGGGAAGCGCACTTCAGGTAAGTCTTCCGGACCAGGACCTCTCAGTATTGTAAAGGACAGCTTGTTAACCAAACTCGGTACAGGTATGTTCGGCTACAGCCATTTCACGGGTGGCTTCGCTGGAGGCCAAGCCGAATATGTCCGTGTGCCATATGGCGATCAGAACCTGCTAGCACTTCCCGATGATGTCCCTGATGAGAAGGGTTTGTATCTCTCCGACGTTCTGTCCACATCGTATCACTGTGTGGTCGACACCGGAGTCGACAAGGGCGATGTGGTTGCCATCTGGGGTGCAGGGCCGATTGGCCAAATGGTGGCCAACTTTAGTTTTCTGCAGGGCGCCAGCCGAGTGATCCTCATTGACGGTGGCGATGCAGCGTGGCGCTTGGACTTTGTCAAGACTAAATTGCCCAAGGTGGAAACGATCGATTTCACTAAGCTGCCTCGTGGTGAATCCATCACCTCCCAGTTGAAGAAGGTGGTCCCCGGCGGGCCCGATGTGGCGTTGGAATGTGCGTCGGGAGAATTCGCAAAGGGATGGGCGCACTACTTCGAGGTTCTCCTGGGATTGGAGACTGACACCTCGGAGATGTTGAACGAGATGATCACTTCCGTCCGGCCATTTGGACGGGTTGGCGTTACCGGGGTTTACTCTGGCTTTGTAAGTCTCACCACAGGTCTAACGTGAAAGCAAGCGCGTTGCTGATTGATGGACCACATTTTAGACCAACCACTTCAATATTGGTGCCTTGATGCAGACTGGCATCCGCTTGATCGGCAACGGTCAAGCTCCCGTGCACCGATACTGGAAGCATCTCCTGGAGCTCATCCGCAAGGGGGAGATCAACCCCTTGGACATGGTCACGCATCGAGTACGTCTAGAAGACATGTCCAGACTGTACGAACTATTCAATAGTCGCGAGGGTGGTATTCAGAAGGCGTTTGTCGTGACCAAGAATTCTTTCCCCCCTGCCGAAGGAGCGCCCGCTCTGGTTGAGCTGTGATATGCTTTAGGACGTTCACCGAGACGTTTTGACGGCTTTCATGTTTATTGTCCTCAGATTGATGGTGTATGACCCCAAACTGTATACTGTAATGTGCAAATGAAATTTGATCCGCATGCATACGACGATCTGCCTAAAGAAGGAGAAATTTCGGACAAAGGCCGGGAATCGCGAAGCGTCGAGCGAGGCGAGCATCGGGGGATTCTGAGTGACTCACCAACCAGTCTTGCTTGCTGGAAGGCTTGACTGCTCTACGAACCTGACTTGCTACTGTGTACGTCTGGATGCCGCTAACGAGAGTAAGTTACTGGCTCCTAGTTTTCATAGAGAGGGCCTTCTCAACACGTATGTACATTTTCTACACATGGATATAAAGATGTGCCCGATCCCCTGCACATGGCCACGCTGATCTGGTTCCTTGAGACTTCTGACGACAAGCCTAAAGGAAGCCGAGTCAAATCGGCCCGTTTTCGCCCTCGTCCTTCCGTTCTTCGGCATTTGAGGTCGAACTGGACTCGGGGGACGACTGGAGACGCATGCAAGGGCTCTGATTGATAAGAAAAAGAACTTTTCTACCGACCCTCTTCCCCTCTCTGCCAAAATGTCGCAACCATCACTCTTCACTGAACTAGACCGAACTAGGTTAAGAAAAGGAGTTCTCGAGTCTGATCATTGACGGTTCTGGTTGGTGCATGACGAGTCTATGACACATTTCACACCGGGGATTGGCTGGGATTCCCGAAACGGGAAAAGTGGGATCAGATAAGATCAGGCGACGGAGGGAAAACTCCTGCCGAGGCTGTTTTCACTCTTGGGTCTGTGACTCCTTGCACGTTCCAAGGGTGACCTTGCGAGCTTCATTACTAACAGTATTCTCATCAGTCCCCATTTCCCCTCTGGCTAATCAATCCGCACTTTAGGAATGGAGTAACCTGGCCCGAACTGTTTCCGGCCCAAGCTCGGCTCCTGCGCCGAAGTTCAGCGTTCTTATGTGTCAGAGCTCGTTGCACCAAATGGCGAGCATGGAATTTGGTTTTGCCCCCTGCCATATGCTAAAACGCTTGGCAAGGAAAAAGGATTATCTCTTTCCCCATCCCGCATGTCCGCGCTCATCGCGGATAAAACTCTAGCAGAATCCATTGACCAACAGGATCGTAACCCAGGGGGAAGAAAAAGGACCCATGTACCCACACGGGTGGTCTTGGGAAGAGGAGGAAATTTCTTTCTTTACCATGGGTAGTGAGCGAGTCATGAAAATCATGACTCTTTCACTGAGGCATACTGTACAGTACACAGTAGCGTCTCCGGTCTGAGAATGGAACTAGTCGTAGTAGACAGAGTAGAAGAACATAACTCATCTTTGAGCTCCTAGATTACGCTTCTACCAATCGTGATCGCAAATAACAAGATCAAGGGTGTTTCTTCATCAGCCCTACTGAGAGAAAATCAATGCTAGGCTCAGCATGATACGAGCTGGATGGAGGGCTGGAGCATACCCTAAACCCCAAGTTCGAACCGGCCGGCAGGGAATTATTGATTGATAACCCGCAGTCTACCACGGGACGGACGAATGAGGGCGGGCAGCGAGTGGGGATTCCACTGAAACTCCGAAGTCGGTGAAAGCGCACGATAATCTAATCTGATCCGATCGTTCATTTTTCCCTCTCTGTTTTCCCCCTCCTTCTTTCCTTTCCCTTCCTCCATTTCTTCTCAGCTTCTTCTTCCTCGGTCGCTTTTGGTGTCTGTCTTCCCTCCTCTTCCCCCTCCTCCTTGTTCTCCTCACCCTAAGCCTACTTGCCTCGTTTTCCTTCCACTCCTTCCCTGCCATAATCACTCTGCTGTCAATTTATCTATACAGGGTCAATTGCTGTCCCATCCTCTCCAATCCTTCGGTTTGCAACCAGCAACTCCGTTGTCTCGCTTACCGGCTGAGGGGGCGCACTTCCGCTCTTCCGGCCGATGCGATCCAGTGACACCACCACAATCACCACCACTACTACTACTACTACTACTACTACTACTACTACTACTACTACTACTACTACTACCACCACCGCCTTTCGTTCTGCCGGTTAGCCCGCCCGCCTTTCTTCCATTCTTCTCCGAACACCTCCTCACCAGTTAACTGAATCACCCAAACCACCCATCCCCATCTCCACCTCCCACCTCGGACCACCATCTCCGTCTTCACCCATGATATGTCCACTGATCATACTGCAGGCTTCCTCTAAATCACTAGAGGATTTTTCATTACCATGGCCAGTCCGATTGCTCTCTCGATAGCCCCTGGTCCGGGTCCAGCGCCGCTGGCTCCCGCACTGGCCGCCAAGCCAGCCATCTCCCCGTCTCCTGGTCCGGGCACACCCGGCTCCGTCACCTCCAAGGAATGGGTGATTCCTCCTCGCCCCAAACCTGGTCGCAAGCCAGCCACAGATACTCCTCCCACCAAACGCAAGGCCCAGAATCGAGCCGCCCAGAGAGCGTTCCGCGAACGTCGAGCCGCCCGCGTCAACGAGCTCGAGGATCAGATTAAGAAAATCGAAGATGAGCACGAGATACATATCGCTGCCTTCAAGGACCAGATTGCAAGCCTGTCCAGCGATGTCGAGCATTGTCGAAATGAGATGGCTTGGTGGCGCGACCGATGCCATGCCTTGGAGAAGGAGGTTTCTGTCGAACGGAGTGCGAAGGAGACCCTGGTACGAGAGTTCCGGACAACTCTCACCGACAAGAGCTCCGACAAGGCTCCTCTGACCCGAATTGCTGCGAGAAACCCTACCGAAGACCGAGCGGCCAGTGATCGCGGGTTGCCGACCGGCAGATCTGCTGCCGTGGTTGAAGAATCACGGGAGGAGGTTCCGTTGGGCTGTGGAGATTGCTCCTCTGTCCACTGTCAGTGTATTGAAGATGCTTTTGCCATTCCTGGAGTCGAGACTCGGTCTTCGCTGGGCAAGCGGCCAGGCAGTCCTAGTCTGACACGACCCGAACCGGAGATCAAACCGGAGCCCGAGGAAATGGAGATCGACTTCACCACGCGGTTCGCCGCACCGCACACTATTCAAGACGACCATAGCACTTCCGTCTCGTCGCCAGCTGTAGACCCCTGCGGGTTCTGCCAGGACGGAACACCGTGTATCTGCGCCGAGATGGCGGCCCAGGAGGAAGAGCGTCGGAGGAACTCATTTGAGAACAATCGACTGGCGCCCATTCAGAACCTGTCTCAATTCACACCACCCCCATCAGAAGGCGACGTTCGGTCCGACGTCACGCTACCCCCAATCAGCCAAGCCACAAATCCGTGTGCCAATGGGCCGGGAACATGCGCTCAATGTCAGTCCGATCCACGCCGGACCCTTTTTTGCAAGACGCTGGCGGCCTCCCGCTCCGCCAGCGCTGCCTCCTCCGGTTGCTGCGGCGGTAAGGGCGCCGATGGCGGGTGCTGCATGTCTCGCGGTGGCAACCCTCCCCAGCCCGCTGCCAGTTCGCGTCGCTCCAACACTCCCTCCCTAACCCTCTCCTGTGCCGATGCCTTTACCACCCTCTCCCGGCATCCTAATTTCTCTCGAGCAAGTGACGACATCTCCGCCTGGCTTCCCAAACTCCACACCCTCCCCAAACCCCAAGAGGTAGCTCCGCCCGGCTCCCGAGCGGCCCTCGAAGTCGAGGCTGCCAGCGTCATGGGCGTCTTGCGATACTTTGATCGACGGTTCGCCGATAAATAGATGACGGGCGAACCTTCTCTCTTCACTTGTCTGCACTTGTCTTTTATTCTCAGTGATACCCAACACCCGATTCATGAACGTTTGAGTTTGTATTATACAAGACTATACACTCCTGAACCCCATCCCCCCTCTCTGTCTCCCTCCATCCTTCTCCCTAACCAATCTCTCCCCCTGGTGTGTCCCTTCCCTCCCGCCTCCCTCCCACTTCATCCTCGCCAGTCTACAACTTTAATGTAACTCATTCAACCCATGACTCTTTACTTCTTATAAATGGGTACACTTTTCCCCTTCTCCCCCTCCTCCTCCTCCTCCTCCGCCTCCGCCTCCTTCTACCCCCGGTTATTAAATCCCTTTTATGGGTCTTCCTGCCCAAACGACCCCATCATCCTTCCCATTCCTCTTTCCAGTCTTCCCCACCCTATGATTGGAAATGAAATCCGATCTCAAAAGCAAAAGTCAATCTACCTGCAACCATCACTCCTGAAATTTACGATGTGCTATACAATGCTACGCTAGGCTAGGCTAGGCTATGATTCTCTCACGAACCCCGGAAAAAAACCAACCAAAACAAAACAAAACTCTTCCACGCAACCAAGTGGTGTTTCCCCAACGCGTGGTCAAAGCCAAAGCGTCTAATGAGTCTAGATGGTTTGAAATGAAATGAACTGGCGTTTTTATGTTGTTATTTGCTGAGGTGTTCATGCTTATACGTATGTGTATGACTGTTATGTGTTGCTCGTCTCTACCGGGCTTGTCCTTGCTCCACTCCGCTCCGGTTTGGGATAGATAAGATATCCTGGAAAGCGCGTCTTGGGATAATGTCCGAGGTTCAATGGATATCTTTCTCCGATCACTCAACAGGGCGCACGTGTCACAGTTCAAGCCTAGAGTTCATTTATAGCTTTGGGCAATGAATGGGGTATTATCATGTGGATCATGTGCCTTGCTTGACTATATCTATACTAGATCCCACCTTCCACGTAAAGCAAAACCCAACCAACGCCGTCCGTCCTTACTCCGAATCCACCGCTACATTAAAGACAGGAGACAAGTTGACAGAAAGAAAGAAAGCCCGATCCGAGAAGCAAGTGATGGAGAGATAAAAATACATTCCGTTGCGGCGTTAGATAGTATACTGATATTTAAAAAGTACACAAGACATCGTTCCACTGGTAGATGAAGGAAGGAGCGGAGGGTAGGAGAGTCGGAAGAGGGGAAGGAGAAGTTGAGATGGTATAATAAAAAAGTGGTCAAATATGGTGTGCAGGGAGAAGAAACGTCGTTAAGGTGTTTTTACAGATCGTCGCCCTAATGCATGAGCGATGATGCGGGGTGGGGGTCATTGACTTCTTCTGCTTCACCTAGAAGAAATCGTATTAAGATGAAGTTGTTGGAAGCTCGTCGAGATGTTGGCTAGCTTGGCTTAGCTGGAATATTGCGACTCTGCTTCGTCGTCCTCATGTCCTGCAGTATTCTGGAGGGTTTCAGCCCACTGTGTGGGATTATCGGCCGAGTCGGGAAGGGCACGGGCAAGGGCTTCCAAGGGCTTTGACTCTGCTCTTAACATCCGACGATGCTAATTTGATCCTGTAGGTGGTTTAGAATCGACCTCCGCTCATCCTAGCATCGTCGTCGCCGGCCACGCCGACCGTGCCAAGTAGGTTGGCGCCCCAGATGCCAGCGATTCCCCACATGCCGATGCGCCAGCCTCGGTAGAGACCTTGAATTCCCTGACCCTGCCGTTTGCGCTGAGTGACGGGCTTCTTGAGCAACTGGCGCGCCCGCTCAACTTCCGGTGTGGCTTGCACTCCCTCCTCGTAGACAATTCCCCACATAGTGCCCACAATACCCCGGTAGGTCTGGGGGGTCGGGACGATAGTCTCGATTTCCGGGGTCTGTTCCTCGTCCGCGGAGGTTTCAGCACGTACTGAACGACTTGATTGCTGGCGGATGCTGGGGGAAGTGAATGTTGCAATTTGGGCGCGGCGGAGTACAGTCTCGAGCGGGAACCGGACCGCCAATTCCAGACCGGAGCTCAGGAAGGTGAACAGGCTCCAGATGGACGGATTGAGCACGGGGTCGAGAGACAGATACGATTTGAGAATTAATGGAGTCGTGTTGGTGATGAAGTTGGGCAGACTGGAGTGGAGGACGGTGATGGGCACCAAGTGGGACGGAATGGTGCAGTTGGGAGTCGGAATTTGGCGGATAGCTCGTAGCAGGGAGCGCGGGCCATGCGTAGCCGGCGTCAAGATAAGGAACGTTCGCGCGGTATCAATCGGGGAGAGAAGCATTGCCGACAATGAGGAGGAGATGAAGGACAAGAGTAGGGTCGCCACCGGGGAGGTCGACGTCAGGATGTCGGCTGTCATCGAGGAAGTCACATCTTCTTCCGGCAAGCCGACAATTGCAGAGAGCAAGCTGCGGATGAATGTATTCAGGGTGGGCAGGAGAAGGGAGTAGATGAAGGTGGCATTGGTCGCCTTCCAGGGCGAGGTCGGGCCACTGGTAGTCCAAAGTTGCGAAAGGACATCCATGAGCGAGCTCGGGTTCTTAATAGTGAGGGCATGTCTTGATGAGGTCGTGGAGGGAATGTAACCGCTTCGATCGGTGATATGGCGATGGTGAGGCTTGCGGGATCGGGGCGCGGAGGGGGAGGCTGCGGCAGGTGCTGCGGAAGTAAAATAACTGCTTTCGTCATCCGACGACAAGGAGTCCTAGAGCTTGAAGATGAGCTTCCGATTCTTGGAAAGAGCTGCCGGAACATACGTCTTCGTCGTAGGAATCAATATGGCCCCCGGAACCCGATGCTCGGCGATCATGCATAGCCCATTGGCCGTCTGTCGCATCGCCGGGCGCAACATAGGCCTGCAGGATGGTTTTGGCGACATCGAACGGCTGTGAGGTCAGGACACTGGTGTAGCGCCAGAGAGCTTGGTCCAGGGCATCACGAATCCAACTGGAGACTGAGGGAGAGCTTTCGAGGTAGTCGGCATAATCGATATCGGGCAGCAGATCGCGTGCGGAACCGCCAAAGACTTGGGTGGCTGAGGATGACGCATCTGGAGGGGACGCAGCATGGCCGGTGTCCAACCCCAAAGACGGGGGGAAATAATAGGGGCGGAGGGGGTTGGGCCCTTCCAGAGGAGAGGACATGATAGATAAAAGGAGAAGCTGGAAGATGAGTAGAGAAGGAACGGTGTGGAAAAGAAAGGAGAGTTTGGGGGAGGGAAGGGGGTGTGTGTGTGGTGCGTGGAGGAGTTATAGTAAGTTAGTGAGTAGTAGGAGGAATTGAAGAGAAAAGAGAGTTAAGGTAAGGTCGGTTTGGAAGCCGAACCTCCAGCTCAAAGAGGCAAAGCCGGCGAATGACAAGCCGCGGATTTCCCGCTGGTGTTTTTCGGGGTTTTCCACTTTTCCTCCATTCTCCGCCATTATTGAATTCAATTCGATTCATTCGATTCGGTTGCATTCATTCATTTATTGATTCAGCTCCCTTCCACTCCTCTGTGTTTCCTCTACTTCTTCTGACACCCCCACCCTTCCATCACACAAGCATTCGCCATGTCTTTCTTGAGAGAAGCCGGACTTAACCTGCGCCATGTTCTGCCTCGGGCTGGCGAGAGCGTTGTTCGCGCCCCCTCTTCACAGTTCCTCGCCAACCGATTCCCCCTTAAGTCCTCGCGATCAGTGAGCTCTGGCTGTGCTTCCCTGTCGTCTCGGCGATCTCCAGTGACCCCGCGCATTCAGAACCAGCGCATGTTCGAGCGTCGGAGCTTCTCCGTCACCGCCGGAGTACAGCACGGTCACATCACGCCTCCCAAGCCTGGAGAGGAGTGAGTCACTTCCCCCCCTCTCTCTCCATAATTCACAACCCTCGATAAAAAGCATTGCAAAGTTTTAATTGTTCGCGCAGGATCAACATCTCTTTCATCGACAAGGACGGCGCAAAGTACGACTTCCAGGTCTCTGAGGGCGATAACTTGTTGGATATTGCACAGGCCAATGACCTGGAGATGGAAGGTTCGAATGACATTAAATATTATATATGATTGATCAGCAGACTGACGGGACTGGAACACAATAGGTGCCTGTGGCGGATCGTGTGCCTGCTCGACCTGCCATGTCATCGTCGAAGATTCCGACATGTTCGACAAGATGGAAGAGCCATCGGACGACGAGAACGACATGCTTGATCTGGCCTTTGGCTTGACGGAAACCTCCCGCCTGGGCTGTCAGGTCATCATGACCAAGGAGCTCGATGGCCTCGTGGTTCGGTTGCCGTCCATGACTCGGAACCTGCAGGCAAGCGACTTCGAGCCGAAGCACTAATTAATACAAGCGTGATGGAAGTGGTTTTGGACTAGATAATGATGTACGATATGTCTAGCGTCTATACGGGGGCGGTTATGTCTGGGGTGGCAAGGGAACATGTTTCCATTGGGTATTTCCGATCTCCATTCAACATTTTGCGGCACGAAAGTTTGTAAATAGAGCATATCACTTTTAATGAAAAAAGAGTTGATCAAAACAGAAAGAATAGGAACGTAAGAGTAGTCCCAACCCCCAAAAACGCCATGAATATGCCAGGTATACACACACGTTAAAAGCAACTTCCTTCACCATCACTCAAGCCTCTTCGATCTGCAACGGCTTGCCCTTCTTTCCGCTAATCAGGTCCAAGAATCCCTGCTTGCTGACTTCGTTCACAGCCTTCTCGCGCTCGCCCATACCAACTGTGCCCTTCTTCCGCTCCGCCTTGGCTGCTTCCTCTCCACGGACCTGAGCGGCGCGGACAGCATTGAACAGCTTCACCACACCACGCTGGGCGATCTTGCGCAACCGCTTCTCCTCCTCGGCCACTGCGCCAGCCTGCCCACGCTCCAATCCCATCACGTCGCGGATACGGCCACGATCCAACTCCTCCTTCTTCTCCGCGCGCATCTTAGCCCGCGCCTGGCGATCTAGCTTCTCTTCCGCCACTTGAGTACTCTTCTGGGCGGCATCTCTGCTGCGAGACAGCACCGGGTCCTCGCGCATCGAGGAAGGGAGCTTGGTTGCCAAAATCTTGGCCATGGAGGTCGAGAACGCAGTAGGGTCATGACGCTTAGGAACCGCCCGACCGCCTGCCGTTGAGGTGGGGTTGGAGGCATCGGACTCTGCACCCACGTCGAACTCATCGTCCTCCACTTCTTCCGAGTCGTCAGCATCCGAGTCGGATTCCATATCTTCGTCGTCGGAGCTTTCCTCTTGTTTTTTCTTCAGCTGCTTCTTGGGGAGAGCCTTCTTGGTCGACTCGCCGATAGACCGGGTCTGCTTCTTGGGTTGCTTCACAGCTTCCTCCTCGGCGTCGGAGTCGGCCAAACTGACGGCTTGGAAATCGGTGGGTTCGTCGTCATCATCTTCGGAGCTGCTGTGGTATGCGCGCTGCTTGCGGAACTTTTTCTGGGGACGGGATGCGATCGAGTCGAGGACTTTGCGCTTCTTGACGTAGGGGGCCATGGTGAGAGAATTGACACCGTAATGTCGGTCTCTCCTCTGTATAATATTTGGAAGACTGTGGTGGAGGTTGGGATTAAAATCGGTCAGGTTTCTTTCTTTTCTGTCGGTTTTCCGGGAAATTTTTGGAGGGTTAGCGGGCGGTGAGATGCAACGAGGCGGTGATTGGTGGGGTAGGCTCTCCGCATCGCGTTGGCCTCAAATGCCCTCTGGCAGTGGAGTGAAACGCCATCCAAACTAACTTGCCTCTAGCTGTCTTTACATCTCGTTGTCATCTCCCCAGTCGCTCCGGGCTATTCTCCTGATATTTTCGAGAGGGTCTTACTGTGCGACTTGCTACGAACATTTTAATCTTCACTTCATTGAAACTCCCATCCCACCATGGTCCTTCAGGATCTTGGGCGGCGAATTAATGCCGCCGTCAATGACCTGACTCGGTCTAACAATCTGGATGAGAAGGTGTGTGGCTTTCCTGCCGTGCAACTCCTTCTCAGCTGCTGACTTCGTGATCGTAGGCTTTCGATGATATGCTCAAGGAGATCTGCGCAGCTCTGCTGTCCGCCGACGTCAACGTCCGCCTCGTCCAGACGCTCCGGAAGTCCATCAAGTCCAGCGTCAACTTCGCCTCCCTGCCACCCGCCGTGAACAAGAAGCGCCTGATCCAGAAAGCCGTCTTTGATGAACTGGTCGCCTTGGTGAACCCGCACGCGGAGCCGTTCCGCCCCAAGAAGGGCCGCTCCAACGTGATCATGTTCGTCGGTCTGCAGGGTGCTGGTAAAACGACCACCTGTACCAAATTGGCTCGCCACTACCAAATGCGCGGGTTCAAGACCGCCCTTGTCTGTGCCGATACCTTCCGTGCGGGTGCCTTCGACCAGCTGAAGCAGAATGCCACCAAGGCCAAGATCCCGTACTACGGTAGCCTGACGCAGACCGACCCCGCTGTCGTGGCCGCGGAGGGTGTCGCCAAGTTCAAGAAGGAGCGCTTTGAAATCATCATCGTGGATACCAGTGGTCGTCACAAGCAGGAGGAAGAACTGTTCACCGAAATGACCCAGATCCAGACTGCCGTCACCCCCGACCAGACCATCCTCGTCCTTGACAGCACCATCGGTCAAGCCGCTGAGGCTCAGTCCTCCGCGTTCAAGGCCACCGCCGATTTCGGTGCCATCATCATCACCAAGACGGACGGCCACGCGGCGGGTGGTGGTGCCATCTCGGCTGTCGCCGCCACGCACACCCCCATCATCTACCTCGGTACCGGTGAACATTTGATGGATCTGGAGCGGTTCGAGCCCAAGGCCTTCATCCAGAAGCTGCTGGGCATGGGTGATATGGCCGGCCTGGTCGAGCACGTTCAGGCTGTCACCAAGGACTCTGCCTCGGCCAAGGAGACCTACAAGCACATCGCAGAGGGGATCTACACGCTGCGCGATTTCCGTGAGAACATCACCTCGATCATGAAGATGGGTCCTCTGTCCAAGCTCTCCGGCATGATCCCGGGTCTATCCAACCTGACCGCCGGTCTGGACGACGAGGACGGCTCGCTGAAGCTGCGCCGCATGATCTACATCTTTGACAGCATGACTGCCGTCGAGCTGGACGGCGACCCGAAGGTGTTCGTCGAGCAACCCAGCCGCATGGTCCGCGTGGCTTGCGGCAGCGGTACCACCGTCCGCGAGGTCGAGGATCTTCTATCTCAACATCGCATGATGGCCGGCATGGCCAAGCGCGTCGGCGGGCAAAAGAAGCAGATGCAGCGCGCCCAGAACATGCTCAAGGGCGGAAACAAAGAGCAGCAGCTGGCCGCGATGCAGAAGCGCATGGCCGCCATGGGCGGGGCCGGCGGCGGCGGGTTCCCCGGTATGCCCGGCATGGGCGACATGGCCAAGATGATGCAGATGCTGCAGGGCCAGGGCGGCGGCGGTGGTGGCGGCCTCCCGGGCATGGGTGGTATGGACTTGCAGAGCATGATGAGCCAGATGGGCGGGCTGATGGGTGGTATGGGCGGTGGTGGTGGCGGCCGTGGCCGTGGCCGGTGATCCTGCTGCAATCCCTCCCTCCTCATTCAACCTCATTCTTCGTTTTCCACTGGCTTCCATCCACCCACCCTCTCCCTCAAGTTCCTTCTACCCTCTTCGCCCCTTCTTGTCTATATCTGATCCTTTCTCTCTATTCTTCCTTTCATGACTCCGGATTGATTTTCCCCCGCCGGAAGCCACGGCTTACTGCTGATGTCGATGTCGATTGTATTAGCATACTATGGTGTTGGGCGTGTTTCTTTTTTCTTGGTTTCCACCGGGTTGTTGATTCATTCCATCCCAATTTCATACCAAAATAATCTGTTGATAGATGAGGCTTGCTTGCATTGACCAGATTGGCTCGTAATCATGTATTTTGTGCATCATCCCCGAAATAGTGGTAGATTGCTCAATCATATGGATTCCAATCTATAATCTCCCAGTCCAAGCCCGCTTCTGGCGAACTTTCAATTGGTGGACTCATCCCCAATTAGCATGGCTTGCGTTTGCCTAATAACCAAGAAATTCTTCTGCAAAATCATAGCTTCAAGAAGTAGCAACAACAGCAAACTCAATCCACCCGCTCTTTCTTCTGAATCACATCCAAAACATTATACACTACCTGCAAGACACCATCTCTGACCAAACCAACAGTCTCCTCTACTCGGCCAACCCACCCCTTCGCCCACGCGTCCCAGCTCTGCTCCTCCCTCGTGTCCAGCAGCAGCTTTCCCGGCGGCAGTCGCGGGTGTTTCCACGCCGCCGCCTCCGCGACCCGGCTCTCGTACCCGGGTAGGGGGACGCTGAGCTCGTACTGCCAGACCAGCTGCGTATCGACATACATCGAGTAGGTGAGCACCGAGCTGGGCACGGTAACGGGGTGTCCGGATCTGGTGGCGTCGACGACCGCGTCGTCCCGGACCTCGATGTCCACCAGGCCGTACTTGGTGTTCCCGTCGGGGATGTACTTGATGGTGACGTCTTCGCTGTCCGTCTGCCGGTAGGTGCGCACGGGGAGGTAGAACATGTTGAGGGGGCCGACACAGAACTCGTGCAGACCTTCCCCGGCGGTGTTCGGCGTGAGCTCGTTCGCGGGCAGATCGAGGGAGGGGTCCGGGAAGCGCGTGGCGCCGAATTCGTGGCGGTCGCCGCTGAGGAGGACGATGCGGATGCCGAGCTCGCGTTCGGCGCGCCAGATCGCCTCGAACACGCGGCGCCGCTCGTTCAGGAACCCGCCCCACGTGTCGGTCGTGCCGACCCGCCAGTTCTTGGTGAAGGGGACGCTGGACGCGATGAGCTTCCAGCGCACTTCGCTGGGTTCGGGGCGGGCGATGTACGCGAGGAGGGATTGGAGCTGGGCCGAGCCGAGAATCGTGGAGTTGTATTGCGACGGGGCCGATCGGTAGGTGCGGGTGTCGAGCATGAAGAAGGAGGCCGGTCCGTGGATGAAGGAGAAGTAGGTCGTATTCTCAGGCGTTGCGAAGGGAACGGGTGGGATGGGCGGATTGGGCCGGACATGGTAATGGATGTAGGGCTCGAACGCTGCGGGGTACGGTGCAGTGGTGTTGCCTTTCGACCAGTCATTCTCAATCTCGTGGTCGTCGAGAGTATGAATCCAAGGCAGGTCGATGGCAGGCGTGCTATCTTCTGGACGGCTCCACGAGGGCGATGAGTAGACGCGGTGGTACTCGCTGCGATAGTGCGAGACGGATGACCCGAAGCGCTGAGGGACATCGACGTAAATGAAGTCGCCAAGGAACAGCATGAACGCTGGTCGCAGCATAGATGGCAGTCGATTGATTGTGTCCGTCATCATCTCGATTCCTGGGATGCGCAGTGGATGCGACAGCGGGTTGTAGGGAAAGTTCGCCTTCATGCAGCTTGAGGTGAGGAAGCTGAGGCGGTTTGCCTGTTTGGTGCCGGGCATCGGAGCAGTGACGAATGAGCCTGTAAGGTTGTTGGACAGGGAGTAGCGGTAAGGTGACGACGGCTTCAGGCCTTTGATTGTCACTGTGGTCGTGTAGTCTGTTGAATTGTCTAGGGCATAGATCATGCCCTCTTCCGTCCATTGTGTCGAGTCCTCTGTATCTGTTGGCTGGTAGAAGATGACAAGGGGCAACTGTGCAGGGTCGGGCTCGCGAACCAGTAGATTGGCGGTCGTTGGTGAGATATAACCGATTCGAGAGAAGGTGACATCTGCGCTGGGGTACACTACCAGGCCACGCAGCATGAAATCCAGAGTGAGCAGTGCAAGCCCGATGTTGATGAGAACAGTCAACCGCGTCGAGCGTGGTAAGCTGGCGGACGGCAGGCCAGTGAACAACGTCTTGAGTACATTATCTGGATTTCGTGGTGTTTTGCGCTCTGATTGTGGGAGTTAGAAAGTCGCTGGCAATTTTGAGTTGTGTGGTCACTCAACTGGTGGTTTTTGGAGATTCTTTAGTATTGCTGTCGGTGGGAGTACTCCGCTCAGTCGGTCGAAGGAGCGATACGACAGCAGTGAGATACACAGTCAATGCTGTGAAGATCAGAGGCGGGAAGTGGTGTCCGGGGATCTAGGAAAATCACATAACGAATGAGTCGATGGATATTCTCGTAGCGAGGCCATTGCATCAACGAACCCAGCGGAGGAAGAAGAAGGCTGCAGCCCGGACCGTTGCGGAGCTCAAGGCAGCGGCAATCCGCGCGACAGACACCATGGTGCTGGGATGGATCTCGATGGTATTCAGCAGGTAGTAATCATTGCCAGGCCAGTAAGCTTTCCCAGGAGGTGAAATTCGCTGCTGTCCACGTCGCAGCTCGAAGAATAATGAATAAATGGAAGGGCGTTGAGTGGTAGGTAGAGGAGGAGAAGCCGGCGGCGGCGGCGGAGAAGTCGACGATGACGACATGCCGAAGCACCTCTTCTCCCCCAACTGACGCTCGGACACGGAGAGACACCGTGCGTCTCTCTTTCTTTATTCCATCAGCCAGCAGATCATTTTACGTGCAGCTATAAGCTTCCAGCGGAGCGATGGATACACATATTTATAGTCATATTTTACTCTACAATTTGCCCCGTCTATTGCCGTTGCATCATATCGCGAAGCACATTCATGAGGCTGCTGGCCATTGGCCCTGAAGTGAGCTGGCGCGCTGCATCCACGAGATCTTTCATGTGCATACTCAGGGACATCTCCGCTGCCCAGTACCACGGATGCTCCTGTTCCCCGGGATTCGAGTTGAAATATTCCCAGCCCATGACGCCCCCAAAATCAGGATATTGTTCAATCAGCATGGCCAGGATAGGTCCGATTTTCTCGGGGGGCACATAGCCCTGCGATCCATTGCCTGGATTGGTCAAAAGACCAAGCACCACCCGGCTTGGGGACCAGCCCTGTGCAACGATAGCAGCATACATCCGGGGGTCATCTGCGGGTCCCCACCCGTTGTAGAATTGCGTGTTGTACCAAGCGATCTTTGCGGCTCTCTGTTGTTCCAGCTCCCGATAGTCGAACCCAGACAGGTTTCCCAGGCCCAGCATGGCAGCCGCAACTGGCGCCAGCGTCACAATGAATCCGTCTCCCAGATCCAGCTTGAGTCGGTCAATAAGTCGGATGATCCCTGTCAATGACATTTCCTCTTCCACATCGAGATCTAGCCCGTCCAATCCATGGCGCCGGATCATGGCCAGCAAGGGTCGGTAGTACAGCTCAAATTTCTCTGAATCTCCATCTAGGGAGCGAAACGAGCCCTGCGCAGCGCCCCCGAGCATTCCCATGATGCGGACACCGTGTTGTTTCATGCGGGGCACCTCGGCCCATAGGGCGTCGTACATGCTGTGTTGTGGGGGGTCATTGTTCAGTGTAATGTGTTCCGGGTCTGCATTCAGGTGAAATGCTGCGAGGATGATGTGCGTCACGCCTGTGTTGTTCTGGACTAGTGGCAGCATAGAGACATACTGGCCTCCATTGGGACAAAGAGTCTGATGGTACAAGATTACCCGACACCGGTCGGACGACGAAGGTACGGGAGGCATTGTCAGAGATGTGGCAGAGGGAGCGAGGCGCAGAGTGGTGTTCCACTATAGAACGCAGATCTCGAGCCTGGGGCCAGCAGAAGAGGAGGGGGGGAGAGAGGGAAGGTCGCCGCGATCGGTCGGGTGAGGGGGAAATGGGGGGAAGCGAGCAGTGCTAGATTCGGCCGGCGACGGTCTGGAAGAAGAATAGCCCACCTTAACAGCCCCGCCCCCGGTGTAGGTAGCCAGAGCCCTTCATATATAGTACCTTGTGTCGACCAGGACTGCTCCATGCTCCAAGATCAGAAGCTAGGGACAGGAACGAAGAGAATCACGTCGAAGAGGCTCAGAAGACACCCCTAACTTGCGCAAAGAGCTGACACGTGACGCATTGCTCGTCATATCACTTGTAAGTTATAGTACCGTACAGTACAAGGCTCGAGCAGATGGTTGGAGGACAATTCCATCTATGTTGATGGTTATCTGTCATGAGAGCACGATATTTGCAGGTGTGACCCGGGGAATTCATTGTGACTCGCGATTTGTGGTATAGGAAATCATCTGTAATCGAGGTGCGATGTGATCAGCAGACTCGCTGAGTGAAACTGCTGTCACGGCCATTATAAGTTGAAGCCTGAATTTACAGGCATAAAGGTCCCTGGTGCCTGACGATCGCTGTTTACCCGACCAGTTGGTGTTTGTTATCGCATCTTCCCCGGCGATAACTCATTCATTCCTGCCACGACTCTGGCTTCACTTCTGCATTGTTGGTCTATGTAGTGACTCCATCAAGCCATGATACCTCGGTAACCTTGAGGCCTATTTTATCATTTTATCCTATATTGATATCCTCAATATCCTTGAGGACGATCCCACCCCCAGCATGGCCGATACGACCACCCACGACACTGTGGGCGCGTCAACTCTCGCGACGCCTCGCTTCATGCCCTCGTCTCCTCCTTCTCGTCGTCAGAATGCGCAGAGCTACTCTCCCCTCAGCGCGAAGAGCCCTCGTACTGTCGACCGCGGCGCGACCACAACCCACGCCGATGATGCCCGCTCTCCGCTAAAACAGAGTTACTCGCCGCGGTCCTCCCGAGCGTCGTCGCTCGAGCGCGCCGCGAATGACATCGACGCCCGTCTGGCGCAATACAGTGTCGACTTCAGCCAATACCCGAGTACCCAAGCACTGGACGATCATGTGGATCCTCTTGCGGAATTCAAGTTTCCGCATGAAGACGATCTGTCGGAGGTCGGGGGTCCAGCGGATTTCACGGCGAATTTGGAGAAATACTTGATGGGCGACGGGGATACCATGGAGGATAAGCACTTCATGGACTTCCGGGATGATGGGCACGACTTGTCGGAGCTGGAGCCCCTGTTCGATGATCTGGAGGAGCAGGAACACGATCTGCGCCACCTGGGAAAGGAGGAAGACGAAAACCCCCTGCCTCCGCTCCCCGAATCCCCTGCCCAGCCGCGAGGCCACAGCAGGCAAAATAGCCAACGGATGCAGCAGCGGCAAGATACGCGACCGCCGCAGCGCGAGCAGAGTTCTCAATTGCATCAGCCTGCTATTGAGGATGAGCCCGAACCTGAACCCGAGCTTGGCGAATACAGCGAATTCGGCCCACCGATCGACATGTCCACACCATCGCAGTTTCTGCGCCGCGCCAGTGGCTTCAACAGGGATGCCACGCATCTAGAGAATATCGAAGAGGACCCGGACGATGAGATGGAAGCAAGCACGACTACCCCGTCAGTGCGGAGACACAAGACCCCTTCCCCTCACAAACAAGAGCCAAATACAGCTGGAGATCTACGGAAACAAATTCTTGAACTCGAAAACAAGCTCCAAGACCGTAATGAGCAGCTGGAGAAGGGTCGTCGGCGCGTGCTGGAGGCAGCATCTGCTGGCGAGCAAATCAAGCACCTTCAGGGCGAGTTGCAGAGGAAGTCGGCTTTATTAGACGAGTTCTACGCCAATCGCACTGACGAAACTATTCTGCGGGAGCAAGTCCACATGCTCCAGAAACAAAACGAAGAAAGAGAGACCTTCTTGCACAAGTCCACCATCAATGCCTCCGAGCTAAGCGCTCTTCAGAAGCAGATTAGCGATATGCAGAAGGAGCTGCAGAACCGTGGGTCATCACACCCGGACCTCGATGCAGAGCGACTCGACACCATCGCATACTTGCGGCAGCAATTAGATCTGGCCCAGGAACAGCTGCGTAAGCGCGATGCAACGCTGGACGAGACGATCGCGAAGCTCAAGGAAGTCACCGATGCCAAAGAGCAGCAGCTCCGAGAGAAGAACACTGAAGTTGATGACTTGAAGGCCCAAATCAGCAGTCACTTGCTCGAGATAGAGAAGCTAGACACGGAGCTCGAGAACGTCAATCAAGCCTACGAGACTCTGGAAGAACGAATCGTCACCCTCGAAACGAAGCATCGCCCCTTGGAGGAAAAGAACAACACTCTCGAAGCCGACCTCACCCGCGCGCAGACCCAAGTTACCGCGCAGGAAAACGCGCTCAAGGCCATGGCCGCTGACCTCCCCCTCGAAACCGGCGGCAACACCTACACAGAAATTCTCGAATTGATCAAGGATCTGGGCCAACCCAGCCAGGCATCCCGAAATCTGAATCCAGGCTCATCGAGAAAGGACCCGAGAGAACAGAGTCAAGATCAGAACCAGGATTATGGCCAGGCCCCGCACGACGAGCTGAACCGCCTCCGAGACGAACTCTCCAAACTTCAGACCGAACTCACCGAGGCCAACTCGGCCAAGAAAACGCTCGAGCTACAGCTCTCGCGCTCGGAGGACCAGGCCGTCGAAGCGCAAACCCTCATCCACTCCATCGAGACCGAAAGCACCCGCCTCGGCAAGCGCGCCGACGATCTCCGCTCGAACCTCACCAAGACCCAGCAGGAACTGACCCAGATGAAAGAGGAGCGCACCAAAGCCCTCGATACCATCGACCGCCTGCAGAAGGAGCAACAACGCCACCAAGAAGACGAGAAGAAACAAGCCCGGCAGCAACAGCTGCAGAACCAACAGCTCAGCCCCCCGCCTTCCCCTCCCGTCCCGCAACAACAACAACAACACCAACGTCAGAAGGAGCAAGAACTCCTTGAACAAACCCAGTCCGAACTCCGCACTCTGAAAGCAACCCATGCCGCAGAGCTCGCGCAACTCCGCGAGCGGCTGGCGGGGACGGAACCCCGGGAATCCCGGTACAAGGCGCAGGTGGGCTCGCTGCGCGAGCAGCGCGAGCGGCTCCAGAGTGAGAACCGCGCTCTCCGCCTCCAGGTCGAGCATCTCGAGGCCGTGCTCGCGACAAAGGAGGAGACCGCCGCCGCGGTGGACGAGCGGATCGCGCGCTCGGTCGAGAGGCGCGAGAAGGAGTGGCAACGGCGCGTCGAGCTCTTGCTCAAGGAGCGGGAGCGCATGGGTCGCGCGCTGATGTGGTCGTGGGGAGAGAAGGAAGTCGGTGGTGGTGGTGGTGGTGGTGGTGGCAACAAGGAGCATCCTGCGGTGGGAGTGGACGAGAAGGGGAGGCGGAAACAGGGGTATCGGTATAAGTATATCGGGTCGAGTCCAGGGCAGGTGTCAGCTTCGGTCCCGTCGTTGTCAAAGAACGATGGATCTGGGAAGAGAGCCTGAATGAACGATACTGGTGTGGATTGGATTGGATAGGGCTGGGTTGGGTTGGGTTCGGTTCGGTTCGGTTATAATGGCACTATGGGAATGGAATGCCTTCTATCACAGCTTCACGGGGTGCTTCATGGTTCGTGTTTACGGTGCTGATATCTCTTTTCGTTAATATTTTTTGCTTCCTTTTCTCCATTTCTTACTTCGCTTTCGCGACTCCCTGCTTTCTTTGTGTGCAGGATGGGTTTTACACTGTCATGAAAGGGCAACTTACGGTCGGAAATTAAGGAAGAGATTGGATCTCGCGTGTACAGACAAGAGTCGCCATGTCTCAGCCTCTATTAGCAGAGCTGGATGAGCGCTCGGCTAAAGCAGATTAATCCGTTAATGTATGTGTTGCCATTCGTGCAAATCAAAGAATTAAGCATGGTATTTTTAATTGTCTCAAATCGTGGTATAACAAATCAGCAGCAAATGCAAGTGAGGGTTGTGAGCTTCAGAAGTACGAAGACGAGAAAAGGCTTAGAAAAACCGCTTGATACAAAATTTATATGGAGAATCGAAGATTAGAGAGGCGGTGGCCCTTGGATGAGAATGAACAGCCTGTCCCGCAGGCTCTAGTGTCCAGTGACACTATTCATTCGTGTCGTGTCGCGATACGCATTCGTTTCAGACAGGTAGCTCTCCGGGGCTTCGTCAACAGATGTGCCCGTTTCACGGATACTGTCTAGCCTGCTGGGCGCGGAGGCGAGACCGCCATATGTATTGCTGCGTGGACGGCGCAGGTTTGAGTAAGTCAGTTCAGCGTCGCTTCCACGGGATGACGAAGACATGCGGCGGTTGTGTTCTTGATACCATCGGCGACCGTAGTGATTCTGATGAGGCTGGTGCTGGCTTTGGGTATGCCGCGGAATTTGGGAGGAATCGAACTGATAGACCTGACTCTGTCGTCGATTGCTCCGTCTGGAATTCTGCCGGCTGGCCACCTCACGATCAATCGGTACACCTCTGTAGCTAGAGGCCTGGGCAAGGCCTGGGCGGGCTGCCGGGTGCGGAGGGATTGCGGTGAAAGCTCCCTGGTACGGTATATATGCGCTCCTGGGAACAGGAGCCGTATGCGCAGTGTTGGACCGACGGACATTCAATGGTTCCGGCACGAGGACTTCGGGAGCATCGGCTGAGTTCATGGTCACAGATCGTGTGAGGGCTCTTGCTCGCAGCGGATTTGCTTCGAGTGTGGGAGCTTCGGCTGTAATGGCTGGCAAAGGTTTTTCCACAGGAGCTGAGGCTAGTGGGTGTCCCGGGGCATACTCTTTCTTCGGGGTTGGTGGGCATTCAGCCACCAGAGCTTCTTTTTCGACATCTGCTTCAGTAGTCGCGTCGGCAAGGGCACGTATTTGAGGGTCTGCTGACAATGGTTGTGAGAATAACTTAGGCAGCAGCCGGCGCAAAGATGAGGCGGAGGATTTTTGTCGCTTGTGTCCGAAAGTGGAAGGCGATGCCCCTGGTAACTCTACCGGAGCCATTTGCTTAGAACGGTCACCATAAGAGCTAAATGTTGTCGCGGTGGGCGTGCGCGAAACGCACGAGAGAAGATCCGAGCTAGTCATCACGCCCGGCAACTTCCTCGTAAGAGTTTCCTGCGGTGAAAGGGTAGTACCCGATAGCAAATCCGTTGTATCCGAGTCATACTCCGCCTCGAACCCTGGGTGGGATTTGTGGTGGACAATGTTCGGGTATTCAATGCTTGTGGACATCGGAATGGTGTTATCACTTGATGACATATAGAGCCCTCGGCCATATGTGATGTCGGGACGCCGACACACATGATAGATGTCATTCTTAAGGCTATTGTCGCTTTCTGTGCTCCAGCTGCTGAGGATGCTGTCATCACAGATTGAAAATGAAGACTGGCGCGTATACATGCCCAGTAATGAGACATCATATGGGCGTCCGCAGGTTTGTCTGAAACCAAAGAAGAGAAACAATGTTATACTGCATCTTGATCAGTAAATATAACCACAAGCGATGGTGGGGCATAGCATACACTGAAACAACCGAGTCGATAATGGACGCACGATAAAGGGCACAGCTTACGCCCATCTTCCAGAAACTGTCGTTGCCTTCCTCGGCAAGACACGGGAGATGTTGCGATATAACCACCAGGCCTGTAGCGACGGCGGCTATCGAGATCACAATTGCGACCCCCAACACCCAGCTGCAAACGATCCGCAGCATGGCCTTTTGGCTTGTAAATCTTGCTACTTTGTTGTACTGCCAGGCAAGGAAGCTGTGTAGGACGACAAGCGGCACAATGAAGAAGGACTAATTCCCGGTTTTAGCGTTCGACATTGAAGAGAGTGCTTTCAGACTTACTGCTGCTAGAGCGAGTATCAGACTGGGAGTCATTTTCGCATCCACATGTCGTTCAGCATAAAGGTAGATCACAATCCCCCATTCGATGAGAGACTCGAGCAGTAAGGCGTACAGAGAGACAAAGATCGCTCGTTTCACCCACGCGCCTTCTGCGCTGGCAGATACATAGTGGTTAGACATGGCTGGGTTCGTAGTTAGAGCAACAGCAGGCTGCGATGCACAGCTTCAACACGTCGAGGCAATCAAGCTTGGACATTCACGCATTGATAGGCACCCGAGAGTCAATGCGATCAGATCAGCTCTAGCAGCACATCAGGCGACAGGTGCCGACAGGTGTGAAATAAATTCATCCACCAGGCGAAAGTGAACTTAAGATATTAAGATAGGGCTACGGCGAAATGGGCAGAAAATGGTAAACATCTGGCGCGTCGACGCGGAGCGAAGAGGGGTCGGAATGGATGGGCATTCGGTATGTCCATGTCCGATCAGATGGAGAGAGCAGCTAGGTTGCAAGAAGACTGCCTCTGGCCTCTCTTTGGGCAGAAGAGACAATAGTCTCATCGTGTGGAATGTAGACTAAGTAGAGTCCGGCCGAGAAGGCAGGGCGGTTCCTGTACTAAACTGGACTCCAGCAGCAGTTGTCCATGATTAGTCATTACATTTTTCAGGAGCTTCAGGGTCTATCGTGAGTTAGTTCAACGAAGGTTACAAGTCATCAAGATCCAAGATCGAGCGTAGACATCGTCAACCCTTCGTACGCGCAGGATTACATCACCTGGCTCTACACAGACAACCCTGCGAAGGATACTGTTATCGTCATCGCGTGCATGTTAAGTGATTGATAGGTAAAAATTGATAGAGATTGAGACAGGGGCAATGAGACAACCTCGATTTCTTGAATGAAGGATAGGAAATAGAATCTAGGGCCGTTCGCCGGGGATGTTCTAGGGATGCGAAGAAGAGGATGTATTGCGAGGAAGCCGAGAGAGAGAGAGAGGAAAGATCTCGGCACGTGATGCGTAAGAAGGGGGAGGGCAAGGGCTTGCTGTGCTGCTCAGGCGCTCAGGCTAGTATCCAGCAATTGTTTCTTTTTCTTATCATTGATTTGCTATTCACGCATTCTATCAAGAATTGAGGGGGGAAAGGGGGGGGGGGTTGGGAGGATGGATGGCTGCAAGGGCAAACGGAATTCCATGCCACCAGCAGCTTTCTGAAGAACTATGGATGTTTTAATTCCGCGTAGAATGAGTCCCTTGGATTAGCGTATTAGCTTTAGATCATCGAACAGATCACTTAAGGTATTCGTATGAGAAACCTCGGGGGGGGAAGATTCGAGCTAGATAGATACTCTCTCTTGTCACATCATGGATGTCTTGTCGCATCAGACAGCAGTCAACCAGCCAGACCATTCATCTACACCTTCTTGCAACAGGACTCCAATCTCGAAGCCGAATTAGCCATCGTCGGAACGCGATCAATTCCTGTGGGGCTCAAAACAATTAATTGCAAGGTGGAGCTTAGAAGGAGGGGTAATTTACTTGCTACTAGTTACTGTGCACTACAGAGTACTGTAGGTTCAGGTTGCTTCCGATAAGATATGAGATAATGAGGTCGAGACCGATAACAACCGACAGATACGGCCGTCATCTACAACCATTACGAGAGAGGCTCGACAGTTCAAATATGCTCAACAGATCGCTCGGAATACTTTGGGTGCGATTAGCAATTATCAGACACGGCAAGATGGTGGATTGTTGATCATATCCCGCTACAGGTGGGCCATGCATTCGAACTCCACGTCTGTTTTCAAAGCAGGGTCTTGACAGCCACGCAGCGGTGTTGTTGAGTTGTGTTGTGTCCATGATGCCACCAGCTCGCAGCTCGAGAAGGAAGAAGTCGAAGCCCACTGGGCACATTTGACAAGACTTCGCATTGCTGTATGGTTCATTTCGGTCAAACCGTCCATGTTGGAGAGGCAGACAGTTGACCTTGAGCACCTTGGGGTGAACAGCTGGCTCGTATCAGTGAGGAGAGAAACCCTGACAAACCGGCTTGTCTTCTCACCCCCGCTCTCTACTCCTCTCTGGCTCCCTTGCGTTCGAAAATGCAACCTTCATGCAACCACGAGCTTGCTGTCCACAAAGATAAGTGGAAGCATTAGGTATATATAAAGTTCGTCTTATTCCCCCACCAACTTCCACGCGTCTAGTGCATGTACCGTTTTCCCAGCCACTCGTCATAACGTATTCACAATGTCCATCAGTCATAGCCCGGCCGACCAACCACCCTATCCTCTCCATGCCTCCGTGATAAACAAGCTCGACCCAGAATATGTGGATTTTTATAATACGCATGTAATCAGCAAACAACAAGTTCATCTCCAACCAGTGGAGGCTTCTCGTACAAGCGGTGTCCTGATCCCCGGCGGAGGTCCTTTGCTCCCCGTCGGGAGAACAGTCGACCTGCGCATAGGTCGCCGTTTCACAGAGGGACCTGAAATCCCATTGCGCGCTTTTATCCCTGAAGGCACAGCCCCAGCGAGCGGATGGCCGCTGATGTTGTATTTCCACGGAGGCGGATGGGTGCTGGGCAACATCAATACGGAGAATCCGGTGTGCACAAACCTCTGTAACCGAGGTCGGTGCGTAGTAGTGACTGTCGACTATCGGTAAGCATTTATGTGTCCAATGCAAAGAGAATCGCACCCTGACTGACCCTCTAGTCTCGCTCCCGAGCATCGCTGGCCCGCCGCCGTCCATGATTGCTGGGAAGCCCTTCTCTGGCTGCTGGCCGACGGTCCGACACATCTTCCCATTGACACTCAGACTCTCGCAACAGGAGGCTCCTCCGCAGGCGGAAACCTAGCCTGCATCATCACCCAAAAGGCTCTCTCACTCTCGCCGCCCGTTCATTTCAAGGCCCAATTACTGTCCGTGCCGGTGACCGACAACACCGCCTCCGTATCTACCAACAACGCCTACCGCGAGTACGAACACACCCCGGCTCTACCAGCAGCCAAGATGCTCTGGTACCGCGAACACTACCTGCCGAATCAGAAAGATTGGGCGCACCCGGAGGCCAGTCCGCTGTTCTACACTGGAGATTGGTCTGCTTTGCCGAGAGCCTTGGTCATGGTGGGTGAACTGGATGTGCTAAGGACGGAGGGGGAGCAGTATGCGCAGAAGCTACAGGAGGCAGGCGTGCCGGTGGACTTGCAGATAATGAAGGGCATGCCCCATCCGTTTTTGGCCATGGACGCTGTTCTGAAGGAGGGGAAAAGATCCATCACATTGATGTGTGATCTGTTGAAGGAGGTTTTCTGGAATGAGCACAAGTAAGCATTGGCTAGTCTTGTTGTACCTAGCCCCGTTTCACTGTCAGATAGACTGTTCATATTAGAAATCTCCGCCCAGATCTAGCATTGATGAATGGACATGTTCACGCTGCGAGTCTTCTGCATCACCTGAAATGGTGCCACATAAAACAATATGAGATATATTGGGCACAGTTTCATATTTCTACATGTGGTTTACTAAGATCTCCAGAGACTATCCGTCAGATCATAAGTACCACAACTTACCTTTCCTTGGAGAACACTGTGTCACCTGTCTTAAGTCCGATCAATCACTGAATAGCATTTATGTTCCACGCAATCTAGTTTTGCCGCCTAAAGCCCTTTCGATCTGGTGCATAGGGATTACTCCACGCGATTGTGCGTGTATAATCAGTATTGCTTGTGCCAACGTGGGAACAGGAGGGGCTACTCATCACTAGCTACACTTGATCATCCTTGTATGCAGGTTCTGCCCCACCTTCGTGGCATAGGAACGTTGATGCGTGAACCAGGCCAATCTCGGAGCCAGAGTCCTTAATTTCTCGGGCATTCGGGTTCATCAAACCTGAGGTTACACGCAGAAGGTATGGATGGTGTTTGCTCCATGGTGCGACTGGTATGTATGAACAAAGAATGCTGGGAATACCCGTTAGATGCCTCAAGTACAAACTCTGGGATCGACATGGACATCGATCAGCAGAAGTCGTGTTTCTTCCTCACGATCGGCTACACGTAATGCTAACTCGGAGAGACCCTCGAGCACAATTGGATCCCACTAATTTCCGAAGTTGAAGACAAGTAAAATTCCAGAGTCATATCTGTATTCCCTCATTGGCGAGAAAGTACACCAGCACGAGTATCCCTTGCATACTGATGCAAACATTTGTGGGCTTGGCTATTGCACATCTAAACGCCGACATATCGTGCCTCTATACTCAAACACACGTAGGATCTTTCGTTGCTTGTTCGATCTTAGCACAGTCTTCAGGCTCACTGTTCTGTACCGCAAAGCCCCTTGGACGGGGGCACTGCTTCACTTCAATTTAATCATGACCGATCTCAGCATACCGGCAAGTGGAAGCTGCGGCCAGCGAAGTAATTGATAGTCAGCCCGTTACTCTTTTCGTATGGTGCTGGAGAGCTCAATTGGGCTCGAATTCTAGTATCCACACTCAGTAAATATGATACAGGAAATGACAGCGGAAACTGCTCCCCGGGCAGCCACAGTGGCTTCGGTTGTTGCACCCGAATCCAGCTTCTGTCCAACGTACGACGTAGACTAGTACACTTCTAGTACGGCGTATAATCTCCGGTCCCTTTTTGCTGCTGTGCTAGAGCAAATAGTACGGTACTGGGGCTCCTGAGGTGAGTGGAAGGCTTTGGCTGTGGAGCCATGGGACTCGGCGTTTGTTTAAGGGGAATGAGGGTCTCCTAGATCACAAAGAAGCAGAAGCCCACTCCAAGTTTGTGGGCATGGGTTACAAGCGCATCGAATGGGGCAAGTGTACATGCTCCAGGATTGGTGGCACGAAGTCACAGGCAAAGGTGCTCAGTATACAGAGGCGGCGGGAGTAGCGGTCATATCGACCGTGTCAGTCCATCGCTGCTGGGAGTGACACTGCAGGCTACTGGCGAAAACTTCTTAGAGGCACCGGTCAGTTGATATTTCGGCCTGGTGCGAGGCAATAATATATTCTTGATGTGTGTCTGTGCAGGTGTAATCTCCTCATCGATGCAGCCACCGCAACAATTGAGTGCGACTGGATATCACAGCGCGAGGTCGGGTATTTCGCAGGAATCAGTCGAGGTTAGCGCTGGGTCTTGACTGCACTAGTTCATTGCACTATCCGCCGCACGATCCAGTAGGGCTGGGCGAAAAGGACCCTCTCGACGGAGTAATTATTGGGAATGGGGTCTGTGTGAAAGTCTGAAAGTGAAAGGCGATTGTTAGTGACCTAGTCTGGTCATGGTGTAGGTCTGTGGGCGGTGTTCGTTCGGTGCCCACTCTGGATCGGGGCCTAGCGCCGCTGGTTCTGGTTAAGCTAATATAGCCGAAGTATGACTAGTAAAGTTAGACAGAAGGAGGCGAGGAGGGGTGAGGGGGGTTCCTGCTCGTGTCTTCGACTGTTGAAAGGAGTAAATCCGGTTCAAGATATACGCATTGTCAGTCCCCTCCAAGTGTCAAGAAGAGAAGTTTCAGTCCCTCTCTAAATGTTGTTGATCGGAGTTTCTCTGACAGCGAATATCAACGGCCACAAGGGTGGTGTCGATCGGATGATCCGGTGATCTCCGGACATCGTCCGGCTCAGGGGCAGATCGTTTCCACGGATCACGTCAGGACCGAGCTTTTGGGCAGAAGTCAAGACTCAACAGTCAACAGATGACTGATAACTCCGTAAGTGTACGGATGGTACCGCTATTCCAGTTAGGTCTTCGTATAAATTTCTAAGCCTCCCAAAGATGGTGGACACCAAACCGGATGCGGCGGAGGGTCCGCGAAATCTTGCACGGATGGAGGCTGACTACTAGACTAGTTGCTTAGCATTCTGTCGAACCTCTGCCATTGGTGTGCCTGAGTCAGAATTGGCCGACCTCTCTTCCCTCACTAGGCCTCTTCCAGTAACTGCCACATGGACCCGTGACCCCGGCTAGTCCTATTTTGAAAGGCACTTCTCCAGGCTAGTATTCATCTGGACTTCTGGAGACTTGAGATCAAGACTTCCCTCCAACCTCCATCCATCCTACACGCTAAGACTGCCACTATCCACAGGGTCCCTACGCCACTTACCCTCGCATTGCTCGCTCGCCTCCAAGCCAATTTCCTTTTTCCCTGTCATCCCAGGTCATATTTTCGCCGGCAATACAACTTTCCCCGCCCACAGGAGCCACTCCTTTTCTCATACGTACAGTGCAGGCGTTGACGACGAGCTGTGTTTGAATCCATCATGGATTACTCCAAATACAACTTGACCTCAGCGTGACTATCGCTAGATACCGTGGAAATTCTCGGCTCTTACCCATTTGCCCCTCCTTGGGCTTTTACAGGGGGACTAAGATGATGGAAACTCTCCGCTTGAGGCTTGGGAAATGGTAAGTCGGCGTTGCTTGGCTCTCCTCGCCCACTTGGTCCAGAGGCTAATATGGCCGAAAAAGCTAGACACCTATGCGGCTCTACAGGCAGGTACTGTGTGAGAGCAGTCTGTTGCCTGCTGCTGCCTTGACCATCATGTTTGGTCTATTTTCCGGCTACACCACACGGCATCCATCCGTTTTCCCCGACGGAGTTTGCCTGGGTCAAGATTTTTTTTTTAATTTTTAATTTTATTCCATTCCCTTGCAAAGGGACCTAGGGGTTAAGCGTGACCGTTGGTCTCCCAAAGAAGGTGCTAACTAGCATAGCCCATAAGCACTGAAGACCGAACTAGGAACTCTCAAGCAGGCAGTCCAGGCATATGGTTGCACCCGCCAAGGCGTTGACTCCGCATGCTAATTTCGGCTGTGTTCGTGCGATAGAACAGTTTCCCAGCATCGTGGCCAATGGCGAACCAGACATGGCCTAGAAAGCTGTCCCAGGAGGTTAAGGTCCAGAGCAAGATCGCACTTATAACTCTACCTCGCCTTGCCCTTTCCCCCTTCTTGAGATGTTCTTCGTGTCATCCCTCTCTATCTGCTTTTGCGGGGACCATCCAAGCAGCGGACTTTTGTCTGCGTCCTTTCTTTGAACCAATCCGACCTTCATTTCTACTGGTTTAAGCGGCTCTCTGGTCTCCACCAGTCGACATTCTTTCACCATGGTGTCCCAATTTGTCACCGTCCTCGCTGCTGTATCAGCTGTCACTCCTTTTGTTTCTGCTTTCGATCCTCAATCGCGGTCGAATGTTGCTGTCTACTATGTATGTGCTTCTACATAATCGGAAATGGTACAGATTCCTTACCGTTGAAATAGGGCCAAGGAACCGATCAGCAACGTCTAAGCCATTTCTGCCAAGATACCTCCTTGGATATCATCAACCTTGGTTTCGTCAATATCTTCCCTGACCAAGGCGTTGCCGGTTGGCCAGGAAGCAATTTCGGCAATCAGTGCGATGGCACCTACTACACGGTTGGCAACCTAACAACAGAGCTGCTCAAGGGTTGCCACCAGCTAGTGGAAGACATTCCTATCTGCCAGGCTGCGGGCAAGAAAGTGTTCCTGTCTTTGGGTGGTGCTTACCCCGCCACTCAGCAAATTTTATCAGAGGACTCTGCCAATGATTTCGCCGACTTCCTATGGGGTGTCTTTGGCCCCAAGACCGACGACTGGGTGTCCAACAATGGTCCTCGCCCTTTTGGTGATGTTGTCGTCGATGGCTTCGACTTTGACATTGAGCACAATGGCGATTACGGTAAGCTTCTCAAGGCTCAGTAATCTTCAGAGCTCACTTCTAATGTTCCAAGGTTACGCAACAATGGTTAACCGACTGAGATATCACTACTCCTTACAGCAAGGTCGTGACTTCTACATCTCGGGTGCGCCTCAATGCTCGATCCCTGACAAGCAACTTGACAACGCGATTGCCAACGCCCACTTCGACTTCATTTGGGTGCAGTTCTATAATACACAGGGCTGCTCCGCCCGTGACTATGTCGAAGGCACGGTAGATGGGTTCAACTTTGACAAATGGGTGGATGTCATCAAAGCAGGAGGCAATCCGGACGCTAAGCTATATGTCGGATTGCCTGGCAGCACGAGTGCTGCTGCCAGCCCTGATTATTACATTACCCCCGTGGAGGCCTATGCGCTGGTTGCCGAGTATATGGCGCGCTTTCCCGACACCTTTGGTGGTATTATGGTTTGGGAAGCGACTTATTCGGACGAGAATAAATTCGGCGACGATTCTTTCGCCGACGTGATGAAGCAGATTGTCGTGACTCTCGACCCTACTCCTCCTCAGACAAGCACTGCTGTGCCCTCTAGCAGCACGCCTACGCCATCCCCCTCATACACTGCCACAAGTACACCTGCGGTGTCCACTCTTTCTGTCTCGTCTATTACTTCTACGGTGTCTACTCCTTCGGCTGTGTCGACTCCTTCGGCTGTGTC